TTAATATACTTTAAGCAGTAAAAAAAATTAATAAAAAATAATAAATATTTTTAATAACCTTTAAAAATATAAAAAAAATAATATTTATTTATTTTATTAATATTAGTAATAACTAATTTAAATAAAGACTTATAATATATAGTTTTAAAATAAATTAATTTTAAAATCTTATCTAATATAATAAAGTTAGTTAAAGAAACTAAAAACTATTAGTAAAAGAATTAAAAAATAACTATATTTACTAAATAAAGAATATATTATTTATATTAAAATTTATAAAGGTCTTAAAGATAAAACTAATAGAAAGAGAGTATTATATTATAACCTGCCTTTTATAGTTATAATAATAAGCCTATAAGGTAAGCTAAACTAGATTAATATAAGACCGACTTATTAATTATAATAGGATTATTAAATTATTATAATAATTTAATAATCTATAAGTAAATTATTAATTTTATAAAATAATTTATAATAAATTATTAAAATCTATAAATAATCTAGCTTAATTAATTAAATATATAAGTTTACTTTTTATGCTTATTTAAATAACTTAAATAGCTAGTTATTAATATAATTTTATATTTATAAATTAAAAAGCACTTTTAATCTTTATTAATAACTATTATTATAATATTATTGCCTATAGGTTTCTTAACCTATCCGCCAACATAAACCTAAAGAACTTATTCTAGGTTTATCCCTTGGGAATCTACCCTATACTAACTATCTAGTGTACGGTTCGTCACAAAGAGCCACAGGGAGGAGGGCAAGAAGAGTAGAAGAAAACTTCATTTTGGTATTGTTGATAAAGGCAGTTGTTTGTACTCGAGGTGTAGTTGTTGATGTAAGAGATACTAAAACCTATTATCGAAGGAGGAAACAAGGATGCTTTATATATAGAAGTTAACTAATAAGTTATATTGATATATTTTAATAAATGTCTCATTTCAATAGACAGTACTGTGTATTCAAATACATTCAGCCTGTGCATTAGATCAAACTTTGGCCTGTGCGATTTAGTAAATTATGGTCTGTGCTTGTAATTCACTCACAATCCCTTATGTAAATCTATGTATACACTGCATACCCACATTAAACAAACAACAGCGAGAGAGGTAGAGAGACTAGCATAATACATGCAAAGACAACACAAAAAAACATCTACACTTTCATCAAGAACAAGGGAACCACTTGTGGACTCAGCACGCAAACTAACACACTCAATTGAATCGGTGACTACATGTAGCTTGCTCTGCTACTGGCTGTAGAGACCACGGAACAAGAAGACATCAAGGAGCCATTTAATTCACGAAGACATTGGTCCTGAAGGAAGGAGACCATTGTGGTAGCTAGAGGTCACTATACGGAGGATATTTGCTGCTTTCTTCTCTCTATTAGAAGTAAAGCGATTCTTGGGCTTGTAGATATAATCTATGCAAAACTAGCTGCTTGAGTTGGCATTTGTTAATTCTACCTAGCTCCCAAGTCAAACACTCAATATTTATATATATTCCTCAATAAAAAATACGGTGGAATCTCCAAATAGAGCAGGTGTGTTTAATATAACTGTATTTAAATAAATTAATGCATTTAATTTACTTAATTTCCTTTCCTAATAGCTAAGGAATCACAGACTATTTTTGCATATGATACGGCCCTGTCTCTGGGTCACAAAAGAATATACCCCTGCACGAACATTTATTTTCACAGTTTCCACTACCCTTGTCTGCAATGCACGAATACTAGAGTAAAGGTATTAATATCTCTCTTTAAATAGTTGTTTTTTAAACTGGAGGAAAGTAAAATAGAATAAAATAAGTATAACTTACATATTTAGACCAGCAATTGTAATTATATCCACTAATAAATGGATTATATCCTATAGATAACGGAGAAGGAGCCACAGGAGCAGCAAGAGCTACAGGGAGGAGGCAAAGAATAACAGAACTCTTCATCTTTAGTTGTTGGCAGATATTGCTATTGAGTTATTTATGTAAATAATAGAGCTTGGGTAAGAGAGTTTATTATATTTGGAGAGTTTGGTGTTGATATTTCAGGGAAATGGGTGTTTTTCTTGAGAGAACATAAGGAGGACTTGGAAGGTAATTATATTATTAGGAGAAAGTGTTTTAAATGACATCATATGGGATTTTCATTAAAGCAACATATACTTCTGTATACATATGTACATGTTAACGTCTATATCTATTACTTTAGGCAGTTGATATCTAGTATACTGTAGTGCTGTACTACAGAAAGATTGTATAGTAATTTAAGTATTGTAAGTGGGGATATGCAGATCAATACACTAAAGGAATGGATAATAAAAAAGGAATTAATTTATATACTTATATTTACTTACTACATATGTATGTATTAATACAGTACTTATAAAATCTAGGCTTATGTATTTACTGCATTAGTATTATATTAACTGCTAACAACATTTTCGACTATAATATTTCATTACCGCTCCTTTCTTTTATTCTATAACTTAATAACTATGTACCTTTTCTGCTCTTAAGTTTCTCCAGTAGTATAGTAGACATATAAACAGGAAGAGGTAAGCTAGCATTCTAAGAGCGTAGGTTGGCGACAAACAAAAAGCCTACGCTAGCATAAGGTCTTGCAAGCCTTAAGGCAAAAGTCCTAGGGAGTTATAAAGCGTCTATTAGTAATTGATTTTTTGTATCTCATAGGGTGAAACAGAAAATATAATTTCTTTTGGACATACTCGGTTTGTAATAGCGCACTGCCAGGCGCAGTTACTAAAGAGGGGATAATCGTCGCACCTCTGCATACATTGTTGGAAGACGGCGGTGCTACATTCGCTGCAGCACTGCTGATTGGAAGCAAGAGCCAGCAGCAAAAGTGCGAAGACAATAAACTTCATACTGGGTGGTTAGGTCTTTGACGAGTTTGTTTGCTTGAATTACATATGTAAATGATTCTCTAAGTATTGTTCTATGGGGGTTTGCATAGAATCCGGTATTTGAGCTACTTTTATGTGGATATTTTAAAAAATACTGTCCCTGCATTTACATGAATGAAAATAGACTTGTATTCTATTTCAATGGATTCTATTCATAAAGAGCGAAGACTGCAGTGTGGTTTAAGCGTAGTGGATTAAGTTAGAATAACTGATGTTGGTTATGGATGTATTTATTTAGGGCCAGAGAACAGTATTAATGCATGTAATAAATTCACTCATTAACTTCTATAAAAATCCCTGGTCTCTCCTATATTATATAACATCTCTTTTACTTTCTTTCACACACTTACTTCAAACTATTGCTGAAAATGAAATTTTCTATCCTTCTAGCTCTCCTCCCTGTGGCTCTTGCCACCCCTATTGCTGTTGCCTCCCCTGAGGCCCCTGCTTCTGATATCGCTGCCAGAGACGCCTGTGCTGAATACGTAAGTTGGTTTTGTTGCTTTTAAAGAGTGAAATGGGAGACTTTTGACACTTGGACTTTAGAATGCCTGCGTTGAACAAATAGTTCTCGCCAGTTGAAGAGTCAGGTGGTGCAAACTGCGCGAATATGTATTCGTGTGCCGACACGCCTGATCCATGCTATGGACCATGAGGAACACACCTGGTCCAGAACCAAACATATGTTCGAAATATGTCTTATGCTTATCCTGGTATGTTTCATTATCTGATGTCTGAAGGTATAAATACTCCTAATTACGGCGCTCTTATGCTGGTTCCCATTGCATAAGCTCTTGATGCCCGCTCAAATCGTTCATAGTGGTGAGCAAAGCTGCTGCGCCAATCAAGGCCACCTAGTTTGATCGTAGTCAACAGGATCGTTCGAGGCACCTCGTTTAAGGTGTTCTTTCTATATCGCAAAAGTGGTCAGCTATTCTGTTAAGCTCGCTTTAACGTTGGTATTTTATCCTATTAATACGAGCAAAGCTGGAATAAGCTCTTCTCCGGTTGCCACCTTCGCAAATCTGCTTCGCAGCTTTGCTCAAATATGGCCATCAACATTGTTACAACCTAGTCCACTATAGCAGCTAGATCCCTTTCAAGCAGCTGGCGCAGTACAGTAATTGCTACAATTGCGACTATTGGCCTAATATTTTGCCTTGTTTGGCTTAACGGTAAAACGGATCGTTACAAACATGTTTTTTAGTTGGTTGCAGCTCCCTAGCGTCGCCAATGCTTTCATAACAGCGTGAAATAGATGGATTATCTCTGGCCTCTTCTCTTTCTGTAGCTCTACGGCTCTAAAAAATTATATCCACAAGGAACAGCATTGAAGCTGAAGAATTTGTCTAACGTATTCTTTCCACGCTTTGCAAGTTCCGCCCCCAAAAAGTGGAATCGTCATAGTCTATCGTGGCCGTAGGGGCGAGCAGGGTGGTGACGAGCGGATGCGAATGAAGGTAATCTCATCTTAGTCTCCTCAATAATTGGTACATCTTTTGATAGGCAATTAATGGGGGGAAGAAGAAAAAAGAAAAAGAAAGGTGGTTCGGATATTTCCTGTATTACCGGGGTATGTCGTGATTGGTGAAGCATACTGGGAAGAAGTGACAATAGAATAGTGAGTCCGATAGCAAGGGGGATTTTCAACACAATAAAGTAGCTAAAGCTAAAGGATCTGTTTAGGTATTATACAAGAAGAGAGAAACAGCCCCTAAGGTACATATTATCTTATATGTGCGTGAGCGTTTGCCAAGTGGCAGTAGCGCAGAACGGTGAATGGCCTTCAAAAGTGATGAAAAGGTCAGCCTGAAATGCAAGTCAACGATGCAGTAATTCACTAAGCTCTCATGTCACATTCAACTCACCTGCAATCCCAGTTCTGCTCTCGCTTCGATAGTTATTTCCAGAAGCTAGAAACAAAAAAGTTGTGATATGTTGCCTTGCGTTTTCTATCGACTGCCTTGGCGGTATCACGCTCTCTACTATCATCACCACAAGTGCTCAGAACTTCCATACTTGTCAACCCGTCAACCCGTCCATTTTTTCTCATATCTCTGATGGATTGCGTTCTGCGTCAACAGCACGATGGTACGACGGAAGCTGCCCCACCAGGGTACATGGTTGCTGACGATATAAATGACAACGAAGGAGACAGAGGCAGATTATTTGCGTGCCCTGAGATTGGCTGTGATGGGTTCACCTTCGACACCATCAATGAGTGCCACATCCACTTAAAAGATTGGCATAATCCCCCATATTCTTGCTCAGAGTGTGAAGCGAGTTTCGCAGCAATGCCGGCGCTCAAAAGGCATTTTAAAAATACCGGCCATTATAATTGGATCTGCCAGGAGGAATTGTGCGAAATGAAAGGCATCTTATTTGCGAATCGATCTGAGTTTGTCGCTCATGCCTTGCGCGCCGGCGGCCATGACCGCTTATTTCCAACCGAAGGGCTCAATAGCCCTGTGTCACCAAAAAGACTCAACTATGCTGAGGTAATACATTGTGAAGATACTACTTCTGAGTCTTCGGAGGAAGAGGCGTATCAATGTCCCGAGCCATCCTGCCGGAGGTACCAACAGCTTTTTCACTCTGAGAACGAATTCAGCAGACATGAAGAGTCGCACGCGCACGTCAACGCTGTCAAGTATTCAGAGGATCTTCGAGAATCTGGAAAATCTACGGAGGATATTACGGCAGAACAAGAAGCAGCGAGAGAGTTTCGGTGTACCACCCAGGGCTGTTCGTCATTTGGAGAAAAGCTGAAGACGAGCCAAAGTTTTTATCGACATGTCCACACAGCAAAGCATGTGTACCCATTTCTCAGTTCAGTATCTGATCCAACATCACCGACAGCGGAAATTCGACAACATTTTCATCAGCTTAATCTTGCATGCGACGAACCTGAGTGCCCGAGGTATGAGCACCGTTTCGCAAACTATGTGAACTTGACGAAGCATAAGCAGTCAGTTCCTCATCTGAAGGCTGTTTCATATGGCCAATCGAAGAAAAATGCAGCTCATTCTGATAATATAGCTACCCATATCTTGGAGGAATCACAATCTGCGGTCACAGCAGCGGTTCCTTCAACGCCAGTGAGATGGAGTTCCTATTCTTTTGCACCGATTACTCCTACAACAAATACGACTACACGAATTGCCGAGTTGCCGGATGCGGTAACTCCTACTAGGCGTTCGATTCGGAATATTTCTCCATTGACGCCACCGCCGCCATCCACATCATCATCATCATCATCATCATCATCATCATCATCATCATCATCATGGAGGGAAGAGAGCTTAATGAAGAAGAACGGAGAGCTCGAAAATGAAGTCCAGCATCTGAAAAACAAAATTGAAAGGTTGAGAACAGCTTACAAGGAGCAAATAAGCTCTCTTTTCCAAGCGTTAGGAGAAAAGCAAGCTCGAGAATTGTAGGGCTTTGGTGTCTCTTGCATATACGAGGATCAGTCTGGTAGAGTGGATTATTGAACGAGCTGTTACCATTTGAGCGAACGATTGTGCTGGCTGACAGAAAGATGAAATAAGCATTGCTGACTGGTGGATTTTATACACAGCAGTTCTGAATTAGGCCAAGAATGACACTATGCGGCTGATGAATGTAGGTATGGAACTGGTGGCTGAGCATGGACTTAGTGTTTACGAACAGAGATTGATGAGTCTTCAATAGCAATTGCTAGCTACGTGTTTTGAGCCGGCTAGTAGATCAAATACAGGGTGTCAAGTACAATTCTCCTAGTATTCGATGTCATAATTGGTGAACTGTAATTACTTAGTTTCTAATCATATTCTTGAGGTGCATAGCATTCAATGATGCGCCAACTTCACTCTGCAGTCTATTGGATGCACGTACATCGAGACTGCTTAGATGTACATGCAAGACAGTTGACATACAATTTGTCCGCTGCATATACCCGCTCAATTCACCATTTCACACGAAACAGCTTTACTCAGACAGACTGGTCTCCCCAGATAGAACGGCGAAATACCCATGATGATTGCAACTACTAGCAGCAACTTTGCACTTCTACCAACTAAAAACGGTCTATAGGAAATAAGACGTAGTATTACAATGCAGCTCGTAAAAGCAGCCCAAGAGCCAGCTATGCCCAATCCGGGAACTCGATCCAATGACAACTGATGCTTTTGCGTTAGGAGTGCAGCCTCACGCTGAATTATCCCGTCTACTATAGCCCTCTTACACCATCGATTACACAGCCAGTCATCTTATCCATTCCGTGGCCTTGGCCGGTCCTGATGTCCGGCTCAGCTCCTTGGTAATACGTGACCATTTTCCTTGAATCTGCTGTGCAATATGGTAGCGGGGCCATTGAAGCGGAACAAACAATTGAACATGAAACCCCTGTAACGCCGCTTTTTAGGTTCTCGCTGTGAATAAACAGGCAATAGTGCTGGTCCACTTCGTGTCTCCTCAGAGCAGGTAAGAAAATGCTTGTATATACGACTTGTTTTGTCGTTTCTTCCACCAATCACTACTGATTGCTTACATAACGGCTCACTTCTAAACAAAGACTAGGTATTCTGCATCCTCCACGACGCTGTACAAAAGCGAGGCGGATCGCCGGCACTGTGCTGAGCCAAGTAGCGCTAGCCTCGTCAGGGGTTGAATCTTAAGACCTTCCCAGCTTGTATAGCTCAAACGACGGCACCAGAAGGCTAGGCTTCGTATAGGTGGAATATTCCATCAGCTCCGCTGGCTCGCTGGAGCTGGATCAAGGGCAGCTTACAAGTATGGCATACATGTTGACGTACGTGATGCTGGGTCAGGGTTGTTTTTGTATATAAGACGACCCGGATCAGCGGCTGATCTTGTCCTATCTGCATCATTCTCACAGCCGGCTTCAAGACTCCAAACCGTTGCTACAGCTCGCTCCAACGCCGCATCACCCTTCAAAATGCTTGTCAAGAGTGTCCTCGCCAGCCTTTCGGCCGCCACCATGGCATTGGCCGCCACTCCCCTTGAGAGCGGCAACTGGGTCGCCTTCACTCCCGGCTTCCAGCTGCAGACCTGCGCCGGCGGCAGCGCCAGCGGCAACACCTTCAGCATTCCTACGAGCCCCAACGGCAGCACCTCAGGTTCTGGCTGTTCCAATGGCCACCTGCGTGCCGAGAACCGCTACACCGACGATTATACCTCCGGTGTCCACCAGTTCGCCGGTACCTTCAAGATCAACTCCTTTGGCGGCAACCGCGTTGCCATCAAGCAGACCTTCAATGGCAGCACCGGCCCCTACTTCATCCTGGGCGTTCAGAGTGACGGCACCCTGTACAGCGTCGAGGGCGGTGCCGTTCTGGCTTCCGGCGTTGCCAAGGTTGGCTCAAGCATCACCATCAACACCGTCCACAATGCGGACATTCACAGCTTCAGAGTCTACGTCAACGGCGCGTTGGCTTTCCGTGATGACAATGCTCCCTCCGGAAGCTTCTACGACAAGATTGGTGCTTACACCACTGACAGCGGCACTGGCCCTCTGAGCATCACCTGGTCTGATGTTGGCTTCTGGACTCGCCAGTAAGCGATGAACTTATAGACCGTTGTTAGGGGGAGGGAGATACTCTTGAGAGTGAATTTTCTTTGTATATCTGTTGAAAAATCTGTACATGCACTATTTAAGCGGGATGATAATATCTGGCTTCATGTGCTTATTCCGTATATAAACGACTTGATGATTTAGCAGTCAATTATGAATTCATGTTCTAAACTTATCCCAACTACCTACATCTTCGCGCCTCCCTCACTCATTTAGGATGCTGTTTGTATTCATAATGTAATTCTCCGGCCGGCAGGGATTCTATGCAAGATGTCTGATTCCATCCAGACCCATAAACGTGCTTGCGGTTCAAAACCAAACAAACTCGTACGAGATGAGGCGTTCGGCCGGCAACTCCGTACGCTATGCTGCATCTGAGCGGACGCTGCTTAAAGGAGCTAGTTACATGAATGGAGTAGTTGAAACAGGCATTGCTGGAGCGGACATGAACTAGTGCTGTGCTTTTTTGGTTCGAGCTATTAATAGCTTCCGGTAAAGGGCCACTGCTACAAGCCAGAGGAGCATATACTGTGGTGTGTTAGTCTGCCTTGCGAGGATTGCCCCATTAGGGATCTGGCGATTATTCTGAGGAGGAGAAAGCCTTGGTCTCTGTACAGACTTTCTGCCGACTTCCATGGAGAGTAGCAGACCCAAATCTGGTAGATGCAGGGCTTCCAATGGGATACTACAGGTCGAAGCTGAACAAATCCATCACGCTGCTATATACATGTATGCTCGTCTTGGCTGTTGTTTGCTAACAGCTCTCATATTCCGTGAATCCCTACTGTAATGCCGCACCGACCGCTTTCAAAAATTCTCTTTCTTTCGGTTTTGCGGCAACTGGAAGTGGGGTTTGATGGCAGCAGGCAGGTTCCTATACATTATCGGCTTCTTATAAAACTTTAGTGGTTGCCGGTTATGTAAATGCCTCTTCTTGGGGGGCTACCGAGTTGGGTGCTTGCGGGATCGATGCTGTAAATTGCAAATGGCGAGACACGGACTTGAGATTTTTTTTTAAGCGGTTTATGTCATCACATCTACATAAATGTGATCTTTTAGTCTTAAAAGTAACCGTCCATCTCTGCAATAGTGCTATTTTTTCGGGATACAATCGACATTGACTTAGTCTCGGTCGTAGTTGGCAAAGCTGCAACAGTAATTTATCGTCTAGATATTCACATGAGACAAAATTATATATTTATGAAGTTTGAGCTAATTATTAAGACACTTATCGCATCGTCAAAACTTACTGACAATGTTATTAAAAAAGCCATTCTCGAATGTGTAATCGCGCGTCCCCCAATTTGAACAGCATCTTGAGGCGCTGGGCGAGATTTTGAAAGCCTACAAGTTCAGCGTACAAAAGTGACCGAGGAAGAACAGTCCTCCTCCGTCCAATGAGCAACGACGGAAGAGTTTCATAACGAACAAACTCTAAAAAACGAGGTAAGAAAAGGCAAGATGATTTGAAAGGTAGTGTAGAGAGTGTACATGTATATAGAGAATCGGGTGATATGTCATGGAATAGACTCGATAGGTATATGGAATGCCCTTCAGATGACAGCAGTAACGGAAATATACTTCGACTTTAAAGATATTATAATATCTAAACCTATAGAAGTAGAGTTAATTGCTTTGAATTGGCCAAGTCGAATGCACCTGGATAATCTATTTTGACGTACAAGCACACATAAACTGTAGGGGATTAAATTCTGCTGGGCTCTAAAAGACGGTCCGGTGTTTAGCGCACGTGTGCAGCCTCTACCTACCAGGCCCCTCTGTCTGGCCTGCCGGCAGAGTACAGGGTACTTCAGCTAATGCTGCTAAAGCGCGTAGATCAGAGGTCCGGGCTACCCCACTGCTTTCACCGCCCAGCATTCGATTCGCTGGGCATCATCACCAGAACGACGACCTTGTCCTGCCCTTGTCTCGTTCTGTGCTGGCATCGCCAAAAAATCCACCACAAATCTCCCCGCAGCTTGTGATCGGACCCTCCCCGCGCCTCAGAGGCTTCTGCCCTCATATTTTCGTCTCACCGGACAGAGATGACTCGGCCGTCGCCATGGATTTCGTGAGCAGCCCATGATCAGGGGGAGACCCCTAAAGCTGAGCTTGAGCGGATAAACGAGATCGCAGTGTCTAACCCGTCTGTGCCTCTGCAGTGGTCGCGCTTGTTAAGCCCTCTCTCCTCCGGGAGCTCCCGTCAGGAACAGGCAAAGGATCCTGCCAAGCGTCTTCATCGCTTCGAGAAGGAGTACGCCGGATTGCTGGTGAGTTAGTTCTGTGTCTGCTGCGATGCTCAGGCCAACAGCACATATATATGTGTGTGTGTACCCATCCTTGGGCCGGCCATGCTAACGCGACCGTGTCCCCCTCCTTTAGTCTATCTGGCGCAAATCTACCAACCTGTCCCAAGACATCGACGCCGCCGAAACGGTCGAGATTAGGCTCCAAGAGCTTACCAATATCCTCAGCGACGAAAGCCGCCGGCCGCTGCCGCACCCGTGTATCCAGTATGCCTCTATCAAGCAGATATACGTGCCCATCGGGAAGATTGCGACGTCGTCCTACAACGAATGGATCATAAAAGAGGCTGTCCTCTTCTTTGCAACCCTAATTGAGAGCGAAGAAGAGGCATTTGTCGAGAACCATACCTTCTCTGCTAGTCTAACAAACCTGCTGGTGCGCATTACTGGCGTCAACAGTGCTCGTCTCGGGCTGGATACCGAGTCACGAGTAGTGGAGCTGGCGTTCAACATCACCACCAAGATACGTTTAGACCCTGAGATCTTGCCTGCTTGGTTTAAGACGCAGCAGGACGTCAACCGCCCGAGCGACAGGGCCGCCAGTGTCCGGGACAAGTTCGCTGGCCGAACCAAGAGGGCCGATTTCCCCCTCTTTTATATCCTGATGGACTACATCCACCACGAAGGCAAGGTCGGTGACTTTGCGCGTACGGGGCTTCTATACATCATCGAGGCCGCTTCGAGCTCGGAATCGCTGGAGCAATGGATCGTCGAGAGTGACCTGTCGACTCTCATGGCCACTGGACTGGGGGCTCTATACAGCCAGTTGAGTCGAAAGCTTGTTATAGACCACCTGCCGAATAATCTGCCGCCCATCCTCGCCCTCTCCGACTACCAACACCCAACATCAAACTACGAAATTGTTAGCTCTTGCTCTGGAGAGTTCCAATCCCATCTAGAGACCTTTTTGTCACACCTCCTCTTTTGGCAGGATGTCTTGAACCACTGCAAATCTGTGGAGGTTAAATCGACGCTCCTTGAACATTTCCAGGTTATTTTCTTACAGCAGCTTTTGTAAGATTCCATGAGTGTTCATATGGCAGTTGTGCGTATGCTAACGTCAGCCAAACCCTAGATACCCATCATTGCTTGAGTCTTCCGATATAGACGGAGGCTCATCCGTTGCAGTTTTGACCTATCTTCGTCGTATCATAGAATCTCTAGATCACCCTGACATGATCAACCTCATTCTCCACTACCTGCTGGCTTTGCCTGAAACTGTCACTTCGAATAGCCCCCCTTCAGGGACTGCCATAAGCGCTGCTCGGCAGCGCAAATCCATGGATCTTGCTACGATGATGGCGGAGAAACCCGACACAACCGCTACTCCGCTGCTTTTCAATTTAGTCGACCTTATTCTGGCTTGTCTTCGATCGCGCAACCAGCAAACAATTTATGTCACCCTTCAGCTGGTATCAGCCATCGTGAAAAGGCACCATCGATATGCAGTCCTCACCCTCCTCCAGACCGACATGTTTCCCAGCAACAATATTAACCGAACTGTGGGCGCCCACGAGCAAGAAATTGAGTATCTGATGGCCCTAGCAGAGACTATTGGAGGACGAGACGACTTTGATGAGACCTACGAGAGCATTTTGAAAGATACCATGGCTCGGCTTGAGAGTCACCCGTGCTCTTTGAGATTGGTTGCCCCCAGATTGTCACAGCACAACCACAAGCTACCTACAATTCCAGACAGTCTCCCCGGCGCGCCCAAAGATGTTAGAGAACACACGCTCCGCAGCGATGATCTTTTGCTCAATTCTATACTCGACTTGATGGAAAACTTCTTCATGAACCCAGTAGAGACGAATTTGTCAGTCACTGATACCATAGTTGACATGGCAATATGCGGCTACATGAGTATCGAGGGTTGGCTTGCGCGAAATCCCAAGAGCTACACCTACGTCGGGGACGAGCAACAGCCAGGACCCGAAAAAGGGGTGGAAACTAAATCACAGCAAGATGGAGAAGGGGAGGAAGAGGCGGAGACGGAGACGGAGAAGGGAGAAGACGCCGAGACTGAACCCGGTAACAAGTCACTGGCTGACGAACTTGGTTCGCAAGACGGTGATTCTTCGGATGGCGGTTTCTCGGCATTCACAGATGATACGGAAGCAGAGAGGTTGGAATCAATGGAAAAGTGCAGGCGCCGACCAAAATGGACTCAGCAATCTCTTCCTCGTATTCTCATTGTGTTGAAGCGTCTCTGCGACCAGGTCGAGGCTTTCAAGCAGACGATACCTCGGTTTGATGAGCTTCTTCAACAGCGACGAGAAGCTTTCCAGACGGCGAATGCGATTATGGACAACCCCCCAGCCCCAGTTCAGCCTCGCACGCCAGAACGGCCGAGTTCCACCCTTGATGAGGTTATCCGATCAGTGTCTCCGTCACGTCCAACTGGCCTTGAGGGCTTTGCTCAGCGGCTGCTGTCGGAGCTCTCAACTCCAAGCCGCTCTGTAACGCCCAGAGGACGCAAGAATAGCACTCGGACGTCCGGTGCATCGACACCTGGTTATAACGTGTCGGATTTGCTCTCTCCTAGCCCTTTCCCCAATACTTCCAAGCCGCTGCCTGACCCCACTAGAAATGTCCTCAACCGGAGCTTGTCGCCGTCAAGTGCTCAGCGCGAAGCCAGCGGGAGGCGAGAAAGTCGGCACAGCCCAGCAAACATTCAGCCAGCAGAATTTACCGCCATGGATCAAAGCATCTTAGCTCGGCGGGTAGCCTTGCCGGGCGAGCAAGTCAAGCTCATGTCCTTGGACTTGGAGAGAAAGCCGACACATGATGCACCCGAGTCTTTGTTCTCTGGAGATGAACTGGCTAGTCTAGATGGAGACGATAGCAGTGCGGACCGGAGCGAAGTTACCACCGAGCCGACTGTGACGACGGAGACGACAGACAATGCCGAGCCAACGAGTCCGACGAGTGATGAAAACATGGTGTCGGTATCGCACGTCATTACCAACGTACTGATATACCAAGCGTTCCTTTTGGAGCTGGCTAGCTTGATGCAAGTTCGGGCTGGGCTGTTCAACGAGGTACGCTTTGTTTAATTTGATGCAAAGTCAGAGATGCTGTCACTTGATGAAGGATTTTTTTTTCCCGGGGAATGCAAGAACAAAATCACATGCGGGGAGTTATTCGGGACTGGATGCGTTCTCCATTCTTCGCGGCACCAGAGCCGGGTGGATGGAGGGCGTCGCTGTAGTACGATCAAGAAATGTTGCATATTGTATAAAGCTGCATCGTGCGAGAAGAGAGGTGCCTTTTTAGAGAATAGCATGATGAGAGTGGGCTGTGGAAAATATTGTCTGTGTGAGAGAGTGCGTGCGTGCGTGTGTGCGTGTGTGTGTGTGGCTTGCTTTGCTTCCTATCTGTGTGTCCAATTGCTGCTCGATCTTTCATACCCTGATCACATATTACCCCAGCCATTTATGGATAGCAAGAAGAGGTCGGAGATGGCAATTCACCCGACGGGTTTATTTGCACGAGTTTATGACATGACGTGTATGCGCCTTGTGGCATGTATGTATGTACGTGAAGAAAAGAGTAGATTCCACAAATTGACCTGGCCTTGGAAAGGGCCTAAAGAAACTAATTGGAGGGGCGTGTTTATTTGACCTTTTGCGTAGCGTGTAACCTATTAGGATGAGCTGCATGGGAGCAGTGCTTGCTGCATGGCCAGTCCCAGTGAAATCTTGACAAGATGGAGACGGCGGGGTCGTTTATGAAGCATTCTATAATGACCATAAAGGAACAGGTATGTTACTAATACGCAGAACTTATGGCTTCACCCATAGAAAGGTGAGCTAACGGGGTATAGACAGAATAATGGATATTCCGTTAAGACACCCGAGATGCTCTTGGGGAACTTCGTTAACAGTACATGGTGGAGAATGTTGTATGAAGTTTAGAAAATCAGAACGAACAAGTCCGATTACTAGTCTTGATGAAAGACTTATAAAAAGAACTCTCCCTATCGCTTTGCATATTGCTATTACGTACGACACAGCGATGATGCGACCCATATTTCAATTCAAGACAGAGATACCATTTACAAAGAAGTCATGCGTATAAAGCGAATACATGCTGCGCGAACTAGGTATCGTGCGGCTCTATACGATATTTACCTTACTTGTCTCTAATTTGGCCAGCTATATGGACATTTTCTTGAACTCGCCTATCCAGATGGTTGGTTTTTTTATACTAATATCTTCTAACAGACCTACGCACAGAACAGCTTATAAGAGCAACTTTTTTCATAGCAGCAACACCCTCCATAGAGGCAGAGTGAAAAATCCATCGATTTGGCATTTCAATACTCAGTCGCTCAGAAACTCGTAGTTAGCTTCGACTGATCTAGTAGGTGCTGAGCTGCCACAGTTTTGCGCACCGAGCAGGCGCAAAATCCATCTACATGAAGGTGATGGCGTTTTAGGACCACAATTTTTTTTTTCAGAGCGGATTTTTCGTCGGCAAGAGGACGCCGTCTTGGTCGTCTCTGCTGAGGGAGAGCATTTGATCTAGCCATCTTTAGATGGAGACGCTGCAGTTGCAAGCACTTTTGTTGTGGTGGTGGACTTTTGTTATCGAAGGATTGTACTATTCCGTTGCTGAACAAATCGCTCATGGAGACAGCGATGGAAAAAGCTGTCGGATACCACATTATCATGCTCACAAAACGGTCGAAGCTCTCAGAATCAGCCACTGTATAGGCTTGCATGTGAGATTAGCTACTGCGGGTTCTGCAAGGGAACAATGAATGTGAACGATGGGGAGATGTAGCCGTTAAGGATAGGCACCTCCTTTGCGGTATATGCCACTGTATAAGTAGGCCCCTCAACAGTTGTACGAAGCATGGTTTATCTTTGAGTAAGATGAGGCTGTCACTGCTCATGCTAACACAGGCTTTGATCAGACTGCTTGTACTGATGATTTTGGTGCTACGATGACTTGTATTTACAAAGTCTTGGGAGAAAAAGAGAGAAAGGAAGTCAGTCACGGAGAGAGAGAGAGCAAGGTAGCGGCTGAAATAAGATACAGGTACGACAGGCTGAAATTGAGACAAGACAAGACAAGATGAGACGAGACTGGTTTGATGTAAGACGTGTGACATGACGGATGGCAGAGACATACGAACGGTAGGCTTAATGTCTAGTAATACCGCGAGTAGAGGCTAATGAGGATATGCATTGAACAGCCTTTTTCACCAATGGAAAAAGAGTAATATGGGAGAGTTAGGGGGAGGGAGCGAGAGTGATATAGTACAGCCTATGCTTAAACCTATCGCCACATATCCGCGTATGTAAGGGAGTCTTTAGTCTGTTTTCATGATTCGGATCATCAGTTCCGGCAGTTAGATATCTGGCATACTACTGTACAAGTATGCATACTCTTTCATCTCCAAGGATTAGGCTTGCTTATACTAGTAGGTAGTATGTAGTACTACCTGTGGTATATGAAGTTGCCAGCTGGCTTGATCCCCTGGTGGCGTTTGTGGCGTAAGTTGCTAATTACATTACATGCATTCAATTAAAAAAAAAAATAAATAAAAAGAAGAAGAAGAAGAAAAATGTAAGTTGCTCCCACGTCCAGTCAAATGGCGCCAAGTTTCTGCCGTGTCACGCTCTCAGCTCAAGTCGACAACTTTGAAGCAGCAGAGCATATTGGGCGATATTCTGTTATACTACTTTCTTTTGGTGCTCCTAACAACCTGGCAATTCTTCTTCTACACTCTGGAAAGTCAGTTCCCCCTCTCTTTCTGTACCTGAACCAAAACAAAAATTAAGACGCCGTTACCGTCCGCGGGGGGTTAAGTATCCATCTTTAGCCGGTGGAAAAAAAAAAATTGGCTCCCGGCCATTACCAGCAACGGCTAGTTCACAACAAATCAGAGCCAGAATGAAAAAAATAGCTGCGAGCTGCTCGTTTGGACTGGAGCTATTGGGGCACGTCAGCTTATGGGTTGCCTCGGCCCCAGCCAATCACCGCGTCCGGCGGTGCCTCGTTGGTCGGATCCTCAGTGTTCTAGACGTGGCTGAAGGGCCCGTTGTGGCATATTGAACCGGGGAGGGTTCCCCACGTCCGGCGCTTGACACGAGAAGGGGAAGTGGTAGGTAAAAGTGCCAAGTGCTGCTACTGCACCATCTAGGCAAAAGAGAGGGACAGAGACAGAGAGAGAGAGAGAGAAAAGGGCCGCATGATGGCTCTAGGCTTCAATTTAGAGTTATGTTTTAGCCAGTTCTGCGTCTGCTTCCTGGAGAGGCGGGGAGGGGGGGCAGGCCAGTTGTATGTAGTAGTAGTCGTCGTATAAGCCAGTCACCACGTCCCTTTTCATCTCTAATTTGCCTCTTTGTGTCTTTTCCCACTGCCAAAATGCGCTGGTTGAATTCTTGCCGGCAGGCTAAGCAGGACGCCCGTCTTGGCGTCCAGGACGGACACAGCCTCGTGTCGACGCCGGGGAATCCTGTATAATACGAGCAGGATCCGTTAGTTTGGCGCAGCGCTAACACGATGATTCAAGACAGCTTAATCTCATTTTTATTGCTGGCCCTACTTTGTGACAAGGACGGAAGAGTGCCGTATCGCTGTTAGCTCCGTCGTTTCGCGTCTTTATTTCTCTCTCCCCCCTGTTCCCTTGCGTGAGCGCTTTTTTTCTTCTTCTTCTTGTGATTCTTTGTTTGTGTTTGTGTTGTTGACTCTTTTTCACTCGTTTTTTTTTTCTCTTATCTTTCTTGTTTTTATTGGAGAGTTGTTTTGTGTATCTAGAGCGGCAGCAGCAAAGTAAAACGAAGTAGACCAAAGGGAAGAAAGGGAGAGAGAGACAGACAGACAGAGGGAGCATCTGTCTTACAAAAGATGCCTCTCAGCGAAAAGGCAGACTCGTTTTCGCAGCTGCGCCAAATCATCGGCCATGTCTCGTCCCAGCGCCGATATCGAAACTATGCCGCCGCCGGCATCGCCCTGATCCTGCTGTCCATGGTCTGGCTGAGCGGCAACCTGAGCGGCAGCGACTCCAGCCAGAGATGGCTCGACGAGGCTGCAAGCAGGCGTGTGTCGCTGTGGCCGACCAAGAAGATCACCGGCACAAACCACACCCATCTGGTTCCTCCAAACATCTGGCAGATTGTGCTTCCCAAGACGCAGCCGTATCCGGGAGACCCAGATCACGTCCACGTGGATCCCAGACAGCTGGAAAATGCGGCCTCGTGGATTGCTACGAATCCCGGCTACCAGTAGTGAGCAAGACTCTAGCTTTGCGTGTTGTAGTAGTAGAAGGACATTGCAGTTGTGCTGACCCGTCTCTCTCCCGAAAACAGCTCGCTGGTAGGCCACAAGGACGGCAACGAGTTCATCAAGAGCCACTTTAGCCACAGTCCCAAGATCGCCGAGATATACCACAAGCTCACCAACGTGGGCATGAAGTCCGACATGCTGCGCTACCTCCTCCTCGACGCCTTTGGCGGCGTCTACACCGACACCGACACCCTCGCCATCAGGCCCATCGACGTCTGGATCCCCGAGCAGTTCCGCGACAAGGCCCGGCTGGTGGTGGGCATCGAGTTCGATCGCCGCGATGGCGGTCCCTGGGCCGATATCCCCCACTGGCTTCAGTTCTGCCAGTGGACCATTGCCGCGGCCCCGGGGCACCCCGTCTTCAAGAAGATGATTGATCGCGTGATATACTCGGTGGAGGACTTGTCCATCATCCATGGCGTGCCGGTCAACGAGCTGAAGCTGGGGAGCTTCGAGGTCATGAACTCGACGGGGCCGGCGGCCTGGACGGATGTTGTGTTTGAGCAGCTGCAAGAGTACAATCCCATCTTGAACGACACGCAGGATCTCTCCTTTATGGAGGAGCCGACGCTTATTGGAGACATCTTGATTCTCCCGATTGACGGGTTCGGCATGGGACAAGCTCATTCGGCCAGTACGAATGACGGGTCCATCCCAGAAGGTGCTATGATGAAGCATCTATTCACGGGATCCTGGAGAGAGGAGTGATTTTACGAGTTTTTTTTTTTTTTTTTTTTCCCTCTCCTCTCTCTTTTTTTTAATGGTTTCTATTCTGAGTATATATGAGAGCGTTTTTTGTTACTTTGGCTCATTTATGAAGGACTACTTTGGTAAGATGCACATATATACCTGTATAACGTGGTCGATATTTATGATTTGTTTATGAGGCTTCTGGGAGCATATGGCCTTTGGACGATTTGGGTATTTTCTTCATATGTAGATATTAGGGATTCAATGAAGCTCTCTTTTTTCTCTCTCTCTTAAAAAAAACCACCAAAAAAAAAGTGCTATTTTTGTCTTTACTTGGCAAATTTGACTCAACCACCACCCATAGTCGTGCAGGCAGTTGTATTACACCTTGTCACTGTTACATGCATGTGTTAGCCCTATGGCTCAGCGATTGCGGGACTGAACTGGCAAAGATCAGCAAGATTGCTGCTCCATACGGTAAGAGGACATGTTACCTTGCAAGATAGGCATACTTCCGGAGATTGGCTAAATAATCGTAGTTTAGCTTAAAATAAGCTTTTGTTCTGGGGTAATTTACAATATTGTCTGGGGCTGCATGGTTGTAAGGCGCGAATTGGCCTTTACCTGTACACATCTTAGCATCACAGCATCACAACACCCTTTTTTTCTGTATTAAAGTAAGTATGATGCAGGGTGTAGATAAATCATCATTTACAACTGTTTAACATCCACGATACCAGCAGCGTGCTCTTTTTTTTTTTTTTTTTTTTTTTAAGGAGCTGTTTACATTAGTGGACTGGACATTTTGACCTTCAAAGTCACAAGAAGGAATCCATCTGACAAGAAATACAACGAAGACTGCGATACATGTCTAGGAATATGTGTCTTTTCCGACTAATTCTAGTGTCATCACTATTCTGTGTACGAGAGTCTTTAGGAATTTCTAATTCTATGACCAAGGAACACATAAACAAACAAACAAAACCTCCCGGTGCTTCTAAATTCTAGTTGATTACATCTTGCATTTCAGTTATCCTCTTTATGTACTCACTGCATGCATCTTACACACAAACAAGGGACGAGAGGAATAGAGTGTCTAGGCTGTTCCGGACGGGAAGATTTAGTACATTAAATGCATCCAATTTTAATCCTGTCTCCTACTGACATATCTGCGGGGTCTATGACAAATATTTCGACAAAATCATGTGTACAATATATATAAACTGAAATTAGGACCCCCGGCCATGTTTGGTTGCACTGATCGAGAGAAGCAGATAGGAATACTACCCAATTCCATGCGCATCTCTTCTCTTTGTAATTAGACTATTTTGGCATTACAATCGCAGTTTGGTGTGCTTGTATGTGGATCACCAAATTCCAGACGCCTTCGGTCAACTACCGACCGCCGGATTTAGAACGAGTCCCAAGCTTAACAATGCACCAGATATGTGACATTCGCGCTGAGAAGTAGATCCCACGCCTCAAGAAATAAGGCAGCAGCACAGAGAGCAAACCACATAGCATCACCACAATCATCCCGCCAAGGAGCTATTTCCAGCGGACAACTCGGCATGTATGTCACCGCCCTCCTAGCTCAAGTCCAAGAAAGGCCACACAGGAACTCCATATGGCGAGACATCACAGACGTGCTTTGACGGGTGCGACCCACTCGCCGTATGAGATCGGGCCGTATTACCGCTCCAATGGCGTTTTAGAATTTTGTGCAAGGATTTGATGAGGAGCGCCAGGCAGAATGTGGATTTTACGCTTATGCGTGAGCTATACACATAGAAAACCACCTGGGCTATGAAAAATCTCGTGAGAGGTAATCAATTTTCAAACTTTGTGGAAGCTATATGAAGTAAACAAACCCGAGAGGCAGCTGACATGAATTCTACTCTTCTCTGCTCCCTCACGCCTGGAACCATATAGATATAAATCGTCTAGCTCTAGATAGATACCTGTGATTTTGACCTACTGTATGCCCAGCAAAGTCAGCAGTGAATGTCAGCTCGTCAAAAGAGTTCTTAATAAGTAGATACACTCCTTGTCATAAAACACTTCATATTCGATGCCGCGAGTACCAGTACTAAAATTGCCGAACGTGGAAACTGTCATAAGACATGTTCCTTGCCAGCGATCTATTTAAGATGAACCGACGAAGGTTGAGGATAAGGGGCATCTCTGATATACTAACGTCTAAAATTTTCTCTGTAATTTACATGATAATGATAATCATCTCTCCAAAACGAATCTTGAGAACAAGGTATATCAACTTAATAATGAGACCAATTACTTCAAAAGGTTTGAGGCAAAGATTCGAGAAGACTTGGCCAGCGTTCCGTGAATAGATGTTCCTTTTGTGTGTATCGCGACTGGGCAGCTAAATCATTATGGAGTAGCGGGTATGAGATGATTCAAGTTCCTTTCATTCATATATGTATTGAAAGGTGCATCCCTAACAGCTTGCTCTGTAAAACACCATGTCCATGGGTGCTCACCGGCTGTAAAATGCCTCCTTATCATCACGCAATCCTAAATAGCAACACCACCAATAGCTTCTCACGTAGGCTCTCATGCAGCGCCCCCTTTTTTCATTTTTCTCAAGCAAAGCTCCGGTATCAAATTTCATCTGCAACGCAACTCAGCAATTTTCAACATCTTCCCAATCCCCAGTCAATAAACTGATTTGTTTGGCCATAAAAACGTGGATTTCGGCCTTCTACATCTTTACGGCGATCTAGGATCTATTTAAGGGACCAATTTCGGCGAGATTGGCCGAAAATTGATCCTATGACCTTTTTTTTTCCACTTCTGAAATCACGCCTAACGGAGGGTGAGGGTATCACCCCCCATTGCAATTGATTGTGCGTGTATAATACTGTATGGAGTTTCGTGGTAGCATCCCTACCGGAATACTTGTGTAGTTTGTAAGGAAAACGGGTAAAGCATCCGGTCTCTCGGATTTGACTTCCCAAAACTTGGCCTCGGGCCATCTGCGTTCAATGGTCCCAGCTATCAGGCACCAGAGTATTCATATCGGCTTATTTATGGGGTCAGAGCTGCATGATACCGTGGTATTCATTCTCTTTTTATCATCTTCAGCTCTCACCGCCTGAGCATGCATGAATATCGATATCGACCGAGGCTTCATTCTGGTCGTCCACCGTGATGTACATCTTTTCTTCAATTTCGGCCCAAAGGAAGGACTAGATTCGGAGTTTAAACCGACAGAGAAAAGCTCCAATTCATACATCTCCACCGTATGATAGCCTCTTCATCCATTGTTCTTCCACGAATTATACCCTATTTGAATTCTTGTTATTCAAAAAGAATAGTAGGAGCCAGGGCTATATGATAACTGGTAGACTTTCTCGGCCCGACCCCATACGCCCGCAATTTTAAAGCAATGCTACCGAGAAGGGCCCGAAGGCAGCAGAGAAATGCTATTTTCATCGTTATGCTGACGCATCAGGGGACGTAGTATTGGGTAATTGTTATTCAAAGACATGTCAAGATCGATTCATTCAACACGCGGATGCTGAAAGCTGAAGTTGAAGCGCAAATGTGGAGCACTACCCAGGCCTTAGCAGCACAAGGCTGATGCCGTATTATGGCCGCGGCAGCACATAGCAACCACCGGCCGAGGCATGTGGATTGCATCGAAATCTGACGTGTATACGATCTTTTGCTATTGATCAACCGTATGCTGCTCGGCGAGATTGTTTGTTGTGGGGAGAATTAGGAGATTATGCCCTTTTCTTCATTCCGGCGAGGCTGACGAGGCGAGCATTCAAAACGACCGAGAATTCAGACCCATCCATGGTCTCTAGTGTAACACGTTCACATTGCAAGGTCGTATAGTAGTAGTAGCTGGTTGAGGACAAGAGATGACACAGATCTGTCCAAAATCGGGCTTGCCAAGCTCTAGGCAATGCACAGCCGTTAGCTAAGACTGGGCGGGGGTTATACGAAGCTGGTAAATCAGAGTAGCAGTCTAAAAAGGTAAGTCAAGGGAGGTGAACCTGAGGAACGCAAAGTCTCGGATAAGACAACAAAGCCTTTGCAGATATTGTTGTACCACGTGCTGTGGTGATAGATTCTCCTCTTTGACTTGCGTGTGTATTACAAGATACGCGTACGTGGACCTATCATCGAGTTTACTTGTAAGTCGAGGTGCATGTAGAATATTAGCTGTACTTCGTACCGCAAGGACGGTATGCAGCTCAGGGAATCCACCAGGACCACATGGCAGCCAAGAGTGGATTTTCTCTGGGGCCTTGATCCCTTTGCCCTTTGCCTACTTTTAGTCGGGGCAGGGCAGGGCCGATTGTGGTGTAAATCCTTCGCCGGCCAGCCGCCTTGGCCCGTGGAGACTGTGGCGTTTTCCACCGAGAAAAGGGCCCTTCTTTACGTAGACATGATCAAAGCACCCAACGACCGTGGCCGGTCAGCGTTTCAGGCCCCCAATGCCGAAGATCAGACGCTTTTCGCATCGTCTGGCGGTCACTCTGGCGGTATGAATGGTCCTAGCCCGGAGGCCAGCGCCAGCTACGGGCATCGCTTGCGCTTCTCGATCCGGCCAGCTAAAGTAGGGCCCCATTCCGTCATGCCGTAGCTTGCCGCTTGCAAGCATGTCCCAAACGGGAGATGGATCGGAGCTGGTGGCTTATTGTGGCGTTCGTTTTTCCTCCGAGCTAGTTCCGCGAAGCCTGCGGCTGTGAGCAACAGCCTTGCTCCTCGAGACAGCGAACAGCAGCAACAGCATGTGAAACTGAGCTTGGAACCGACGATCCTGGAGGATCTATCCATTCTCGAGATCTTTGAGGTAACAGCGGGCGGGGAAGCGAGATAACCATGCTGCAAGATCCATTACTGTGAAGGCCAAACAAAAGCAGATACTGTGTACACCATAGATAGAGAGATAGATTCATCACAATGAATCTGTTGGTCCTGCTTCTTAGCGCGCTGTAGGCATCCCTGGACGAAACCCTCGTTCTTTGGCTTCTTGATGAGCGGGGATGGCGTGAAAAGAAAAAAAAGAAAAAAAGAGAACGGTCACAAGATGGTCATCCATTCGCCGTTCCCAATCACGAGCTGGTATGGCCACGCGGTTTTAAGACTCGGATGCAAGCTTAAAGGCGCGATACAACGTTGTACAAGCATTTTGCAGCCTTAAGCCATATTAAAGCCAACCGGCTTCACAAGGAAGAGTGGGCTAAACGCATAGACTGTACTCCGTTTACACCTTGCCATTATTTTTTGGCACCATCGAGGATCTCTTTTCAGTTTCCGTTCTTTTGATGATTAACAGTGGCCGCTTAATTTTCCTAGATGCCCCTCTTTGACCATCCCTCTTGATAGCGGTTAAGCTATGTCAGCCACCTACGGAAGGACAGACGGAAGAGGCATCGGAAAACCACACTTCACCATGCAGAGCAAGGGAAGAAGAAAAAAGGCGGCGGTGGGGAAGCGCCATGGATTAGGTCACCCGCCTCCAGTACAAATCCCCCGAGGCTAAGATGCGGTTGGCTGCTCTCGTGTCCGCGCGAAGTTTGGAGCTAAAAAAGCGGTTGGCGTTTGATGATCATTCTAGGAAGCGTAACCAGGATTGAATCTCGGGAGGTGCTGGACCTTAAGCCGACGGGCATTTCGCGCCACATGCAAGAAGTTAGGCATACCGTGCATGAACAAAGCTGCCGCGAGAGGTCAGTCCAGTGCCAACCAGCCCCTGGCCTTGCTTTGCAGCACCCAGGATTAAAGCCTGCGGAGGTATAACTCTATACAGAAGCAATATAGCTGTTGCTGACCCTATTGGCTACTCGGAAACATGTTGTTTTCCGGGGTTTGCTTAGGCGAGGCCAGGTGAGGCGCGAAGGAGTCATTGTCGTCTCGGCCGGTGACTGACGTTTTGATCAAAAGCCGTTGGAAGGGCCGGTGTTGGAGACGACAGTGTCACGTTCGAGCTATGGGAGGTCGTTTGAGAAGCAGCCGTTTGCCTGGATTTGTCTACTGACGAATTGGCGTTCAAGAAGAGAGATATGGGGCGTCGCATCTCTTGGCCGCCAGGCACATTCCTCGTGGGAGGAGTAAATGTTTTGGAGAAATCTGGAGAGCTGGGGCGCAAACGGTACCGTGCTGGTTAGGCTGTATACCATGCCATGTGCAGCGTGTCCATGCATCAAGTTGAGGGCTCTTTTTACATGCTGCAGTGTCCAATCTTGGGTTGCATTGGACCATCGCAGCGGAGAAGGATAGCTGAGTTGGAGGCCAGAGAGACGCAGGGGGATTGAATCTGTTGCCTGTTCTCCTCGTGTCGGGCACGATTCAGTAGCAGTACCTACATAGCTGTGCGAAGTACCCGTAGTCCAATCCATGAGTGCTCGTATACTGTACCAGGACTGTGGATTGAAGCCAACAAGAGTGGTCAAACAAGCAGCACGAGTGGAGTGCGAGGTGCGTGAAGCTGGTCAAATCAGCCAACGCGGAGATGCGTTGCTGGTGGTGTGACAGCGAAGACCGACGTGCTATTGAAGGAAGTGAGAGCTATACTGGCAGGATGAGAAGTGGGACGCTGCTCAAGCCGGGGTCCATGGGGAGAGAGATCGAGGAGAGATACTCGTACGAGTGGATGTGGATGTTGGGTGGTGGCCGTTGGGTGCAGCAGTCATGTGCAGGACTGTGCGAGTATGCGGCGAGCGACACTGTGGCGAATGGCCCGTATTGTCGTATTTCCAAAAGCCGATCACTGCCGCTCTGAGATGGGCAGCAGCAACGAACTTCGCCGGGCCTGATGCGGGCGGTGGCACAAGATAATCTGTCTTCAACTCCGAAAGCTGGCCGTTGTTGGCGGGAGGATCATTGTCCGGGGTTTTGGCGATGCCCAGCGTCGATGGCTGGCCGCCTCTCTCTTCTCTTGTCTGCATCTCGCTTTTTTCTCTTGCAGCTGTCAGGCTCGGGCACTTACGAAAACATCTGCCGCGGCTGCATTGCCGTGCCAAAGCCGGAGAGATAAGTTTTTGATTAAAGCCTGCGACGTCATTTTGGGCTGCGCGCCAAAGGCCGGGGGAGTGGAGGCGGAGAGCCGACAGCGTGCCTCTACAGTGGGCGCCGACGCCTAAAAGCCCCCCCCTGCGAGAGCAGCAATTTACGCAGCGAGGGCGGGTTTCGGGAGCTAACTGACAGCGGGCAAGGCTCGATTGGAGGGGGGCGTGGGTTTCTCTCTTTTTCTCCATCTTGGAGCTTTTTTTTTTTGAAGGCATCATCAATGCGTTTATACAATCAAGTAGGTAGTTTCTATGTACTTACTAGCCAGATGCTGTAGTATTATAGAGCATAAATATCTAGGCAAGATAGATAGAGTAGCAGTGGGCATGTCTGCCCTGGAATGCGACACTAGCGAGAGCAACGGGGAACAAAATAAGAGAGCAAAACAACACGGTCACAGCCATAACATAGTGTATGCAATAGGCACTCCAAGCTCACGAGCACCACACCACCATGTCCATCGTTCATCGTACACGGAGATGCTGACCTTTTGCAGCATCGGCAATTTGCTGCCGACAATCGCTGCGGCCAAGACGCCGCAAACCCAAAGAATCCTTTCCCCTCTCGCTCTCAGCAGCTTCTAGTGGCCATCTAGACGTGTTGCCTCTTCACTTACTCTGACTTCAATCGATTGGGTTTCACACCCCCCCCCTTCTTCCGCGGACGGCCAAACTCTCGGCGACATGCAACCTCCAGTCTCCATCCTCTTGGCGCTCCAACAGACGAAAAGAGCAAGAAAACGCTTGTTGTGGCGATCCTCTCGCATGGGAGAGGCGAGGGGGGCCCCCTGGACCTCTAGCCTCGTGCCTTGGAACAAGCATGAACCGGGGTGGTTGGAACCAATATTCATTTATTTTATTTTTTTATTTATTTTTTCATCTTTTCTTTTCTTATTGGCACACTCACTCCATGTACTTTTTCTCACCAGATCATAGATACATAGATTTACGTGTAAGAAGAAAAGGATAAAATCATGTGTCATGGTGATACGCGTGAGTCTTACAAGGCAACCCAGTCGTATGCACGGCACGGCCGAGTCACCACGCGAGCGGCGGGTGGTGCTACCGAGCTGCTGGAGATGGCATTCTGTTGTCGTGCGCTGTGGACGAGTATGACGAGACTGGGATGAGGGAGTGGCATTGTTAGTGGCATTATTGTTTTAGAAGAGCTGGCGATTTTTTGCTGCTTCTTTGCTCGGGGAACTCAAACAAGTTGATGTTGTACGTAACCCAATCAGCTGTTACAGGTCGAGAGGTACAAGTACTTGCATTGCATGCAGGACCCCTGGCTTTTGCATTGTAATTGGATTAGGCTCTGCGCGTGCAACCAAGGTAGGTAGTGAAGCACGGTATGGGAGCTATTGCACTTTGGTGACAGTCTCTCGTTGCTTTCTTGCTTCCCATTTCCTCCCCATCGTGGGTTTTGGCATTGCTCGCTTCGCGCCTCTCCATGCCCACAGACCACCCACAAAAACATCCAGCTTCCAAACGCATTTCACTTCTTCCCCGGGGGATCGGGCCTGGGGATTTTGAGGAGAAAGAGTTGGAGGAGGGGTGTGGGGAAATACAACTTTGCTGGGGGCCGTTATTGGGGGCATGAGGTTGTTCGTGCTGGGGTAGCTTTTAGGTGCGTTTGGTGGCTTTTATGGGGGTCAGAGTCAGGGGGGGAAACGCCATTCTTGGTAACGAGTACTTTTCAAATGCCGGATGACATGCCTCGGCGCCGGTGTATTCGGTACTTGCGCAGAAGGCTCGCGCAAGCTCCCTTCGTCTCCTCATCGCCTCCCGAATGCGACTTACAGCACGCGCTGCTGCTGCTGCTACTACCGCCGCTGAGCAATGCTACATGTACTGTATGCTGCTTGAATGCTTGAATGTGTATCCTCCTCCTCGTGTTGCATTGGTTCCAGCCCCCCGGAAGCGTCAGTACCCAATACATGCTGGCTACGAGCGCTGCTTGGCCGGATTCGCCCAGGGAAAGAGTCCGCGATGAGACATCCCAATGTTCTCGATACCCACGCACATCACGCCGCAAAACCCTCGAGAGGCATCCACTTGCACGTCCCATCAATCAATCCACACCCCTCGTTCGTGGCCTGCTCGTTGACTGATGGATTGGCCAACCACTGCCAGGAAGCCTTGCCCCAGAAGAGCCGCCAGCCGAGGAGGGATCGGCCATCGCATTCAACGCCTCTCGTCTCGTTCTGGTGGGAAGCCGCCGCGGACTTTGTGCCCGCAAGATCCAACTGGCAGCTGCTCGCACAATTCCGGCGTAACGATGGGCTCGCGCTCAAAGCCGTGCAGTGTGCCCGTCTGGATATATATAGGCAGGCCCTTCCACCTACCCCCATCCTCTCTTTTACTTCTTGGCCCTTTTCTCGTCACCGCGTTTCATGGTCAAGACCCCGACTCACAAGTAAACTCAGGGTGGACTGCTTGAGCCATGGCTATCGGCAACATCTACGTGATTGCCGGCGTGTCCGTCGTCGGCGGCGCGCTCTTCGGCTTTGATATCTCGTCTGTCTCAGCCCAGCTGGCTGAACAGTCGTATCTATGCTACTTCAACCAAGATGAGAACCCCCCCACCGACGCCAACGGCACCTGTGGTGGTCCCCGTTCTCTGGTCCAGGGAGGTATCACCGCCTCCATGGCGGCTGGTTCCTGGCTAGGAGCTCTGATCTCCGGTCCTCTGTCTGATCGATTGGGACGAAAGTACTCCATCATGGTTGGCTGTATCATCTGGTGAGTCAAGACTGCAAAACCAGCCAATGCAATAATGCCTTAAGACGCCGCTCTAGTTTCCTGTATACTGACGATACATGTTCCAGGGTCATTGGTTCTACTCTCTCTTGTGCCTCCCAGAATATTGGTATGCTCATTGTCGCCCGTATCATCAACGGTCTCTCCGTCGGTATCGAGTCTGCTCAGGTCCCCGTCTACATTGCCGAAATCTCTCCCCCCTCCAAGCGTGGTCGCTTCATCGGTATGCAGCAGTGGGCCATTACCTGGGGTATCCTCATCATGTACTACATCTCCTACGGCTGCTCCTTCATTGGCAAGCAGAACCCTGTCGAGTACAACACTGCCTCCTGGCGTATCCCATGGGGCCTCCAGATGGTCCCCGCCTTCTTCCTCTTCTTCATGATGATGCTTCTTCCCGAGTCCCCTCGTTGGCTCGCCCGTAAGGACCGCTGGGAGGACTGCCGTGCCGTGCTTACTCTCGTTCACGGCAAGGGAGATCCTAACCACCCCTTTGTTGCCTACGAGCTGCAGGACATCAAGGACATGTGCGAGTTTGAGCGTCAGCATGCCGATGTTACCTACCTGGATCTGTTCAAGCCCAATATGATCAACCGCACCTTTATTGGCCTTTTTACTCAGATTTGGTCTCAGCTCACTGGCATGAACGTTATGAGTAAGTGCTATTTTCTCATTCACAGCATAGAATCAAGCTAACACCCTTCTCAGTGTACTACATTGCCAACATCTTCTCCATGGCCGGCTACACCGGTAACGCTGGTCTGCTCGCCTCATCCATTCAGTACATCATCAACGTCCTCATGACCGTCCCAGCTCTGCTCTGGGTCGACAAATGGGGTCGCCGCCCTACGCTGCTCGTCGGTTCCGTCCTTATGGCCCTCTGGATGTACGCCAACGCCGGTATTCTCGCCACTCACGGTGTAGTCGTTCCCGGTGGTATCGACCACGTCGCCGCTCAGTCCATGAAGGTAACTGGCGCCCCCGCAAAGGGTCTCATCGCCTGCACGTACCTGTTCGTGGCTTCGTTTGCTCCTACCTGGGGTCCCGTCTCTTGGACCTACCCCCCAGAGCTGTTCCCTCTCCGACTTCGAGGCAAGGGTGTCGCCATGGCCACCTCTGGAAACTGGGCTTTCAACACCGCCCTAGGTCTCTTCACCCCAGTGGCTTTTGCCAACATCAAGTGGAAGACGTACCTCATCTTCGGTATCTTCAACACCGTCGCTTTCTTCCACGTCTTGTTTGTTTTCCCCGAGACTGCTGGAAAGACGCTAGAAGAGACCGAGGCCATGTTTGAGGACCCCAATGGCATCAAGTACATGGGAACCCCTGCCTGGAAGACCAAGGTCGCCACCAGCCTTACTATCCGTGCTGAGCAGGGTGATGTTGAGGCCAAGATTGGCCACGACACTGAGAAGCCTCCGATCCACACTCACGAGGAGGAGAGGACTCCCCCTCCCGAGTAAATAAGGGTTTATTAGTTGAGATATCTTGAGCGATATTCATGATAATGTGGTTGAGAAGCGATGGAAAGAGTAGGCAGGTGGCCTCTTTGTTGATACCCTTGGATGGAGCTTAGTTAACATGGCCCCGTGCTGTGCAACTGAAGCTAATGATGCAAATGTTTAATAGTCGTACTATACCAATATAATCACATGTTGCATTCAATTTATAAGCCTTTGTTGCTAGTTTTGATTCATTCTTAGATTTGTATGAGCCGCTCAAACCTAACAGCATCCTAAATCTCTCTAATGGCCCTATATTAAACCCGAATAGCAACTACATAGCTTGGATTGAAAGAAATATAAGATTATATTGCATATATTTTCAAGCTCGTACATGGAGTGTTTTTCTACTAACAAAAAAAACAAATACAAACATAAGGAAAACCCAAATTCGGCTATATTAGCAGGGTTGTAAGTAACTCAGCCACAGGGCCCATTTATTTAGAGACCAATTACTGTAGCTTGGAGGTCTATTAACCCGCCAATCTCTTTACATAAGCTGCTTTCTATATACAAGTTTGCAGTAGCTATGTGCTGATAGATTCCAGTTGGCCTAGACACTGGGGTAAGGCTGATTTCATGTAGGTACACGTATGCATAAATAATGCAGCAGGCTTCCCGTAATGGCTCCCTGTACCTCTCCACCATGGTTAGTATCTAGTACTAGTCTGCCTTACAAAATCTCGAGGCTATGAGTACTAAAGCGTGCAGTTTACTTCGACCATCTTTACTCTGATTTAATGCAACTATCGCAGCTCAGGGTAATGACGTGCTCAAGTAATGTCGGATCTCCAGAGAAAAACAAAAGCAACGTGGAGATTTTGCTTCTTGATCAGCCTTGCGAATACTGCATGCTACTCCATCTCGACGAGGCAGAGCATGGCGAAGCTGTCCGATTTAAATACAATGGAGAGAGATATCTTTTCTTTGGCAACGTTGACCTATCCACGGCAACATCGTATCATAACAATCTGATAACTTGGACGCCGCATGGGGAAGAATTACTGAATCTTCGCATAAACCTAGGCTATAAGAGGGAGGATATACTGCCAAACCTTCCAGGTCTTGCGGCTACTGCCTCTCAAGGATGCTCCTTTTGCGGTATTTTGAGGGGAGATGTCATCTCCATTTTGCCCAAGATTGGGACTACTTCTTCAGAAATTGTGGATGGCTTTGGTGATTCTGGTCAGATAAAACTCATTATTACTGAAGTCTCCTACAAGTTAGGGGAGTATTATGATGTAGAAGTGTGTGCACATCAAATGACGACGCTTGATTCACTTTATGTCTATTTGACCGTCGAGGTGGGAGGAGAGCCGGTGGGCAATTACTCGCTTCATTATGATATTTACGCCGAAGCCTCTGGTATTTATTATCTCTCCCCTGATGTTGTAAAATACATCAATACTAGCATTTATACATAGACGAGCCGTTAACGAAGGGCTAGATCCTTGCGCCACCTGGTTTAATATTCAGAGGAGGCCATTTTCCAATCGACTTTTATCGGAGCTAGCAGTGAATCGCCTGCGCGAGCTAATCGCTCAATCATCAAATGAGATGTCTGCTTCGGATGACAACGCATATTTGCCCACGCGTCTGTTAGATGTAGGATCAACCACTGAGCCATGTCTCCGCTTGGTCTCTTTGGAGAATTATCCACAGCTTCAACCGGCAGCGGCAAATGCCTTTGCAAACAGATACGCAGCTGTGAGTTACTGCTGGGGTACCAAAGAAGAAGCCGAAAAGCAACTGAAAACTACCGTGAATACTCTGCAGCAGCGTTTCTCGGAAATTGACCTCAAAAGTATGCCACACACTGTTGCAGATGCTGTTCGGCTGTGCCGCGCGATTGGCCTGCGCTATCTATGGATTGACGCTTTATGCATTATACAAGACGATGACAACGACTGGACGAGGGAATCCTTTGAAATGTCCAATATATACGCCAACAGTTTTATTACAATCTGCGTTGTTACAGGGACTTCGTGCTCGGCTGGATTCCTGGACAAGCGTCATAATCAAAAAACGCTACAAATAAATTTCACCTCTCAGATAGATCCAGCAGTCAAAGGAAAGCTATTTCTCCGAATTTACAAGCATCCTACACTTAATCTCACGACAGAATATACAAAGATGTCTGTCTCCGAAGGGCTCATGAGAAATGACAAGCTCGAAGTTGACGAGTGGGCTCTTGAAAAAGCCCCATGGTTCCAGCGCGGATGGACGTTTCAGGAAAGTCATTTTTCAAAACGCAAACTTCTCATCGGGCATGAAATGGCGTATATGTGGCATGAAGACAGCATGGTGTCGATGGACGGAACTCGGCACGATAGGTCACAGCTTACTTTGGAAGCTCATAGGAGCATGCGTGACGCTATAGACCAGTGGTATACCATGGTTAGATTCTACGTCCGGAGAAAGCTTTCTTACGAGCGAGATAGATTGCCGGCCTTGTCTGGCCTCGCTAGGGCTTTGGGAACTTCGTTTCCCGATCTAGAGTACCTAGCGGGATTATGGAAAGCCGATCTTCATAGAGGACTGTTCTGGATATCGGGGACTACGCAAAGCTACCGAGAATACGTCAAGCCGCTCAAGTATGGATACGTCGCACCTTCATGGAGCTGGGCACGCCGTCCAGGTCCCATCTACTGGTTCTTGGGCGTCCAGTTTTCCGTCGGCGTCAAGTACACGCCGGAATTTGAGCTGCGAGCCGCCAATGTCGTCACGGACAAACTGAACCCTTACGGCCGTGTATTCAGCGCATGCCTAGAAATGAGTGCAAAAATATACAGAATGGTGCCGCTGGGAGTTGATGGAGAGGATAGCAGTAACAGGAGGAGGCCATGTGCAAAAGAAGCTCCTGAAGATGAGAGGCTACATCTGCACACTTACCCGTTTCACTACGTCCTGCGCTCGAAACAGGGCGACTACGTGGCTAATTTGAACTTTGATTGGGATGTTAAAGGTTTTCGTCATGATGGCTATGGGTACCCGGATGCTCCTTTGGATGAGATGCGAATGCTGCTGATTTCGAGTTCTGATCTCAGCGATGGAGATGTACATCGAGATTTGGATAAGGCCCTTTCTGACCAGAGGATGATGGTTGGTCTCCTAGTTATGCCGACTCGGAATGTGGATGAGTTTGTTAGAGTTGGCTTGTGGTATTCTGTGGCGAAAGGGCTCGGTGGTAGCAAGCTGTGGGAAGATATTCAGCCGCAAGTAATCAGACTTGTTTAATTTCCTCGATGGCGTGAAGCCAATAGAAACGAACAAAGAATAATTGACGAATTAAATTAGATATCAGTGTCAATGAAGGCAGGATTGTAGTGCATCTGCGCAATTGTCATTTGTATATGCTATGCTCAATCTAATATATAAAAGGTCACAGTATATCTGTGTATTCTATCATGTTCATGAACGCCTACCATGCCATGCCATGCCATATAAACATCATGCCATCAAAATGAAACGAAAATCATCCATCGCCAGTATAAACATAGGTCTTACTCAATCAACTCATCAATCCAACATTACCATATCATTTCTCTACTTATCGCCCGCCAGCAGCAGAGCCATCATCCCATCCCACCCAACGACGAATTATGTCATCAACAATCTTGACTCCATCTCTCGTGGCATCCACTTCAAACCACTCCTTGTGTTCATGTCCACATGTCTTGCAGGCGCCGAGATCAGCACGGAGTCCCATGCCGCCAAGCTCAAGGTGAATGAGGCGTTCCACCTTCTTGACATGCGGTGTGGGATGGACAGCCGCAGCCGCAGCAGCTGGGGATGGGGCTCTCCCCCCAGCACCCCGTCCATGAGAGTTGGACGACGCAGCATCGAAAGACGGAGGGGTGGATGAGGACATGTAAGGGTAGAAACGCAGCAGCTGGATGGAGTGGCCGCATTGGCGGGACCATTGGTTCATGCGGCGCTGGACATTGGCAGCTCGGCCGATTTTGAGAAGCATGGTCTTTGGCTTCTGGCCGTTGGTGTTGGCGAATGTAGACACAACATCGCTGGGCCTTCTGCTGCGGGTGCCGCCTCGGGGAGGAGGAGCGAGGAGGTCCCTTGCGGCGTCGACGGGGGCCGGATCAGCAGCCGATTCGGGAGTGAGCCAGAACATGTAGATGTAGCCGGGTTCGTCGGCATCGGAAAACGGCTTCGCTACCTCCTTCATGAGCACCGACGACGTGTGGGCGTCGAGGGAATCTGGGATGAGAGACTTGAGGTGGCCCGCCGTCGGGGCCGAGGAGCTGGAGGGGCGGGAGTGCCCCTGATGATGAGACGTCTGTGGCCGTGATGGACGCGCCGAGGGGGTCGACGGCCGAGCAGCCTGCGGTTGCACGGGGTGAGGCTGCGGCCTGGGCTGGTGAGGCCTCGGAGCCTCGTCAAAGTCTTCCTCCGGGACGCTAAAGCAGAAGCAAAAGGTCGTCGTCTTTGGCTTGGGCCTGTACTTTTCCGACGAGAACCGGCCGCTGGGTCGTTTATTGTCGTTGATATCTACGAGCCCCAGGCGATCCGCCAGCGTATCCAGACTCGTGCGGCCTTCCTCGCGGATGACGCCGCCAGAGGGCCGTCCCGCGCCGGGGCTCGACTTGCCCGAGCGGCCGGCCTGGTCCTTGTGCTGCCAGCAGTAGGAGTCCTCGCCGTCGTCGTCAGGGGTGGGCGGCGACAGCTTCTTGCGCGACGGCGGCGGATGGCCTGTGGGGCTGACGGGGCGGCGACAGGGCCGGCCGTTGGAGGTGATGCCGCGACATGTTGCTTCGGGGTTGAGCGAGTCGTTGCGCGCGAGGAGCGACTCGGGGGTGGTGCCGGTGAAGGAGGGCATCGCGGGGAGAGGGAGAGATGAGGCGAGCCAGGCAGAGGGTGAATGTCGTGTTTGTTTGTTTTCTTTTGTGTTTGTTTTCTCTTCGAATTGTACCGTATCGAGATGAGCTGAGACTCGCTGCCTCTTCCCGCCGTCTTTTAAACGTCAATTGCTTGCCGCTAAATGCTGCACGGCCAATGCCACGTCCGACGTCAAAGTTTTTTCTTGCCTCGTCCTCTTTGTTGTCCAAAGGGCATCAACGCATTTAAAGCTGCCCAGGGCCAGGGGGTCCCGTGGTTCTCACTCATTTGACTGATTCACCTCAGCGTCCCATTTAGTGTCTCGTTAGCGATCAGACCCCTACGAACACGCCGGCAAGCGCCGAGCCCATCCTTCACCTGGCGGCAACTGGTTGGTGGCACGGGGGGCTGACGGCCTGGCCAGCGCAGCGTGAGCCAGGGCATCGTGGTCGCGTGTTGGGTGGCGGCTTGGTGGGGATTGCTCTTTGCTGTAGAAAACGGGGCGGTGGGCTGGAATGACGACGGCCTGCAGGGGTTTTGGGCTGCAGAACGCGCAGAGGGACGAGGTTGGCGATGGTTTGCGAGACATCAGCGGCTGTTAGGCTGCCAAGTATTCTGTCGCAGAGTATATGCAGCGTCCCCTTCGTATAAAGAGTTTCTGACGCACATGCGTGTGGGTATGTTCAGTAGCAGTGATGGTGGTTACATGCAATGGAGGGGGCTGGGATCCGTTCGTTGGGCTGAGCAGCTGCTGCACCGCCGGCCTCAGCACCGCCACAGCGGCCTCCCCAATCGAGGATGAGCGTCATGCTGCGTCTCATGAACATGTATTCTGCAAAAGCACAAAGCTGAGAGGCGATTTGCGTGCAGTTCAACCTCTTGTTGCGAATCATTTCAGTGTGAGAGTCGAGTCAGTGCTCACAACTACCTGAGGTGTCGATGATTTCAGCTTCCGAGCTGCACTAAACCGTCTTAGTTCTGCAGAGAACCAATAGCGCCAACCCAAACATGAAGCTACACGCGTGGAATGTGCAATAGCCTCATTTGTCCCCTTTCTTTATTTCACATCTCCCTTTGTCTCTCATCTTAGACGGATCTCTAATAGAAGACTCCTCTTCTCCGTCTTTCCTTTCTCTAGTTGAGACTAGTATTAGACATTGTACCATCCTTGGCTAGCTCCTCCGCAACCAACTTGACCCGATCCACCATGATTATATCCACGCCAGCATCCGCTTGTTTCTATCCAGTAGTGTCATCATCAAAATCCCCAAAATATGGGAGAGGGACGGAGAAAAACTCACTCGTGCAAGGATAGGCTCGTTATTCAGCAGCCCATAAGAAGCACACACCAGCCCTGCATTCTTCACAAATTGCACAAGCCTAGGGCAATATAGCAGCGCCTCACATGCAAAGACGACTCCAGCCAGATTCCAGAACCGAGCAAACTGCACGCCCACTTGCAGGCTTGCTACCCTGAGCTCTTTATCTGCCATGGGCACTTTGCCGGCATTGGTGATGAACATGACCGGATATGTCTTTTGTTTCACGGAGAGCAGAATGCAGACTTCAGGCGTGAACGATGACAGTATTATTGGGCGGTTGCCCGCTAGTCTCTGGATCTTTTCGAGAGCAACGTCGACGAATGTGTTGATATCGATGGTAACTGGAGCTACTCCAGCGTCTACCGCTTCATGGAGTCGCGGATACTCTGCACATTGTAATCAGTTTATGCCACTGTTGATTCCATTGAGAGACAAAGACAGACGTACTCATTTCAATATTGAAACCAATATCCTCTGGCAAATTCATAAGCAGCTCATCCAACGTAGCCAATGAGCCCTGTATAAAGTCCCCCCTGGTATTAGGCTTGAAGCCCTTGCTCTGGAAGTCTACAGTGTAACGCAATCTATCACGCAGCTGTACAGTTCTTAGGCGAGACTCTTCACCTGTTGACCAGGCGCGTCGCCTTTGCGGGTAACCATGTAACACGCCACTTGTGTCTATAGTGGCCGGAGTTATGCTTTGTGGTTCTTGTAAATCACTTGCGTGTTTATACTGAGAGAGCGTAACGTCATGGATGGCAACATCGGTTCCAGATTCGCTCAGTGAGAAATCGTGAAATATTACGGCCTCGAGATCGCGAGTAATTTGCAAGTCTATGAATCTGTTAGAGTTGCCACATTGTGTGAGAAGAAAGATGCAATACCAAACTAAAGAATATTAGTAAGAATGAAATCAAGACCGGTAGACACAAGACTAGCTTACTTCAACAAACGATGCTCCCAACTTGAAGGCAGATAGAAAGGACTATAACACTCGACGTCAGTGCCCAAGTATATTCAAAAGATATGTTATTTCGCACCATGGCTGTATTCTCTCCTAGCTGCAAATACGATCGGTTATCAGTATTCTGTCCCAAGCCTGCAATATCATCAGCTTCATGTCATGGTTAAAGGGTCGTCTAAAAGATGAAGTTAAAATACCTCTATGACCAACCATCCGCATCGGATCCCCCAATCGTCTCTGATAGTTTGTTGTATCCGGCTGCTGGAGGCCTGCGAAAGGCGTAGCAACAACATAGCTCAGCAACACAGTCCCCGTCAAGTCCATAGTCTCTTTATCCATCATAAAGACAGTGACCTCACGAACCATGCTTTCGCGTTTCTTTCCAAAGAACACTTTTCCATGATCTAGTGTTGTATTTCCGCGGCTCAAGAGTACCATCGAGTCCATGGACTCACGACGAAATAGTCGGACAGATATCTGAAGGGGCGCTTCATTTTTGGCCTGGAAGATAAAGGGCTGGTTGATTTGGTCTTCCAGTATTGGCAACCGCACTAATTTTGCATCAGCCTCTGTTCCTGGAGCACAGATCTCGAGTACTAGAGAAGACGTCGATCTGGGGCCACTGCTCCTCTCAGGAATATAATGAGAGAGCTCAAATGCAGCACGATCGTGTCCTCCCTGAGTGCTTCCGAGGTTGACGACGACTAATCTTTCGCTGCTGTTACTGAAAAAAGTCTGCCTAGGGTTCTTATAAGCCAGCCTATGAGAGCCTGCAGGCCCTCCGTTTGTAGTTTCTGATGGAGTCGACGTAAAAAGCGTTGCTATACCAAGATGTCCTCTGAATACCGCAAGTTCTCGGGCAGTCCACCCCAAAGCATCGCAGCTCTCAGGCTCAACCCCAGCCTCCAAGAGACAGCTTACAATGTCGCTGTGTCCGTTTGCACATGCAACCATAAGCGGGGTCCACCCTGTAGCTGTTGCAATATTTACATCAAGCCCACGTTGAGTATAGGTGAGCAACAGCTTAACCAGGCCCAGATTATTTGCTTGAGCTGCGCAGTAAAGGGCAGTTTCACCATGAGGCGCTGTGTAGTTGATATCAGGTTGATGGTCTAGCAAGATGTTTGCGATATCATCTTGGCCGCTTCTTACAGATAGAAGAAGAAGATTCCCAAACAGAGGTTGAAGATCAGATTTTGACTGCTTTATATCATTAGAGTCAACCAGCCATTTCAATAGGATGGCTAGGACTGATGTTTCGCCAGATAGGACGGCATAGTGTAGCGGCGTCATGCCATCGTTGTCTCTCCAGGATAATATGTCGGCAAGATGCCCGACATCTGAATTAAATGCGCAACGTATTGAAGCTTCACAAAAGCTTTCCAGTCCGTATTTTGCGGAGTAGTAAAGCGCAAGACGCCCGTGAACACCTCCGCGACGCAGGAAGACAGTAGCGAGAGCGCAAGGTCCGTCGAGCAATTTGACGAGCCAATCTTCGGGCGTGGGCGTGGTCCGTGAGCCATTTTGTTTCATGTGGCCGCACAAACTGAAGAAAAAGAATATCTGATCTATATGCATGGCCCAACCATTTTCAGTCACAAACTCAAAAAGAAAATTTGCACTTTCTTTTGCTTCCATCATAATCGCAGCAATGAATAAGCTGTAAAGTTGCCTTTCAAACTCAGACCCGTGCGAGCTTGTTGGAGGATTACACGAGAGATAATATTCTCGCAATGCAGCAACCTGGTCGTTCTTGATCCAATCATACGAATTCTCCGGCGCACTGTCGACCCGAATACACGCATTCATGTATAAGGATCGTGTAGGTTGTCGAGTCATGGAGCGTACTCGGCGTGCATCAACTATTATGCTAGAATACCTTTTTCGGGTATCTATTCGAAGACTTTCGAGACTCTGTTGTGTTGCAAGCCATTGTGATTGAAGATGATGGTAATAGCTTGTCTCGTCTTCGAATCCGTTGGCAATCTTGGCAAAGACTTTTGTTATAGCGGCCTCGTTTACTCTATCGAACCATTCAACGTCGCATACTTCACGCAACAAGTCTTCGTAAACAAAGAGAATCAAGCCAAGTTCGGACTGTTCCACAGTATCGATGTCGGGGATGTCGGCAGGCGTTGAAGGCAAGCCAATTATGGCACAGAGGTCAGCCTCTCGCTGAATGATAGACGTGAGTTTTTTCTGGTGGGACGCTTCAAAGCTCTTCATGCTTTCCTCCAGGCATTTCAAGACATCTAAATCGAAATCGGTTAAGGAAAGGGAGAAGCAGACTCAGAGACTTGTGCGTTACCGACCTGCTGGGGGCTCTTCCCGCTGCGATGCAAGCCGTATCATCTGCCGGAGGCCATTGTAATCGACGTAATCATCGGCCCATTTTGCCAGCAGATGCTGGTGATAATGCAAGCCAAACCTCATGATGTAGAAGCCGGAGGAATTTGGAAGGAGTGACTTCAATGGCTCCTCAGATTGTGCGCTGGAGCTAAGGTTTGATTTTCAAAGCTCAGGTCAGCTGCGGTTATTGAGGATACAGAAAGGTACATGTGATATCAAAGCGGGGTTGGACGCCATGGCCCGGTTTGCCAAAGGAAAAGTCATTCTTGGATTAACAAGCCCATGTACTCTCACCGTATTGTAGGAAAGCCCGTCAGCTTGCTACATGTGCTAGACATGGGGCTCCGCGGGAACTTTGACAAAACGAAACCGGAGCTGAAGACTAGTGGAATCCAGTGGAATTGCCCATTGCCACATTAAGAGCCCTGCATAACAGGGCGCAAGCAGTTACTCTACCTCTAACACACACACTCGCGCATAATATTGCTCGTTGATTAAGAGGGAGGTGGCATACATGCACATGTATTCATGTATATATATATATGCACTTATTCGCACTAAAATCGAGTCTTGAGACGGAACGGCCCGTCTAGTGTTTTTTGGCGCCAGCGCGAAATCCTTCTCAAGCATAGCATTGCGCTGCTGTCGTGTGCTCCCAAGCACTAGCAATACCACCAGTTTAGCCCATTTCACACGTTTGGGACTGCTACAAAGAATACCACTTATACGACGTATATCATCAGTTCTTCAAGCCAGCCTCTACGGAGCACTGCTACTCACTAATCTATCGCATGGATCCACTCCCTTTATCTGCGAGCACCATCGGCATCGTCACTTTTGCCTCTCAAATCTGCAAGTCGATTGCGTTGCTGCGGGCTCTCTGCAAAAGCCTGCCTGGACGGATCCACGCCCTCAGCAATGAGGTGGCTGATTTCGAGCTGGTTCTGCTGCAGCTCGCCTCGCTGGTCGAAGGGCGAGAGAGTCTTCCAGAGAGCAAATATTCAGCTGTGCCGCATCTGCTAAAGCAGGCGAGGGCCAAGCTGAACGAAGTCGAAACGATCGTCAGTGCCCTCACGCGGGCCTACCAAAAATCAAGGCGGCCCCTCAGTCTGATGAACACATGGCGCGCAGACCAGGCTCGGCTCAAAGAGCTGCAGGATGACATCCGGACTGTGAAAAGCAGCCTGAATATCATGCTTGGGGCTACCAACTCGTAAATAAGCACCCGATTCCCACCTATAGAAGCGAGACACATGGACGGCTAACGGTGGCTTACACGCTTGACTATTTAGCGAAGATATGCTGAGAATCCGACTTGACATACAAGCAATCTCTACCACCACCACACAGGCATCCCAGACGCAGTCTGCTCTCGGCGAGAGATTCATCACCAGTCTGGCCGGCGTAGACGAACGAATCGCACGAGTTGAGCAAATGCTCCAACATCAAGCCGACATCTTGCAGATGAACCAGTTCATTCAAGTCCAGTCAGCATACGGAACCAACCTGCCTCTGAAGAAAAGACACACAATGACGAAACCATACTCGGCGGCGATGATGCCCGAGCAGCTTAATTTAGGAATCCGCGTGACTCCATCGAACATTGCTTGTCGAAAGCATTGTTCCTGCTCATGCCACACGCAGAGAAATTCAGCATCGCCAGCATTCTTAAACAATGTGCTTGGCCGCCTGTTCGTCGGCTATGCTGGCATGCCTGCCATGAGCCCGAAATGTGATAACCAAGAGTGCCAAGGATCGCGCTCAGGCAAAATAAGCCTGGAATACTGGTTTCCAGCAAGCGTCTGGTCCAGGATTTTGCGCATGGAGCTGTCATTCCATCACGCGGCGGGGCCCTCGCTGCAGCTAGACATGCTAAGGATCATACCCGACAACTCTCAATGCATAAACTTTGCTGTCGACGGAAATATTGGCGGGCTGAAATTTCTCTTCGATCGCGGCTTGGCGTCGCCTCGAGACGTCAGCAGCAGGCGAGGATACTCTTTGCTTCGCTGGGCGTTATATAGCAAGCAGTACGAAACCTGCAAGTTTCTCCTCCAAGCTGGCGCCGATGTCGATTACAAGCCGATTGGCGCCTTTGACAACAGCCCCCGTATCAAAGCATGCCACTTTTTACTGGAGGGCAATCTCTCGGAGCCTGCCGTAGATGCCCTGCGTGCCATTACCAAGGGCAACGAATACTTGGAGGATTTCATCGATGACTCAAGATTTACAAAGACGCATCGGATTGTCCTAGGTCTCTGTAGCAGCGACTTGGAGGCTGAACTTCTCCTCCACCCTGAGGAAATCGATGTGCAAGACTCCATGGGCCGCACGGCTCTGGCGTGGGCTGCTGCCAGAAATGACAGCCGCGCCGTTGTTACGCTACTCAGATATGGGGCAGATCCAAATATCATTGATGTGCAAATATCCGGCGCTCTTTCTAACGCGGCAGCACAGGGCCATACAGCATGCGTCAAGCTGCTTCTCGATGCCGGGGCTGATCCTGATCCACCATTGCCAAGCGGCATCAAGAAAGGCGGCCCGTTGAACGTTGCCGCCCGGAATGCAAATGATGCTCTCCTTGTCAAGATTCTTTTGGACTTTGGAGCAGATGTCAACCAAGCCGGAGTCGATGGTAAAACGGCTCTTTTCCATGCTGCGCAGAAAGATGATGCAAGTCTTGCCATTCTGTTGCTTGAGTACGGCGCAGAGATCAATATGTCTTCTTCGACAGGAGACACGCCACTGACTACGGCCATTACGCATAATAGCTACCATGTGTTGCAGTTATTCCTTGAACGCTGGCATGAATACTCCGAGTGCCCGCGGCTAAAAGGGCCACATCTTCTCAATATCACTGCACTCTACGCAGACCTCAAGACAATAGACATTCTAGCAAATACCAATCATTTTCGTCTCAGATACGATAAGAACTACGCGCTCGGAGATTTCAGAAAGACGCTGCGGGATCGCAAAGATGCCACTGAGAAGTTGAATTTTGCTTTTGATGAGCTGCTTCGGATTTTCGAGGGCGCTTCCCACATGACAGAGTCTGAAGAGAGTCTCTTGGAAGCTGGACAAATGCATTGTACTTCTCCTTTGTCGCCGACGAGCTGGGAGAAGAGGTGCTTGGTCCTGCAGCAGAGGGATGATGAAGATTCAGATGATGATTTCCACGATGCGCACGAAGAATTATGAGAGACGCCTCCCTGGCTCATAGCAGAGTTAGACTCGACGATATGCAAAATGCCCTTTTGATGTTTTATGTTGTATGGCGTCTGATGTATGTGGACGTTGCTTTTATATGCATAACTTGCGATACACCTAAAGGTGTACTCTATGGATATCCACACTAATTGAGCAAATAACGGCTTGGGTAGTATAATAGTATTAGTGCCCATTAATAGAAAGCAATTTCTAATTGAGAATATGGTTTACAAAGGGTTTTGGCGTGAAGAAAATCCATGTTCTTCGTAACTGATACTACGTGTCAGCCACACATGCGGAGCTAAGCCAGGAGATTTGTTTCTGCTATATGTTTTTATTTTACACATCCATATGACTAGGTAAGTACGTAGGTGGACATCTACCTAGCTACCAATGCTGTGTCATTAAATAGTTCATGTACCTAGCAACATGTACTTAATGTGTAGGAGGGCCATGGCGATATATGAACGGAGCTTCTCAGTATGCATCAATGCAGGCTAGTAGCTTGCTCTACGACGATATTATAAAATATTGGTAAAACGGAAATATTGCATCACGTCATATAAATATAAAATGAAGAGGTTTATAATGTTTACAAGTATTTATTTGTAGTGCCTAAGTATAAACCCCGCCACTATAAAACGGTACATTGGCACAGCCTGATAGAACAACTCCCCAAGTACATGTAGGCATTTCTTTCTGGAGCGGTAGTTCAGAGGCACTACGCCGGTTGAAATCACGAAGTATACCCTATGTAGTACCTTGTACATGATTAACTGGGCATAGATTATGCGATATGTGATAACTAAAGCATCTTAATCCACGGCACACGCCAAGGGATTCGTGTTTCGCTGTTCAACAACCAACCATCTTCTCCTCTTTCTCCTCTCCAGGCAAAAATTGTGTTTATTTCCCGCATAAAGATCTCCAAATTGCCAATAGACCCATCAAATACTCATTGAATGCAATAAGAAATACATATATATCAGCTCAAGCTTGATTATTTAGCATGGCTACTCTTTCATCCTTAAAGCTGGCACTTAGACAAACAGCCGCGGCAGCATCGTCTCAGAGACAGCCACTGTCCGACGCCCAGTACAGCGCTGGCTTCACTTTCTTCACTAATGAATCTAGATTGACGGCGTATCAAAACTTCATTATCCCTCAGCTCTCCCAACTGCTAGCCCCTCTCTTCAAGTCGCGCAATCGCGTCTCGATACTGGAGATCGGACCGGGCCCGAAGAGCGTGCTTGCACATCTTCCCCATCATCTAAGGCAGAAGATTAAGAGATATGCTGCATCTGAGCCGAATGGACTGTTTGCTACAAATTTGGAAGAATGGCTTTGTTTTAGCGCGACATCGGAGCCTCCTCTGCCATGTCTAGAGAGTCCTCCAGACATCCGTCGAGTGCCATTTGTTCTGGGGAGCGATGCAAAAAATACGACGAATGATGGCGACGAAAAATTCGACGTCATATTGTTCTGCCATAGCATGTACGGTATGAAGTCTGAACGCCATTTCATCGAACGAGCACTGGAAATGCTCGTTGGGCAGCCTAATGATGGATTAGTGATCGTCTTCCATCGTGATGATGCCTTGGACTTTGACGGTTTAGTGTGCCATCGGACAGCTTCTTTTCCTACTGGAAATATCTTCGTGGCAGATGAGAACGAAGCACTAGACTCTTTTGCCCCTTTCATTGCGGGTTTCATCATGAAAGATGCTGACGAGGACATGGCAGTACGGACAAAGTGGCGTGAAGTGTGTCGCGCTCTAGGTCGCCGCCAGGAAGACCACCCACATCATCTCCAGTTTAGTGCGCCCGAGGCCATGGTGGCATTTTCTCAACATGCCACTGCGTTGCCAGAGTTGGCTGTGCATGTTACCTTAATGAAGGGAGAAAAGGCGGTTAAGAATAGGGAGGCTCGTCTTTACCGTCCCGCTGCCGTTGCTAAACCGACAGAGATCCGACATGTTCAGCAGTGCGTTCAATGGGCCCTAAAGCACGGAGTCAGTCTAACTGTCGTTGGAGGAGGCCACAGCGGTCAATGCCTCTGGCCCAATATCGTCTCAGTCGATATGGAAGCCTTTAACCAAGTACACATTCTCACGACTGGGGGAGATGGATCCAGCTCAGATCCTTTGGTCGTCGTCGAGGTTGGCTGCAAGACTGGGGATATCATCCGAAAGACTATGGAAGCAGGCCTGACAGTACCCCTGGGTTCTCGTCCAAGTGTAGGGGCGGGACTGTGGCTTCAAGGGGGCATCGGGCATTTGGCTCGACAATATGGTCTTGCGAGCGATGCTATTGTCGGTGCCGTGGTTGTTGGCCTTGAATCTGGAAAGGTCTTGTGCATTGGCCAAGTGCCGAGCCAGCATCTGCCTGTTGATGCTGTGCGTCCGGATAATGAATCTGACCTATTATGGGCAATGAAAGGTGCTGGAACAAACTTCGGTATCGTCATTAGCGTCACCTTTAAGGCTTTCGTTGCTTCGACATATACGGTGCGAAACTGGGTCATCCCTCTGAGCGATGGTGATAGCCTCAAATCGCAGCAATGGCTCAAATATTTCAATGTAGTCGCCAGGAAACTTCCCAATGTCTGGTCTGCGGACGCGTATCTCTACTGGGAAGCTGACCAGTTGCATCTTGGCGTGACTATGTATGAGTCTCCCATAGTCAACCTCGACGTTGACGCTCCTACACATATGCCATTGGATGAAGTTTTAGGACCAAAAGAGAGTTTCAAGGTTGTGGATGGCGTTGGCCTATTCGATACCGAGATGTACATGTCCGGGATGCATGGCGGACACGGTGGCGGCAAGACTTCCTCGTTCAAACGGTGTCTATTCATCAAGGATATCGGAACAGCCAACATCGCCAAGATATTAATAGCTGCCGTAAAGACTCGCCCCTCAGCACTCAGCTATCTCCATCTTATCCACGGTGGCGGAACAGTCGCCCACGTTGCTGCTAATACCACTGCTTTCGGCTGTCGGGACTGGGACTTTGCCTGTGTCATCACTGGAGTCTGGCCCCGCGACCAAGATGGGACTGATGCTGCTCGAGCTGCCGTGCAGTGGGTTTATGCCGTCGCTGAGAACCTGCTGCCCCTGAGCAGCGGAGCTTATGGGGCCGACCTTGGACCAGATCCAAGAGATGCCTCTCTGGCAGCCAGGGCGTTTGGACCAAACCTGCCACGACTGGCTCGTCTCAAACGCGACTTGGATCCTCACAATGTGCTGGCTTTTGCCTGTCCACTCCCGAAAAGCCCAATGGAGCCAAAGCTCATCATTCTTGTCACGGGCGAAAGCTGCGCTGGCAAAGACTATTGCGCTCATGTTTGGGCTTCTGTGTTCTCCAAGGATGTTCATAGAAGCATCAAAGCGCGGGCAGTCAGCATTAGCTATGAGACAAAGCGAGAATACGCAGCTGCTACTGGAGCTGATCTGAACGCTTTGCTAAATGATCGTGCATACAAAGAGCAGCACCGGCCAGCACTGACAGAATTCTTTCAGGAACAGGTACGGCAGCGACCGAAGTTGCCAGAGGAGCATTTTATGAATGTTGTTCATAGCGCTGCAGATGTGGATGCTTTGCTAATCACTGGGATGAGAGATGAGGCGCCGGTTGCTGCTTTTTCACAATTGGTGCCAGATAGCAGGCTTCTTGAGGTTCGCATCGAGGCCAGCAAAGAGACAAAGAGGGCTCGTCGAGGCTGTAACTGTGATGATAATGGCTGTCGTGATGATGGTGATATTGATGACCACCAAGATCGTGAACAAAATAGTAACAGCAACGGCAATTCAGGGCATGTGACACCATCAGACTACCGCCCAAGCTTTAACTTTTACAACGACATAGCTGGAAACGAAGCGGCAGTGGCGTTTGCCAACAGCCACCTGTTTCCCTTCTTCGACCAAAACCTGCAGCGGCTGGCCAACATGGTGCGTCCAATACCAAACTTTCCGCGCCAAGGGATTGAGTTCCGTCACGTCCTCGATATCTCTCAGCAACCAGGCGGGCTGGCCTTATGCTCCTCTCTGCTGCAAACCCACTTCAGTGGTAACTGGGCCAAAGTCGATGCCATAGCATGCTGCGAAGCTGGAGGATTTGTGTTTGCGTCAGCATTGTCTGTGCGAGTTGATGTGCCTTTGTTGCTGATTCGCGAGGCTGGCAAGCTTCCGCCGCCTACGGTTACCGTCGACAAGTCCCCATCGCATATCTCATCGCATTGTTCGGGAGAGAAGAAGATCGCGATGGATCGGGATATGGTTTCTCGAGGGGCTTCAGTGGTGGTGATATATGATGTACTTGCTACGGGGGAGACACTCTGCGCGGTGTTGCAGTTATTGGTCAAAGCTGGCGTCAATCCTGAAGATGTGAGTGTTATGATTGTTGCTGAATTTCCTACACATGGTGGGCGTCAACTACTGCATCAACGCGGGTTTGGTAGAGTCGGTGTTCAAAGTCTTTTGGTGTTTGGTGGTGCTTAAGAATACATGAAGAATCATTTATTCAGAGAGTTATGCACAGGGCCTATTCGACAGCTTGAAGCAATACAGACCAGTTATCATTAAATCATATTGAAAGAGTTAAGAGACGTGGCTAATATATACACACCGTCATATTCTTTGGAATACTTTATGAGAAACTACTAATACTCAGTATGCAATAAACATCAAATGTTTGCTATTAAACTTATACAAATATACATGATCAGTTCCTTTTGAGCAATATTGTGCTCAATGAAACCTAGATGTAGTCTATGTGTACGAAGAGAGTGCGTATGTATGAGGACGGTAAAGGCAGACACAGCCTCTGCGATTAACTATCCAAAACTAAATACCAGTATACAGTCTGAAAGTGACAAATACAAGGCGAAAAGATACTAGGTGGGAATCTCAAGTAGATCTTTATTCCTACAGCTCTAAGATAGATGGCGGCCTGTAAGCCTTGGGTGTTGTAACACCGCTAATGTTAACTCTAGTTATGTTTTTCAATGGCTTCTGGCTCTTCCTATTTCTGCAGCATTGGCAGCTGAATTTTGGATTCATCTAATAATCCAGTATATTCGTTACAATTTCCCTCATTCTATTAGGCTTGCACAAGCGGTACTGGATGCGCACTTCATGGTATGGATATGGACAATGGATGCATGCTAGCAGTGCTAGTGTGTAGTCGCGCGTTTGAGCCCCAGCCGTCAGGGATCGTCTCACCACTATTTCAGCCATAAATCTCTCAGGTGAAAGATTCCACGTATATATTAAGCTTAATTAGCAATGAGACATCTCTGCACACCGTCAAAGAAAGATGCGTCTACTCAGCACAAAGGCCCTTGAATTTCGCGACTTCCTTGGGACTGACATCCCACGATACACAATTTTGTCGCACCGATGGGAACGCGACGAGATGTCCTACCAGGACATGGCCAAGGAAATGGAGCGGAATAATAACACTTGGCCTGGTACGACGGATGTTTTGCAAAAGCAAGGGTATCGCAAAATTAGCGAATTCCGCCGCCTGGCTCTGAAGGATGGTTATGAATACATATGGGTTGACACCTGCTGCATTGACAAAACTAGCAGCGCTGAACTCCAGGAGGCCATCAACTCGATGTATCAGTGGTACTGGAATTCCGACGTCTGTTACGCCTATCTTTCTGACGTGTCTATTCCGACTGATCGCACGGATGCAGATGGCAGACTCCTCTTTAAGCCGTCAGACCTTCAGCCATTCCAGAGGTCCCAGTGGTTCACTCGTGGCTGGACGCTCCAAGAACTGCTGGCTCCACGAGCTCTAATATTTGTCGACCAAAGGTGGAAAAAGTTTGGCACGGCATATGACTTAGAAAATTTTATCGAAACAGCTACAAGTATTCAAATTCGCAAACATGTGCATCGAGGTCGTACAAGATCAGAGATACTCCAAGTGGGACAGTGTATGTCTTGGGCTGCAACCCGAACGACGACTAGAATCGAAGACCGCGCCTATTCGCTGCTAGGACTTTTCGATGTTAATCTGCCAATGATGTACGGCGAAGGGGGCCGAGCATTCCAGCGCTTGCAAGAAGAAATTCTCAGAGTTTATGAAGACGCATCTATACTAGCATGGAGCCATGCCGATGCTGACACTGCGTTCGCACCTAATGGCTTGGCTCCATCGCCAGACCATTTTCGCCAGTTCCCCAGGTTGATAGACAAAATGAGCAATAGTAACTTCGAGTTTGCAACAATCAATCCCACGCTGACACACCGGGGCGTCCAAGTCACATTGAGGGTTCATATCGATCAGCATGACTTGGCGCTCGGGTATGCTTTTCTACTAAACTCTGACCGTCCCTTTTCCAACATGTTGGTTCTTCCTTTATTGATTACCAGATCAACATCGAAATTGGGTGAAGATATAGAAGCCGTTAGACTCTCGGACCCCCTTTGGGTCGCACAAAGGTTTGTCGGCGAAGGCGACAAGAGACTGGTTCGTTTCCTCAGGCAAGCGCAAACTGCAGATATGAACCGTCATCGAGATGGATTTAGCCTTTCTTCAACAGTATGGAAAAGCTATACAACGACATTGACATATCCAACGCAAGCAAAGACTGAGAGTCGGTACTTTCCTGCCATATTTGGCGGAGTCACTGGAGACATGGACGGGTTTCCTTTGCTCAAAAAGGAGCATGTTTTTGCCATAGAACTGATGGATCGCCGCCAAACTTCAGAAAGATTTGTTGTGCTGGTGGAATACAACATCAATTATTTTGGAACTGCCAATATAACCGATGTTAGAGTTATTACGACGGGAAGGGAGATGGATTTGGCGGATATGGCGGATTTAACTCGCTCTCGAGGAAAACGATACCCTTCTTGTGATCTCCTCGATCAAAACGGCAGCGCGATTCCAACAGATGAAATCGTTCAAATTCGCAAGTTTTCCAGTTATTGGGTTCAAGATGATGTTGAAGAGCTCACCAAGCCGCCAGTTCATCCGGTTGATGCACTGCCAGTGAAACAGCTTTGTATTATAGAGGAAGCTTAATATCGTAAGGTCTCCTAGCGCCGCGAATCAACAAAATACATATCAAGTAATATCAGCATAAACTGCCTCTGAAGCCGTACCTTTTGTATTCACTTTCTATTCAACTTTGGTCTAGAGTATTCGGAAAGCTGCTATCTCAAGCCAAGCCAGTTCGAATGCTTTCACCACATATCAAAGTCCCAAGTCATTCACCATGAACCAATCTTCCTTTAACATAGACCTGCACAATGTTCCTATCGTCTCCCGTCATGATGAATTTCTCGAGCATCCTTGGTGTCGAGTCGTCTTCATCCAGCGGCACATTTACTCCGCTTCTCTCATCCCGCAAGTCGATTACCAGGGCATCAAATTCCCTTCCAAGCGCAAATTCGCCAATTTTGTCATCAAGGCCAACGACCTTGGCGCCTCCTTGGGTAGCCATGTAGAAAACCTCTTCCAGGCTCAGAGCTTCTTTGCCGCCTCCCTTGTCACCGCTGACACTCGTCTCTTTCGCTTGTTTGAATGTCGGATACAGCGCGTCTCTCGCATACGACGTGATGAGAGCATGTCTCATCGCATTTAACATACTCGAGCTATAACCACCTCCCGAATCTGTTCCTAAGCCGACATTGATACCACGTCTAAGAAACTCCTTTACGGGAGCAGCCATGAAGCCTCCCCCAACGGTCATGTTTGCTGTAGGACAATGCGCGACGCCGCATCCAAAATCGTGAAGCTTCTGGATCTCGTACTCAGTCATGATAGTACAATGGGCGAGGATAGTCTTTGGTGTAAGAAGCCCGAAAGAAGAGTATAAATCGGCTTCGTTTTTAAATTCCGGAAAGAGAGACAGCGTGGCGTTGATCTCCTGCTTGGCCTCATTGAAATGAGTTTGTATAGCTAGAGAAGTATCATTGCGAACCATGGTGCCGAGAGACTGTAGTAATTCTACTGTGCACGATATCGCGAAGCGAGGCGTCAAAACAGGTTTAATAAGAGTATTCTTCGGGTCGATGGTTCGAATATGATGTATACATGATTTCGTCGCAGAAATGGACTCTTCAGCAGAAGTTTCGCAGTAGAAGGATGGCGAGTTGCGATTCATGTTGCATTTTCCAATCAGAGCTCTCTGACCTCTTTCAAGACACGTTGATGCCAAAACATTCGTCGCTTCTTGGTGCAAAGAACCGTAGTAAGATGCCGTCGTAACACCCTGTCTAAGCATCCCTCGAACGAGCTTCTCATACACCTTCTCTGCATGAGAAGCATCTGCAAACTTGGCTTCATTGGGAAAAGTAATGCCATCAAGCCAGTCTAGGATATGCATTCCTTGGCCCAAGCCCCTTTGCATCCATTGCGGAGCATGATTATGTGTATCAACAAAGCCCGGGATGACGAATTGGCCAGAGGGGAGTATAGTTTGGCGAATGTGTTCGATGCGTTGCACGGCGAGGAAATTATTCACTTGTAAAGAAGGGATATTAGATTGGAGAGATACGATGCTACCTGAAGAAGAGAGAATGATGAGAGTATCTGGAAGGACTTGAAGTTGCGTCTGAGAAAGAGAGTGGATTAGAGTTCCATGGATGGCTTGGGCGGGTTCAGCCATAATACCGTCTTCTTCTTGTCTCTTTATGGTCACTTATAGATACTTTTCGATGAAGCTCTAGAGGCTGTGGGTCTGACAAGAAAGATGAGGTGCATGAGGTTGTAGGCTGAGAAATGGCATGCGTGACCTTGGCTAGGTGCATAGATAAGGCTATGACGTTGCGGGGCTAGAATCCTGAGATATTCAAAGTCTCTCTGCAAAGCGGGGGATGACTTGAATAGCTGCAACATGTCTCATATTTGATGGTGCATCACTGTCCACATATGTGAGTCAATATATCGTTTCATCTGCTTTATTTACAGTCGCTCAATTTTGAACAACAAATGCGAGTAGGTATTAGCTCCAACATTCACTTTAAGAGAGCGTTTAGCTCAGCTACACAATTACCACTGCTGACAGCTGGAGGCACAACCGAGAAGTAAGACAATAAAAGAAAATATCATGAAACCACAACAAACAACAATTAAATGTCAGCAAAAGTATAGGCATCATGATAGTTAAGAAAAATGCAAAAAGAAATGTCCTCGGTGAGGCTCGAACTCACGACCTTCAGATGGCCCAGACTAATGTCTAGATCATATAGATGCTTCAATATGAGACTGACGCGCTAGCCAACTGCGCCACGAAGACTCTTTGATGTCTGAGCTGCGCGCAAGGCAGATTCATAAGCCTCTCAACATCAAAGTGGCAAAGGACGCAGCTAACCAACCTGAGTGAGGCTGCAAGCGAATGAGAAAGAATGTTCAGAGGTTTACGTCTTGGTATATATATATTTTAGTTGTTTATACTGTTATCTACATGTCTTTTATGCAATCGCTACTAATATACGATGCATCGATCACTAAATGCTAATGAAGATTCATTGATAGCCCAGCAGCTGACTCGCTCAAATATCCAACCGATGCCATCTCAAATGGTAAATTCAAATGCTTTAGTGAGCTTGCTTCCCATCTAGGGCAAGAAATTCTGAAAGAGATGATCAATGATCTATTGGAAGCTCCCATACAAGCTCATGCAACGCCCATCGTTCGCTACCTGCTAGGATTCTCGGTGGGGTCCGAGCTTGAGGTGATTCCATTGCTGCTGTCCTATACCGCTCGAGAGGACGGCCAAGTATCTGAGATTTTAGAAATATTGGTACAAGAAGGCCTGAAAGCTTGCGAGCAGAATTCATCAACTGATGAAATTATTACTATGGTCAATCCTGTGATTAGAAACGGCAATGTGAAACTAGTATCGCAGTTGCTCGAGAGAGCGCCGCCTCTCGATTCACCTACTTGGGACAAAAGACATCCGCTCTTTTACGCCGCTATGAGAGGCAAAGGGGGGATAGTGAAGGTTTTACTTGAAGCCAAAGCCGATCCTAATGCTGTTGGGGACAACGACGGCTGGAGGCCCATACATGCCGCTTACGATAACCCAGAAATTCTAGAGCTGTTACTTGAAGCTGGGGCTTCTAAACATGTAAACGCCACTGACAGCGCGGGCAAAACAGTACTTTTTTTACGCTTGTCGATGGGGCTACTACGACTCCGTTAAAGTGCTTCTCAAGTTCGGTGCCAAGACATGTTGCTCTATCGACCGTGAAACAGAGCTTTCCGTTGCTTTGCTCTCCGGCAAATCGGAAATTGTTTTGCTGCTCCTCGAAAATGGCGTGAATCCGTTGGAATATTCTGCGGCAAGTCTCAAAACTCCTCTTTTACACCATTGCGTCTGACAAAACCTTGGTCATCAATTAAAGGCCGTGCTGAGCTTCAATTTCGATGTCAACGAAAGAGACGAGAATGGGTCCGTGGCATTACATAACATTGATAGCTTGACTACACAATTGACTCTCGAGATCCTTATTCGCCGCGGTGCGAATACAAATGTAGCAGACTATAGCGGCACTACACCACTCTTATCAGCGATCCAGCGTCAGAGCAACGAGGCAGTTGACTACCTCATCTCAAAAGGAGCCGACGTCAATATGCCTACTGGACAATATGGAACAGCTCTGAATATGGCATGCTACTCGGGTAAGCTCGAAAGCGTCACGAATCTGGTGGAAAACAAGGCAAATGTAAATTTCAGCTACACTGGCCTCTATGGAATCCGCTCCATTCGGCAATGCTGCGCCCTGATGATGATGAGAAATACCGCATAATTGAATACCTACTCAGAAAAAAAGAGCTCGATCTATATCAGAGTGTTCCTTGGTGGGGTGGTTATCTGGGCCTTGCGTGTTTATGTGGCAGTCTGAGTCTGCTCAGCACTCTAACAGCCAAAGACAGTACAAAGGTAAATGAAGCAGATAAGATTGGTAGAAGGCCGATTCACTTTGCTCTATACAGGGCGCTCGATCACGTCAAATATCTTCTCAGAACCTGGAGCTGCAAATTGAGGGAACCGACCGAATGAAACGAAATGCCCTTCATTTCGCTGTTGTTAGCGGCCGTTTGGATATAGTGAGATATGTTTTAGCCAAAAATATGGATCTCACAAACAGTCGTGACATAGACAACTGGACTCCTCTCATGTGGGCAGTGAGGGTATGTGGAAAGTGGGATACGAGATCCAGTTACAGACTGGGCATCATCAAAGAGCTCCTCAACCACGGAGCAGATCGTATGGTTGAAGGAGAAGGCCTAGGACGCACATGGACTGCGTATGAGCTCGCCTGGTACTATAATATCGACAAAGAGATTATAGACATCGTCACCCCCACGCCTGAAGAGCTTCAGAAAGTCAGCGGCGAAGAACACAGCGCTTTATGGGCGTACAGAATAAAATCACCTAAAATAAAGGGGCGAGATGGGCCCTCTGACAGCTACTGCGATGCATGTTTAATGGTACGTCTTACATAGCAATATTCGATATAGATCTTTTGCAGATTATTGATGCTGACGGTATATTTTACAGATGCTTAACGATATTATGCATAATTGCGAAATTTGTGAAAATTTTCGCCTCTGCTTCAAATGCTATCGATCACGAGACATGATCCATGCGGGGCATGCCTTCTATGTGTGGTGGGAAGACGAAGAGTATGAAGGATATATGGATACAGATCTCAGTAGTTATGCATCTGGCTCTGAAGAGAGCAGCATTGCGTGTATATATGCTCGCTTAAAAAAATTAAGCGCTTTGCATAGCAACGTAGCCGATACCCACCTGTGTGATAATGCAACATGTAATATATTTGATACAAGATTGACTATTGGATAAAATACACTTGGTTGTACAGAAAATTGTTAGCGTAGTAGCACGGCGCGTACAGGATTATACGTGCTGCAGGCCAACGGGAGCCTTGTACATCTAGTTTCATCGATATCTCTCTGCACCCAACCCCGCTTCAAGTCATCCTGCATTCTCATTTAGCGAACGCAACCGATAATATGACTGAAGAGAGCTTGTTTGGGAGATCTAGGAAAAAATGGAGGGAGCTCCGGCAGCGTGGGCGATCTGCACGGAGAAGCCCTCTGCCAGCTACAAACCAACTTTTCACGCCTCCATCGTCAGCTCGGCCTTCTCCATCGTTAGACTCTCCGTCAGCCTCAGTATCGCCTCCTCCACTAATTGAAGCCTCGACGCCGTTTACTGCGGTATCGACACGGGAGATTGCAGCCGAACAACAGGATCCTCCTGTAAATCTTTGGCAAAAAGCATTCGAAAAATCAAGCAATGGTACCAAGAAATGGATTCGGGAACATAATCTCGACCTTTCAGAGCAGGCGAAGCCGGAGGACCATATTAGAGAGATCACTCGCCTTATCGAAAGCAACACATTATGTACAGATAAAGATGGCAATTCGAAAATCGATATTGGATTTCACAAGATTGTTTTCCGTGAATATATTGCAGGCGTTGTTGCATTTCTTACCATGGCGGGCGATATTGCTATAAACTTCGCGCCACCACAAGCCAGCGCACCTTGGGCTATTGCGAAAGGAGTTCTTCAAGTGAGTACAGGCATTTATATGCATGGCGACTCTAAGATTGCCGGTTATGACCGTAGATATTGATCGAATTCAGATTCCAGTCAAACAAAGCGACCAGATGGCAGCCCTTGCTGGCACAGTCCAGTGTTTTATTCGTATAGTTCGCAGAGGCCAGTTATATGAGCTACTGTATAACACAAAAACAACTGATGAAAACGCGGTGCTAAACTTGCATGACGCACTCTTGGATTTATACATCGCAGCAACAGAGCTTCTGGCTCGGTCTGACATCCTGATTGGAAGCGGGGTGGCTAAACAGACACTCAATGCCATTCTAAGGCCAGAGCAGGCTACAGGGCTTGTTGCAGACTTGTTTCAAAAGGAACAGAAGCTTTTACAAGAAATTCCAGTCTGTGAAGCTTCTCGAAGTGAAAGAGCGGGTAGACAAGCCGATGGGAAATCAAGAGATTTGCTCTCCAAGTTAAATAAACTGTCGTCACCACTAATGCGAATTGACGAGGGAGTAACAGGCATTCGACAAATGATTGACGAGGACCGACTCCAAAAGCTTCTGGAATTTATCAGCCCAGAAGGACATGGGAAAAGTCACGGCGAGATTGAAGATTCGAGAATCAACAATACAGGCGATTGGTTGATAGACCATGAAGGGTTTCGCGCCTGGCAAGCTATTCCTTCATCATCCACGCTCCTGTGGCTCAAAGGAACCGGTAGGCCTAACTCACACGATATCTTTTTGAAGAGATCCATATTAATGTTCAAACCAAATTTAGTTGGCACCGGCAAGACATATCTCACCTGGCGAGCGATTGATTACGTGAAGAAGACATTGGCAGAAATGTCTTGTGACGAAGGATTTGCTTTTTTCTACTGCCGAAGATCAGCAACTTCGCTACAAGACCCTCTAACTATCCTTCGAAGCTTTGTTCGCCAGCTATTTGACAAAAAATCCGAACATGGCTACGATCGCTTGATCCAGAAATGCGATATGGCAAAGAAAGAAGGGCACAGTCTAGGCTTGAAGGACTGCAAAGAGCTGATTTTGGAATTTATTAATCTCTATTCAAAAACAACCATTATTCTGGATGCTTTGGACGAAGCTAGCTCGACGAGTACGAACCACAACCTAGCAGAGATTCTCATTGACATGATGGATAAAGCCAAGAAACCGGTTAAAATATTCATATCCAGTCGTCCAGATCGAGAATACCTACAGTCATTTGAATCTACTGCTACCATCACTGTCGAATCCAGCAATCAACAAGGTGACATTGAAAAATACCTGCAGGAGAGACTTTACTCAACTTCATCATTTAAACAACGCCAAGCGGAGACTCGGGAGTTAATCAGAAATGCGTTTTCTTCGCGTAATAGCAGCATGTAAGCCAGATATACAAGAAGCCATATTCTAGTTACGCACTAACTTAAGCCTGGTGTGCAGGTTTCGGTGGGTTCATCTACAGGTCCAAAGACTCAAGAACTATACATCTCACGATGCAGTCAAATCGTGGGCCAGTACGCTGCCCAGCACTTTGGCCGAAGCGTACGATCAGCTTTTCGATGATATGAGAAAGCATAACGAATACGATGTGGCTTTAGCTGAGCGTGCTATTAAATGGGTGCGATGTTCTATGTTGCCGCTTCGCTCCGAGGTTTTATTAGAAGCCATTCGCTATTCTCTGGACGGGTCATCAGTAGTACAAAAAGATAAACAGACCGAACAACAAATATTAACTCTGTGCCGAGATCTTTTAACAATCGATCCAGACAAACAGGTGTGGGTGCTGCCACATGCTTCTGTGGCTGAATATTTTGAACAGAAGGGCATAGCTCGGTCGGAGTGCGACCTATTTGTTTCCAGGATATCACTTCAGTTGCTTATGGACTTTAAAGGGCCTCCAAAAATATCGACTGGGGATAAGTACAACCCAAACCCAATTTCAACCTTTGAAAAATATATTGTTTACAACTGGTTTGAACATGTTGGGCAATACGATGAATGGCTGGGCCTTGCGATATGCGCAAATCCAGACCCAGAGCTTGTTATAGTCCTCAAACGCTTTCTCGGATCGCCAGAAAAAAGCAGTGATTGTTATAAAGAGTGGGTTGGCAATCTTAGAAATGTCAGTGGCAAAGGGTTTGCTTTTTGGGGGAGGGAGGGGCTATTGCCTGATACTATGGCCTTATTCGCAATGTGTCGATATGGATTTTATCACACCCTGCGTGACTGGTGGGAGGGAAACGAAATCAGCAAGGAAATGGCGCTTAAACAGTGCGAAGCCGGTTACACATCGCTTGTGCATGCAGCCAAGAGTGGATGTGTCCCAATCGCCGAACGGTTAATAGGCTTAGCTGGCACGGATTACCCTCCTTCCGACAGATACAAGGCGATGCAAGAGGCGATCGCTCAGGAAAATAAGGATATCGCAGCACTGCTGGTGGCAAAAGGGAGAATCGACATCAACGCTAAATTCAGTACCAGTGACGAGACCAGTGTCTATACCAGAACTATCGTCCAAGAAGCAGCGACATTCATGCCTAAAATGCTCCGGTGGTTGATAGACCAAGGCTGGGTAGACGTAAATAGGGAGGCTGATACAGAATATGGCACCCCCTTGATTGCAGCCGCCTCCAGCCGTAATCTACAATCAGTCGAGATTTTGCTCAAGGCAGGTGCGAATGCAAACGCAGCCGTGGGATGTGGGAAATACTTCTTGTATGGCAGTGCTCTTGTTGCAGCGGTACAAGGTAGGACTCTGTATGGCGATCAAGAAAGAACCTACATGTTCCAAATCATCCAATTATTGCTTGAAAATGGCGCAGACCCCAACCAGCCCTTGAAATCTGGCGCATACGGCAGCGCACTCGAATTCTTTGCTGACCATGTAGAATGGAGTACCGAACACATCAACATTGTTAATCTCTTGCTCAAGTCTGGTGCTGATCCGACCATAGTATTTGACAGAGGAGACCATGGTAGTGCACTTGCCGCTGTTGCCTTCTTTGGGCATAAAGAGCTGCTCGTTCCCATGATCGGCGCCACTACAAAGAGCCAGGCAATTCAGTGCCTCCGCTTAAGTAGACATCCAGGCAAATACATCGATTTTGGTGAAAAGAGAGCCAATAGATTGGTGAAAAAAAGAGCAGAAACCGCCAAATATCTTGCCGATGAAATAGGAGTGGATGAAGAAACACTCCATAAAATCGGCCTGTGGGATGTCACGCCCGAGGTTGATAAATATGGCGAGTATGTATTCACATTCAAATAAGAAGGGGCTAGCTTTCTAGAATAAATCTTTCAAAGATATAAAATAGAATCGTAAGAGTCAATACTGCTATCAAAAAGACAACAAAAAAAAACCTATTCTAATAGCAAAAAAGCCGCGCAGGCGCAACACCAATGATATAAGATGCCTTTTATACATCAACGTTAAAAAAAGAAAAAAGTGAACCTCTCTCCCCCCCAAAAGGAGAAGGGGAAAAAAAAGCAACATGTATAAATAGAGGAAGAGAGAGGGGGGGAGAGAGGAAGGAAGCCATTCATAATCCTGGACAGTATATATATCTTGTCCAAGAAATGACTCGAGTTATAAAAAAAAACAACGAATAAATTATTTCACTTTCCTCTAAATAACTTCCCGTTTTTCTACATACAACAACCCAAAAGATATATAAGTTTCAGAAAAGAAAAAATTAAAAACAAACAAACAAAGGCCATTTCTAATATTTCTTTCTTCAAAATTACAACAGGATCATGCTAGCACCGGTGAGCACGGCAACACCCATGTACAGAGCCATGGACAGCTCGCCCATGCTGAGCAGGTAGGCAGCAGGGCGGCCAGCAACGGCAGCGCTGCTGCTGGTGCTGGAGCCGCCGTTGGTAGAGCTGCCACCGGTGGAACCGGCGTTGACGGGGGCGGTAGCAGTGGCGGCCTGCTTGTTGATGGCGCTGGCGGAGGCCAGGGCAGCAGAGCAGGTGGCGACGGGCTTGGCGCTGACGATCTGGGCCTGGCTGTTGAAGTCACAAGCAGTCGAGGCCTTCTTCTGGGAGTTGTAGTAGGTGTCGAGGACGTAGTCGAGCTTGGCGCCGTCGTCGCACATGCTGTAGGCACCGTAGACACCGCTGGTGGCGTTGCCGTTGATACCGGCGCAGACAGCTGGGTTGTTGCCGCAGATGAAGTTGAAGATGTCACCGTAGTCCTTGGTGGCGAGGCCGGAGGAGCGGACGCAGGACAGGGAAGCCTGCATGCAAGAGCAGAGACCAGCGTCAGGGGTAGGAGGCAGGTTGTCGGAGGCTTGCCAGTTGGCAGTCAGGGCAGGGCACTTGGCGGCCACGTTGGAGGGCTTGTAGTCGGCGGAGTCGACGCCCTTGGGGTCGACCTTGGCAACCTGAGCCTGGAGAGCGCTGAAGTCCTTCAACTTGGTGACGGAGCTGCCGCTGGCCTTGACCAGACCTGGAGAGAGAGAAATGTTAGTCATTTTTGTCACTGTGCTGTATGTCGAAATCACACGTCAGAAAACTCACCATAGTCGTTAGCCTCCTCAAAGTACATGTAGACGATACCACCGCTGAAGACAGCAGACATCTGGTCACCATAGAGAGCAGCGGTTTCCTGGAAGATACGGTCGGCAGCACCGCTAGGCAGGTTGCAGCCGTACTCGGCGAAGAAGACGGGGACAGAGTAGTTGGAGAAGAAAGCGGTCTCGGTGTCATAGCCAGACTTCTGCATGGAGCTCTGGCCGCACCAGGAGTAGATGTTGTAGCCCCAGAAGTCAATGGCGTCGGTCTGGTCACCGCAGTTGAAGTAGTCGGCCATCTGGGAGCGGATATCGACGTCGTCGTTGGCGGCATAGCCGACACCCATCCAGCGGTACTTCTTGGACTTGATGTAGGCCTTGGTGTCACGAACAGCGGCCTTGACGAAAGCCGAGGCAGCGGTGTTGTTCTTGGCGTTGGAGACCTCGTTACCGGCGAAGAAGCCGATGACGTTGGAGTACTTCTGCATCTCGTCGACCACGGCCGTGTAGCGGGCGTACAGGTCGGTGTCCCAGCTGGGGGAGTCTCGGTTGATGGACATGGAGGGCTCGCCCAGATCCGAGAAGACGTAGATGCCGGCAGCCTCGAGCAGGGCCATGCAGGCCGAGTGGTCGGCCGTGGGGTCGATGGCGTAGGTTCGGATCACGTTGGTGCCGAGCTGCTGCAGCAGAGGGATATCACGCTTGCAGTTGGCCTCGCTGGACAGAGGGTCGATGAAGGTGGCGTTGCCAGAGGGGCTGGAGGTGCCGGCCTGGCCAACATCCTGCTGGTACGCAACACCCTTGATGAAGAACTGGGTGCCGTTGGGGTAGAAGAACTTGGAGCCCTACACGTGAAAAGTGGTCGATTAGCGGTCGCTCCCGAGATTCAAACCGTTGATCATCTTCTGGGTTGTTCTCCACGATCTTCTCTGCGCCACGCGAGAGAAGGAAAGAGATCGTTTCGCTTCTGGAGACGAAAAAGTGGCTCACCTTGGCTGTGATGGCGGGAAGATCAGCTCCAACGGCGCTGCTGGCCAGGGCGAGCAGGGAGACGGAGAGCTTGGACAAGCCCATTTTTGCGGATGTGATATTCGAAGTTTTGAATTTGATTGCTGTCGATAGCGGTTTGCGATTCTTAAGTTGGTTATAGCGATTGGAATTGTTCACACTTGCTGGTCAAACTCGGCGTCTGTCCTGTGGTAAAAGTAACAAGGGAACGGTAGAAGGAGAAAGCTGTTTGTGTGTAAGTGGTTCTAAGGAGTGTCTGAGGTAGCTATCGCCTCAAAAAAAGAGAAAAAATTACAAAAAATCAAGCACTTCAAACGAAAGATGCGAAAAGAGGTTCTGATTTCAAAAAAGAAAGAGAAGAGAGCGTCCCAATTAGAGCAGACGGCCAGTGTTTTGTTCGCGCGCCCCCCAAAGGCGCCCCCCAGGAGAACGGGGAAATTGAGGCCTGCGACAGGCCAAGTCTCGGGACCAGGGGGCACCCCTGGAACTATTGGGGCCCTGGGCGTGCTCGGGCCCTGGAGCCAGTCCGCTTTGGGGCCTGTCGAGGCCTTTTGGCACTCAGTGGGAGGCGCAGCGCGAAGCTTGTTTCTGGGAGATCAGAGCCAATAGCGGCTCCGTTCAGGGGGGGTTGCTGCATGAGCTAGAGCAATAATGCCGTGCGAGTGTTGGCGCAGACACTGTATTGGTCACTGTGGCATAAAGTCTGCAGCTAGCAACTGAGAACACAATTACGCGCAGTTTCCTGCTAAATCGCAACGGCTTCCAATCTTCTCGAATGCCCTTTTCCTGCACTGTGCGCCATAGGTAGGCCAGCGTCTAGGGTGGGACCTGGAAAAATATGGAATAGGGGCCAAAATAGCCCGCCCCACCGTCGAAATTTCCCCTGATTGCAGCCCACACCCATTCACAATGCGCTGCCAATGCAAGGTACCAGCTCAAGGGCTGGCGAAATTGATTTCTGAGTGTGTTTTTCTTTGTCCAGTGATTCCGCTGCGAGTGGCGGGACGGGCAGGCGAGGGATGATGGATCTTCATTACTTTTGCGGTCCTTGCAATCATGATATCTTTTTCTCCAACTAAGACGGTTTTCCTTGGCTTGGCGGACAAGGCGAAGCAAAGCCGTCGTATCTCTCTCTCTGCATCGAGGCTGAGGGCAATATTTCTCTCACTTGCTTTACGAGATGCCAACACCAGCCCATGCCTAATACCACTCTGCCGAGGCGCGCCGATGCAGTGCTTCTTTACGAGGTACTTGATGTCTCCGTGCTCTCGTCACCCAATGCCAGGTACTCGCCGCAGTGGCCTCCCTTTCGGCTGACGCGTCCAGGGCCTCAAACCCACCTGAATGTGAGCATGAGGAAAGGTGTTTTACATGGAACAGCCCGTGCTCGCCTCTGCTCGCTCTGCCTTGGTTGGCCAGCCTTGTCGGCACATGTTGCTGATCACTTGCTCGTAGCGTAACCGCGTTTATTACTTGCAATAGCATTGCTCCATATCTACTATACTGTACTTACTTGTCTATACTTGAAGGTGGACAGCGGGTTCCAACGGCGAACTGACCGACCGACCGGCCGACAGTCGAACGTGTTTCGCATCCAAATCCGCTAACCAGGAACATCCCACGATATCCACCCAAGCCCATTGTCGGACACCCGCTCACCGTGAATTTTTCCCTCTCTCTGTCCTGCCAAAAAGAAAACCGGCCAGCGATCGACTCCCGCTACTGCTTTCCAGTCCAATATCTCGGGAGCTCAGTGCCGTAGCGCGCTGGAGCCGGGCTGCTCATCAACTGCCCTTTCAGACTGCAGTCATGATTCGCGTGGCCCCCTCTCCCTTTTCTCGGAGCCACGGCACAGAGAGAAGAGGCCGGATACGGGCCGTCTAGGAGCCGCGTATCCGGGGCGGTGCTGTTGCTTGGCCTTCTTTTGCCTCTCTTCTCTCGACTAACGAGAGAGTGAATGTGGCGGTGCGTGGGCAGCTGCTCGTACTATGTAGTAGTATAAGTAGCATCGCACTAGGATGTAAGATGAGATGCTTTCCGTGAAATGGCACTAATAAGCGTATATCCTGTCCGGCTACCTTTTTTAAATATCGATCGTATAATTCAATATACTATTTTCGTACTTGACACTCCCGCAACCTTGAAGCAGCGCTGCAACACAAGCTAGTATCGTTTGCGCACCCTGTAGTAGAGATCGCCGATGCCATACAGCACCTCGTCCCAAAACTTCATGACGCTCCAGGAGTCGTCGCGTTTCTGGCGACGCCGATCGCGGCGGGGGACCTCGTGGTAGTGGCCGTTGTGGTAGACGAGCTCGGTCATGGCGAACGGTGATCTGCTCGGAAGTGCTGTGCCACGGATATGTGATGCCGGAGACGATGTTGTAATCTCCTCGCCTCGCTTGTGTTAGACGAGTATAGTAGAGTTGTCGTGGTTGTTGTTATTGGTATACGCATACACAATGCGTGGTTTGAATATGTTTTTAATTGGTAGCTAGTTGAGATAAAGCAACACACTAGCTGTTTTGCGGTAGCGGTGATGATGTTATTGCAAAGATTTGGAGACTCGATGCAAACCACCTCCAACAAATAAAAGAGCAGCACCACTATATTTAAATCCTTCCGAATCTCAACACATGATCTGCTCATTTACAATGTACAATCAGCTACATGTCTCTCCGTAGAAACAAAAGTATGCCTGACCGCAACGCCGAGTCATCTAGTAAGTCATCTGTTGTGGTGCATCCAGCCACACAGAATCCATCGCGAGTTTTGGACTCGGCGCCGGATGACCGGATCGGGTCCCACCACGGCCGATCATCTGCACGGCCGAAGGCGAATTCCCGTGACTACCTATGAGGAGCTCTGGACGTCGGACGCGGTGATTGGAGTTAGTTTGCTTGTACATTGTTGTACCGCTCGAGCCAATAAGCGCCTGTGCCGCTGGAAGAGGCGCTTCGGGTGGCAGAAGCTTCGCCCCGATCTTGCGGGCAGCACGCAAGGCTCAATCCAATTCGTAGTATCGACTTGTACTTCGCGTCATAGCGCCTAGGTAGGTGCCCGGTGGTAGCTCTTTGCGACTACCTACCCTGTAACCAGCACGACCTTCACTAAATTCGCAATGGGAAGAGAAAATTATGAAGAGGAGGGGAAAAAGAAAGTGGTTTCTCTTTTTCTGCGAAGTTTGGCATGCGCAACTTGACAGTGGTTGCGTAGAGCGCAGCCTTATTTGACCGATTGAACTTGCTCGTTGCCAATTAGAGGTAGAAATAGAAGCTGCTATTCTAGATGTTTACTACGGCTACTCCGCATAGAGCACAAGATGCGATCGAAACTTTGAGAGTTTATCGCCACTGCTACTCAACTGCGACTAACCAGATGAGCAATTCTAGACATTTACAAATACCCGTTTTCTTTCATCATCAAAGTTCTCGACTGCTGAGCGCTGGCCTGATAAACGAATGCTGTAGCGACACCGGCTGGTGGCGGGCTTCAGCATAGGCGCCAATCAACAGCCTTGGGATCCAACACCAGCAAACTAACCTCGAACCTCCAAAAAACATCGCACTGCTGGTGCTCTCGCCCCATTCTGCATTTTCGGCCGGCGACCACCTCTTCTGGCGCAGCCTACAATGGCTTTTGCAGTGCGCTAGAAGCTTCCGTTTGTCTTTCTCATTTTGAATAGCAATTTGCTTTTTTTTCCAGCTCTCTGTGCGCAAAAGGCGCGGGGCCAAAGCGCGGGGCTCTTGTTTGCTTAAACGGCCTTCAAATCAGCTCGTCGCACCTCCCGAATGTCGCTCTTACGCCCGCATTATTGTATACTACTTGTACCGATATCAGAGAACATCGAGACAGCATAAATACACAAAAGTATGGGGCCAAGTGGCTTAAAAGCATCCATCTGGGCGTCGGCTCAGAGCCGCCCCTCCGACACCTATCGATTCGACTCTAGATCTAGATCTGTGCCCCCAGTATCTGCCTCGACGACGACGATGACGACGACAGCAGTCCCTGGCTCGATTTCAACAGCTGCCTCTGCCGCCGCCACAGCCCCTTCGCTGTCGCCTGCACAAGCTTTCCGAAGATTCCACCAGACCTGCCAGCGCCTCCGATGGACGGCTGTCGACCTCGAAAACTCATACCACCGTGCGCACTCCCCGCAAGACAGCGGCTTCTCCGCCGATGACGCCGAGGTCAATTTCAAGATTGACTTTCACGAATTCTACATGCGTATTGAGCAGGCTCTCGTGCTGGTTCTCCTCGTGTATGGCGTCAGCGTACCTCGCGGCTTCGGCGGGCCAAGGGGCCAGGCAACCCATAGTTACCACCACAACGTGCTGCTGGCGTTGGGCGAGGAAGACAATCCGCTGCGAAGCGCGCTGGGCACCGGTGATGTAAACTCTGCGCTGTGGAAGGCCAAGGAGCTGCGGAATCGGTGGAAAGATGCGGCGGAAGGAGAAACGACGCCGCTAGGAATGTACGACTTGTCGTGGATTATAGGACGCATCATTGAGGGACTGGGCGTCGCATACAAAATGGCGGCTGCGAGGGTCGAAGAGTTAAAGGTGGAAGCCAATGGCAATGCTGGCGATGGCGCCGATGGAAGCAATGGCGCCGATGACAACACATGGGGGTGGATGATGGCAGACCCCATGGACTTGGAGCCGTAAATACGATTTGGTTGAATGGAGTCTTGTGATTTTGGCTGTATGGGTATTTTTGTGTATTTGCTTCTGTTGGATGGGGTTTCTTTCGGGGAAGAGAGCATAGGAGTTAAAAGCCAGGCGAGGTATACCTGAGTGTCTTTGCTATTGGGAAGTGTTTTTCGGCATCTTTCATATAGAAGAATAGCGCCTACGACGAATACACACACACATGTGTATGGCATCTTACACATCTTCCTCCTTTACCATCGTATCTTCATCATCTACCGCCCTCTTCCCTTTCACAAACGCCTTCCGCAGAGCACATTTCCCTCCAGTCTTGCCTCCAGCCTTGCACTCGTCACACGTCCTCCCATGCGTCACCATCAACACATGTAGTGCATACTTGTCCCCATCTGGCACTCTTGCTTCCAAGTGCGCCTGGGTCTCTTCTCTGCTCGCCTCTCCCGGCCGCCATCCCAGCAGGCCTGATATGCGATATACATGAGTATCAACCGCGAAGCTATCCCGCCGTAGACAGAACAACAAGACGCAGCTCGCTGTCTTGGGCCCCACGCCTTGAAAAGAGAGAAGCTCCCGCATGGCCTCCTCGTTGGAAGCGTTGAGGAGGTGATCGAGAGAGTAGCTGCCGTACCGGTCCTTTGTCTGGTAGAGGATGTTCATGATGACTCTACTTTTGATGACGCTGAGGCCGCCAGACTTGATTGTCCGCTGCAGCTTGTCGGTGCCGTCCTGGACAATGGCTTCCCAGTTGTCGCTGCGGCCGTATGTCTTGTCCATGGAGAGCTTTGCGCGCGAGCTGTTCTTGTCACTGGTGTTTTGGGACAGGATTGTGCGGACCAGCGCGTCAAGAACCGACGGGGAATCTCCGCAGCCGGCGACGTTGCTCGGCGCGATGATTGTGTCGGGACGGCGGCGGTCGCCGTGGATGGATGCGAGGATGCGGTGAGCGCGGGAGCATTCTTGGGGTGTTGGATGGGGGAAGGATGGGAAGGGTGAGGATTGAGAGTAGGCTGCGAAGGATTTGAGCTTGCGGGCTTGGAGGATGGAGGCCTTTTTGTCGGGGATGTTGGATAGAGATGTGGTGCTTGTAGATTCGGACTTTGTTAGCGGTTTTGCGGGCTTGGATTCTGTCTTGATGGCTGTGGTGGTTGTTGTGGTGGTGATGCTTTCGGTGAGGTTTTGTCTTTTGAGGTTGCGGAGGCTGCGCCTTGGAGGGGGCGATTGGAGAGTCTTTGTGGTCATGGTTGATGGAGTTTATGGCTTTCGCATTGATGAATGAGGTTGGTTGCTATAGATCTACGGTGAAGCATAATTCAACTCTACGATATGGTCTGATGTTGGAGCTGTGAAATCGGTCGTTGAAATGGTGAGGTCAGCGGTCGCCACGATGACTAAGATCTGCAAGATTGGCTCACTGTGGCCGTTGACTCCAGATCGATCACGAGTCTTTTTATAGCATCGCCATAACATGAGTCGGTGAATCAAGAGATTAGGGCCTCTTCGACTATTTGATATTTATTATGCAGCTTGTAGCGCCATTTTGAATGCCTCTTCTCGTTTCGATAGCGCTGCGGCGACTCTAGTGCTCACTCGATCGTGACGGCTTCAGGTGAGCTGAGCGGGGGATGAGCTCGGGATGAGAGACGAAAAGCCTCTTTTATTGCCGGTGCAGATCAGGGCGCTCCTTACGGCGACATTGTATATTATGGTGCTGATTACATGTGTTCGGGATCGACGTGCTAAATGATGTGAAAAGACTCCCGTGGCCCGCTTTCGCTTTGGGAGAGGGAAGAGAGGAAGATGACCAAGTGTATGTATGTTACTAATTCGTGCCTGACTCCTTATATAGGATAGGTACTAGACTATACCGCGAGTCATTGGAGAAGGAGGCCACTCCTTTGATACTACTATCTCACGCTCATCTAGCTATGCATCTAGCTGTGGGACTTGAGGAATAGCTAGGAGATCTATTGCATAGCTAGGATACACAAATTCATCGCTAGCACAGAGGGCTAAGAAGAATTCTGAATACGTGTATTAGAGAAGAACCCATCACATCATCCAATGTCAATACGCTCCTATAATCAGTCTTCTATACGACCGTCGTATAATTGCGCAACCAGGTTTCGCGACATCTCTTTCACGACATCCCTTGCATGGGCCATCGAGATGAGCCAACTAGTCCAAAGTCTGATTCTGACACCAAACTCCAAGCCACACGATCCTACGTACGAAATCAGCGTAATCTAGCGGATATTCCATACCCGTATTACCCCTTTAGTTGATTCCAAGTTAGAGTATGAGCTATAGTCTTACAGGTCAAAGGTTTAAGTTTTTAGCTGAGCTGCACAACCACCCCTCTTAGAATCCGGGATGTCTGAGTGCCGAGCCAATCTGATAATGCATGATTGACGGGACGGCAAAAGTATAACTGAGACATGCCGGCGCTATAAATCACCGATCATTTCCCCCTCGTTTTTCAAGAGCAGATTTGCAGATGTGTCTTCCGTCTTCGTTTGCTTTGTAAACGTTCCCAGCGCTGGTGTATGTTATTTCAAAATGGTCAGCGTGGTCGCTACCATCCTTTCGCCTCAGAATTGGTCGGCCAGCACTTTGTTGCTGGTCGCGACTGTTGCCATCTTTCTTTTTGTTCGCCTTTCGAAGCGTGCTGATTTCCATTCTGGCGCATCATGGACGGACAGGGGCGTGCCTTTCATCGGCTCCCTACCCTTCTTTTCAAGGAGAGGCGATTTCCTTAGAGAGGGCAAGGAGCGCAGTGCCAACGGGCACTTTAATTTCTTCTTTGGACCGTATCCTATCGTCGCTATCTCGGGTGAGGCTGCGCGGGCGGCCTATTTTACTACTCGCGGGCTTGATCTGAGCGCTGGGTATGTATGGATATCGTTCATGGGACGGACCCCTTGCAGTGCTGTAATCATTTATATCATTGGATGAAAAGTGGCTGATTCCGCAATAGATTCAAAAAACTCTTTTCAGCAGGCCCTGATGTTGATAGCATCCTGGGGCGTAACATGGCCACCTATTTCGTGGCGCTGTTCAAGCGCCTCACCGGAAAGGAACACTTGGTAAACTGTCTCCCCTATCTTAACAAAGATGCCTACGATACATATTCCGCTATTGATACGTCTGCTCCCATGGATCCATTCCTGGTTGTGCATGATCTCATCTGCAAGATGACGCATCGTACCGTTGGCTGCCACGACGTCGCTGAGGATCCTGTCTTACGGGCGAAGACGATGAAGTACTATGACATGTTGGATTCAAGTTCTGCTATGAGCATCATGTTCCCTTGGCTGCCAACTCCTACAAAGATGAACAAGCTTTGGGGAGGAGGTAAGCTGCACATGTTGTTTCTAAACATTATCAAGGAGAGGAGAAGAACTGGTCGGAGAGCAGAGGATACGGTACAGATACTGATGGACAAGGGTGAAACCGATATGGTCAATGCAGCAGTGAGTATCTTACTTACACATGTATGTACGTTTTTGGGGGCTAATACATAATATGGCAGTTCATTATTGGCGCGCTATTTGCCGGCTTGATCAATACCGCCGTTCAAGCAGCGTGGATCCTCTGCTATCTCGCTTACGATCCGATCTGGTACGCCAAGGTTCAAGCCGAGGTCGACGCTGCCGTTGCCAAATACCGAACCTCTGAAGGCCAGACCCCGGCTGATGTCCTGCAAACGCTCTCTGTCGAGATATGGGAGTCTGAATTTCCTTCTCTGGACTTGGGAGTGCAAGACAGCATCAGGCTCAACCTCATGGGAGCTTCTATGCGCCAGAATATTTCCGGCAAGGATATCGTGCTCGGCGATACGGGTGTTATTATTCCAAAGAATGCATTTGCAGTAAGTACATGTGCCTATCCAATCCTCTTGACTGAGCGGCATTGATGTCTTATGATTACTATGTAGGTTTACAATATATCGGATGTTCACATGAATGAGACATTATACAAAAATCCAGGAAGATGGGACCCTGGCCGATATCTGTCCGAAAGAGGAGAAGACAAAAAGCAGCAGCATGGATATATTGGATGGGGATCTGGGCTGCACCCATGTTGTAAGAAGACTCCAACCTAAATTCTTGACGATGTTGATGTACTAACTAAGAGACGCAGTGGGCATGAGAGTAGGCCGTGGCAACAATACTTGACATTTCTCCAGAGCAAGAAGAGCTAACTTGTTATATTTAGATTGCGAAAATGGAACTCTTTGTTTCTACGGCTACGTTTGTGGCAATGTTCAACTATAAAGCAGTGGACAAGCACGGGAACCCAAGGACCGAGCCGCTGCCAGGCTATAATTGCAATGATCTGCAGCCGAGGCGTATGACTGATACAATCTATCTCAAATGCGAATCCAGATTCTAGGTCGGAAGCGAACTGAATGATGATTAATCAGGATGGTTGGTAAGCAAATGCGAATGTGAGATGATGAGAATGGATTCTTCTACTGCTGGTGGGATTGTCATGAAAATGCATCATGGATATCAGTTATAGCGCAATGTACTCGTTTCAAGTAATGAATTGATTCTATGGCATTATGTGCGTCAATGTGACTAATTGTTAGGTTGAACTCTTTTTCTGCAGCTCGCGTTCAATCTGCGCGGCGAGAGACGAAGGCGTCTGCGCGCCGGTGTTGTGAACTCTCTCCTAATCAAGCAAAGAGTCAGCTACTTTGTTGTGATACGAGCGATATCATCGTCGTAATTACGATTAAGACCTCTTTCTCAGCGCCTTCCAAGGGCATGGTGTTCTGCTGATTGTCTCCAGTGCCAACGACCATGGGGACGAGATTATGCTGCTTGGTGAGCAGGCTTTGGGGTGGTGCTGAGTTGAGAGATTAGCACATTTATCTTGAGGTATGATGAAATACGGGAATTGTATAGGCATTGAAATACTACCTTCTGTGGTGTCGGTGACGGGGCCGGGAGCTGAGGGATGAGGCTGCGATTTGGAGGTTTGAGCTGCGCCTTTGGGAGTCGTCATGATTGTGGCTGATGGGGTTGAGGCTTTTATAAACTGGGGTTCTAGATGTATATGTGGATGATGGAAAGTAATTGTAAAGATGTGTATAAAGTGTTTGATGTGACATGGGCTGACTAGATGACGTGGATGGGTGCTGAAGGAAAGAACATTTCACGGTCACACCTACATAAACTGAAGGTCTCGTGATGTGACTACATGTTTATAGAAGAGCTTGTATTTAGATGATTTCTCTATTTTGCCTTCTTTCTCTCACCCAATGTTGTGCGGAAAATGAACCAAGTTAAGTTTCTTCTTCAGGATCATGAATTGGCAGCTGGCCACTTCAGCTTCCCTCGTTTTAACGAAGTCGCTTTGGTCTTCTATGCATGAAGAATAAAGGCAAATTTCTTTGCAGATTCATGGATTTGAGTGAATTAATGTGTTATGAGGTCGGTATGGCAGTGTGAAGAGAGAGATGCGTGCTTGTCTGGACCGAGCGTTTGACTTGGTTGACAGTAGAGCAGCTGGAGCGCTACATGCCTGCCTAGAATCTGAGAAGCTCATCGTTTCAAAGCCACGAGATATAATCCAGCCTTCAGACCACGTTATATTTCAACACACTGCACTGTTAACTAGTGTTGGCAGATTGAAATATGTTGTGGCTTGAGATGATATCTCCTAATGTGCTCTCTGCACGGGCCACAAGAGCACATTATTGATTTGTGTATGATTCTCAATTAATATTTAGGATTTTTCTTCCTCATTTCTCTCCTCATTTCTCTTTTCATTTCCCGTTCCCTTCTTCATTATCTTGCTCTTTATCTTCCTTGTCCTTCTCCTCCTCGTCATCATCAAATTTGTCGAAAGTTGCGATCTAACACCAAATATGGCTACCGATATGGACGAAGCATCTCTCCGACTATGTATACAGCTTCAGTCGCAAGATGCCGTTGCATTAATCAAGGGAAAAAAGAGAGAGGACGAGCAACCACCTGATATCGAGTTCGCCGCTGAGCTCTACAAGTTCGAGTTGCACTCACTGCAGACATTTTACTCTGATCGAGCCCTTTGCCGTCGTCTCAGTCGCTTGGGCTTGGAGGCCGGCTATCCTCTTAGAGGTCGTGCTGAAAAGGAAGAGCCAGCTCTAAACAGGACCGGAAGCAAAGCCGATAAAGTTGCATCAAAACAATCCAGCATAAGTTCTACCTCTGACACTGGTGCTAGTGTTAGCATCGTTGACGAAGAGACGACCAGTCAATCCGACGACGAAGTTGCGTCAACAGGGTCCAGCATAAGTCCTACCTCAGATACTAGTGGTAGCCTCGAAACCGTGGAAGAGACGACCAAACCGCTTGTAACATCATAGAATGATGATGGCATGCCTTTAGTCGAAAAGTCTTTGCCTTCGCCTGAACTGAAAGTCCAGCATAGCTTGCCGGAAGCAGCCAGCGAGCAACGACATTGCGTTGCTTGCATGACGAATATTTCATGCTTGGAAACAATAGAGTCTCCTTGCTCCCACATATACTGCCACAGATGTGTAACAGATCTATTCAAATCCGCCATGGTGGATGAGTCGTTATTCCCCCCTCGATGCTGTGGTCAGCATATGCCTCTGGAGTCCACAAAGAGCTTCTTGTCTACAGAGCTGCTCAAAGAATATCAAGAAAAAGAACTGGAATATGGTACATCGAACAGGACATACTGTTATATATCTACTTGTTTGGCATTTATCCCCCCCAAATGCATTCAAAATGGCGTGGCGACATGCAAAATTTGTTCCTGCAAGACGTGCGCTATCTGCAAGGCCCCATCCCATGAAGATGAAGAGTGTCCTGAGGACATGGACATGGAAGAACTTCTTAATACCGCAGCCAATAAAAAGTGGCAGAGATGCTACTCGTACCACAGGATGGTCGAGCTCGCCACAGGATGCAATCATATAAGTACGTTTTAGCTATTTGGATTCTCTGCATGGCTCTGCTCAGCTAACGTCAGTCAGCATGTCGCTGCAAAGCCGAATTTTGCTACCAATGCGGCCTGCAATGGAAGCAATGCCCCTGTCCCCTTTGGCATGAAAATCGATTACTCGTACGCCAGGTACAGCGCGCCGAGAGACAGCGGACGTTGCAAGTTGGCCCTGTTGCATGTACGCATCGTCATTGGACAGTTTTGTACGGCGGTTATCAATGCAAAAGGTGCGAGGATTGGTTACCTAGATTCATATTCTCGTGCAATGGTTGTGGAATGTCGGCATATCGGGGATGCAAGCGCTAGCTGGACAACTTGCATTGGTTTTGATGCTAGATTCGTGCATCAGGTTGCCGAATTATGCAGATTTGGTCTATTAGCTTACGAAATGCCTGTTGCTGATTCAAGAATGTGAAACCATTTGACACAAACAATTTTACGCTGCGTCTGTTGGCTCATCGCCGCCTTTGACTTATATACAGTGGTGTAGTCTTCATTATGATGCTGGGTAGATCGAGGTTGACTATCCATCTGGAAAATAACCCATAACCCATCATATCGAGTCCAGATCGCTCAACATCAGAATAGAGACATCCAGATCAGCATAAGCATCGTAAACTGAAATCTCAAATATCGACCAGCCATCTTATCCTCCTTGCGGGGCGCAGACTGCTAGTGTTGGCGCAAAGGCAAAAAATCCAAGACATGCGTGTGCTGCTCGTATCTGACACAGTGCTGGTTTACAACCGTCCTTCGGTATACTGCGGTTATATCCAAGAGTTTATATGTCTGCGTCATCTCTGCCAGGCCCTGGCAAGAAATCAATAGACTATTAACCTGACTGTGGGCGATGCTGAGGCAAAAAGTACATGTATAGATAGCAAATATCAACCTCAGTTACCTTATCTATGGAGCATGTACGGAGTACAAAGTAAAGCTGATACTGTATCACGCACTGTGACGTGACATACCCACGTGGACCTTTGGCGACACACAAGCCCCATTCTTTAAGCCTCTCTTGGCCGTCCAGAGTCCTTCCAAGGGCTGGCCAAAGGCATGGCTCCCTTCTTTTGTCTCTTACATTATTCCGGTTGTTGTCGAGGCTGGAGAGAACGTGTCTGGTGAGTGAGTTTTGCGCGCATCTGATCTTTCGTCGTGGGCCTCTCTCTTTGCCGCTTGCGATCACGACAAACAGAGGAGTCGCCTGGTAAGGTGCGAGGGTGGTGGAATACATAGAAAGCAGCAAAATAGACATCATGAAGGCGTCTCTCTTTCTGTCGGCTCTTGCGGCGGGCTATGCGGCTGCGGACGACGTTCTTTATAGCAGGCGACTGGCCAAACGCGCCCTTGACGATGGGGGGCACTACAATATTTGTAAGGCTTCATCTGTCTTCTATTTTACCCTGTTATAGAATAACATTTGGCTCATATGTCTGTATACTAGCCTTCTTTCACGTCAACGACGTTCACGCTCATCTTGACCAGTATGTAAAGGCGGGAACAGACTGCACGGATCCCGCCAAAGGCTGCTTCGGTGGCTATGCCCGCATCAAGACAAAAGTCAGCGAGCTGCGTGTTCAATATCCCAACCATCTGTGGTTGAACGCCGGTGATGAATTCCAAGGCACCATGTTCTACTCGTTTTACGGCGGAGAGAAGATTGCCGAGACAATGAATGATCTCAAGTTCGATGCCATGACACTGGGGAACCACGAGTGGGACGGCGGCGATGAGAAGCTAGGAGTGTTTTTGAAGAATTTAACGTTTCCAGTCGTTTCGTGTAATGTGAAGAGCGAGTATACTGACCTCAAAGACACGATTAAAAACTATCACATCTTTGAGGAGTATGGCTTGGCTGTCATCGGGGCATCGACACCGACTACACCTACGATTTCACACGTCGGTCCCCTGACCAAATTTCTCGATCCAGCTGAAGAGGTTCAAAAGGCCATTTGGGAGATCCGCAACACTACCAATATCAAGCGCATTGCGGCTTTGACGCATATTGGCTACGATGTCGATCAGCAACTAGCGGCACAAACAGAGGGCCTGTCTCTCATCATTGGTGGTCACAGCCATACACTCCTTGGAGATATGGCCGGCGCAGAGGGAAAGTATCCGACCATTGTGGAAGATCTTGCTGGTAATGAAGTTTTCATTGTCACATCGTACCGCTGGGGAGAGTATTTGGGCTCGATTGACGTTTCTTTCGATGAGGAGGGCAAAGCTCTAATCTATCATGGCGCCCCAATCCACATGGATAATACGACCAAACTGGAGCCTAATCTTCAGGCCAAGGTTACTGCGTGGCGAGGGCCATTTGAGGATTATGCCAACGAGGTTGTGGGAACTACGGAAAACACTCTTGACCAGACGGCATGCCAGAGCGGCGACTGCCTTTTGGGTGAAGTTATGGCCGATGCTGCATTTGAGTATGCTTACAACCTTACCACAGACGTACCGGAGGACCTGAGGCCGAGCTTTGCACTCATCAATGCAAAGGGTGTTCGAGCAACCATTGACGCTGGCAACATCACCCGGGGCCAGGTCATTACGGCGTTTCCATTTGGTAATGCCGTTGTGAAATTGACATATTCTGGTGCCGACCTGCTCAAGATTCTCGAAGGCGCTGTATCCGGGATAAACCAGTTCAACAGCCAGAAACTGTCGTCTGGGATTCAAGCATCGCATAACCTCCAGGTTCAATACGACCCGTCAAAGGCCCCTGGGCACATGCTTGTCGATGCGAGGATTTCTGGTCAGAGAATCGACCCTGAGAAGAAGTATATAATTGTGACTGTGGATTTCGTTGCTACAGGTGGAGATAATATTCTGCCCAAGAGAGACGACTTTGTTGTATTAGATACACTAGATGAGGTGTTGGTAGATTACATCAAGGCTAGAACGCCCCTGAAGAATACATTGGAGAAGAGAATAGGAAAGGTTGGTACATTTGCGGGCAAGGTGCAAAAGGTATTTTCAGCTTAGATTATGCATAGATGAAATGGTTATTAGGTATATATATTTGTTATTCTTTGTATCTTTTTATTTCACCGGGCAGAATAATTAGCGATCTCGTTTCTGTAAAGACGCATCAAATTGACACGACTCTCTCAAGCTGTCGGCCTTGTATATGTTAGTTCTGTAACTGTCATGGCCGTATCTAGCGTTTTACTTGCTTACCTGATTGGCTTAAACGAAAATCTCGCCTCACAGTGGCCGCTTGTAATCTCTTTCCTTTCTGTTGCTTCAGAGACTTTTTTGGCGTGATGGAAGCCCTCCTTTGTCCATTGACCGAGGCATTATCGTCAAAAGGCCCATTGAAAGATCTTTCAAGTGTGCAGTAACTCTCCACTGGAGAATCGTCTTCGACAACGTGACGACGCTGAGTCTCTCCATCTACAGCCTGACGCTCAAAAATGATGCTAAAGACTGTGAATGTGAGGCACGCAAGAATGCCGATACAGGCAGATATAGTAATGAGGAAGAGAACGGGCCAGAGTCCGTCGGTGGACATTTTGACGAGTGGTATGGGTTGGTAAGGACTATTAGAGGAACAACCTTAATTTAGTCAATTCTGCTCTGCTTGGATGAGCAAGTAGAGGTCTTGAGTATAATATATTTCATTGGACTATATAACTTATCCCGATGAACTATGAAATACCATGTATCACAATCACTGCAGTAGCTTTGAGGACAGAATCACGAATTGGCTTATTCAAGAAAGCCGTGAATCACAGATCCAGATAGTCGTCCAAATCTATCATGCTAATACGGATATTAATGTCGTCCTCCTATACAGAATGTCTCGGGCAAAGAGGGCAGAAGCATCAATATGCTTCAAGCGCAATACCCTGCTCATTCTACAGTTCAACAGAACAACAATGACACAGCAACCTTCATCAACGCTCCCGCATCCGAAATTAAAGTGGCAAAAAAAAAAGAACAAACAAAGCGAGGCCCCCTGCATATACGGAATGCTGCTACCAACTTCAGAGCTAGGCCCCCATTTAGGCAACCCTTGCTCCTGAGGCTGAAATATTCTGTGGATATATGAGGTCAAAGGAGGAACTTTTGGCTGCCTGTGGATGATTCAGCAGCAGAAAGCATCAGAGAGCTACGCAAAGACAGGGACGCCAGCTGGACGGCAGCCAGGACCACTATGTGCACCTTTATAGGCTCTAATTCAGACCCTTGATGACTAAATGGACAAAAGATCTTTGAATTCAAGGTTTTCATCAAGCGATAGTATAGTATGGCATATGTTGATCTAGCTAGATCCTGCCACCCTATTCAAACAACAGAGTCATGACACATTCCATCCCATCCCATCTGAGCGTCAAGCAAACAGTAAATTAATAAGTGTATCGGAAATCGGGACTCGCGTCCTCCTAGTCATAAGTCAGCTATTGCCTCATGACATGGCAAACATAATGCAAAAAAAAAAATCGCGGGCACTTACATCGTGAGCCTCCAGCGTAACACCCTGCGTATCAGCCTTCCTGTTCAGCCTCCAAAAATTCAAATCGCACACCACCACCAAGACAATGTTCAGCAGCGCGCAGGCAATGCACGCATACATGCCGGGCTTGTACCCCGTCGCCGCGTCCTGCTGCCGAAACACCAAGCTGCCCGCAATGCCGCCAATCCCCCCGAAGCCCACGAGCGTGGCGCTGCAAAAGGCCCGCTTCCACTGGCCGCGCACGTTGTTTGCCTGGAAGGACATGACGGAGGGGATGTTGCTGTTTGCGCCGGCCGTGACGAGGAAGACGCCAAAGTAGCGCACGCCGGCCTGTTCGGCCCAGCCCATGATGGGGAGGCCGATGAGGCAGAGCACCATGTTGAAGATGACGATTGGGCCGCGGACACGCAGCTTGTCGCCAACCCAGGCGGCCGAGAACATGACAATGCCGGTGAATGCATAAGGGGGTGCGACGAGGCATTGGGATTCACCAACGGAGAACTTCATGCTGCGCGTGAGGATAAGGGGCAGTGAGTAGGCCAGTGAGTACGTCATGGTGGTGCTGTTGAAGAACATCATAGCATAGGCCCAGATCTTCCAATCCGCTCCGGCGCTCAGGAACTTCTTGAGGTTGAACGGCGGGGCCTCGGTGTCGCCGCGGTCGCGCTGGATGCGGTGCACGATCCATTGGCGCTCCTTTTGGCCGAGGAAGCTCCAGGTGAGGCGCGTGGAGTCGGGGAAGTCGACGAGAAGCCAGTAGCTGGCGACGCTAAGGGCGCAGGTGATGGTGCCTTCGATGATGAAGATCCAGCGCCAGCCGCTGAGGCCTTCGCGGCCGTTGAGATGCATGAGCTGTTTGGATCGTTGTGAGATTTCGTGTACATATTAGTGAGGAGATTGGGGGGATGACTTACACCATAGGCCAAGATACCGGCAAAGGCGGAGGCGACACAGCCGACAAGATAGAATGCAGAGTACCGTTTTCCAACCTCATCTATAGGGTTACGCTGTATTAGCTGACATTGAATAATACCAAGGGGGGGAATTCAAATTGCCGTCTTCCCACTTACATCGTGTATACCATGTGCTCAGCAAGTACACGCAACTCGGGAAGAATCCAGCCTCTAGAATACCAAGCACTGTTCTCAATGCTGCCAGCTGCTTAAAGTCCTTGACAAAGCCCATGCCAATCATGACGGCGCCCCACAAGAGGGTTATGAAGGCAAGGTGCAGCCGCGGACCGATTTTGCGGACGAGGATAGTGGAGGGTGGTTGGAAAACGATGTAGGTAGTGAAGAAGACGAGATTGGCAATGTTCTAGAGAGATTGTCATACAATTAGCAAAGTAGTTTCTTTGGACGAATTATGTGATTGAAACAGATGAAAAGACTTACGTAGCGGTTGCTGATGAGGTTCAGCTCAACACTCATGCCAGCAATATTGGCAGCGCTCATGTTCGTCCGGTCCATGAGACTGACGCAGTACATGGCCCCCACCGTGATAACCAAGCGGCGGTCGACGCGGCGGATGATGCTGCGCTGCTCGGCCTGGGTGAAGCCAAAGTCATCGTCTTCCAGCGGAGCAACACGGTGGTTGCTCTCCGAGTCTTTCATCGGGTCATCGACATGGCTGAATTCGAGCCCTTGCTTTTCAGACTCTAGGTGAGGAGTTTCCGCACTCATGGTGGTGAAGACTTGGAAGAAGCAACTTTGCTATGTTTTCCTTGTCACAACAGAAGATTTAAAGTGAAGAAGAGAAAAAAAGAAAAGTTTTTTTTTTGTTCTTGTCTCATTTGCAAGAGACATATTGAGACATCCCGAAAACAGGGGGATCGGCATGAAGAATATATACTTACATGCACGTTGCGTACCATCAGACCTGCCAAGATTCAAGCCGTTGGCCTCTCTACCCCAGGTTTCCACGCAACTGCCGCTTGGGATTCTAATTCTACAGGTCATATCGAACGTTGCCCCAAGGGCTGGGTAGCATTGGCTAAGCGTCTAAGCCGTATCATGCGGTTGATTTTCAATAGTCTCGGTACAAAATGAAGAGCCCAAGAGCCGAGAACCTTGTCGTTTCCCCTCTCGGTTGTTCATGCGAGGCCATAAAATGACGAGTGTCAGCTCCATCTTCGCAGCCATGCCCCATAATACCCATACTCTTGGCCAAGATATGAACGAATGAGCAGATCTTCCCCAGACTTTTTTTTTCTTCCCTCTCTTGTTCCTAATGGGTAATTTACTCGGTGGGGTAAGGAGACCGTCTCGGCTAGATTTTGGGCGCCCCCCTCTTGGCTTATCGCCTATTTTATGCTTATACCAGGGTTATAAGGAAGGGAACGCGAAATGTGCAGGGTGGCCGTGGCAAAATCCGGGGTCTGACTGACACCTAACTCCCCGCCTGGATGCTTAGATGAGAGACGTTGAAGTGGAAGAGGGTGGCTGGAAATTACGGTGAGTGGATGGATGCCTGGGCAGAGAAGAGACACCAGTTGGCTGCTAAACTAGGTAGCAGTCTAGGCTCTAAGAACTCACAACTCGTTGCTATCATAAGCATTACTCATTACACCCATATTCGTCTATTTGTGTATGCTTCATGTCGAGTCTTCCATTGCGACAAGTCCAGAAACGCCACAAGCTCGTGGTAAATACAAGCATCCCGTTGTGGTCAAATCTTTATTCGCGGGGAAGAAGGAAGCTAAACAACTCTAAACGCTCTAGGAGGACACTCTAATTCACTAGCTCATGTGTAGTAGTAGTACATGTATAAACGCTGTAGAGGCGCGAAAAAAAAAGGGGGGGCAAGAAAGGCAGTGACATTCGTTATCAAAAGGAAAAATGCTTTGTCTGGCGTCTAGACATCCTAGACCAATGCTATATTATGCTATATTATGCTATAGATACATGACATTACTCAAGACAGTGGCATCGATAAGCGAAAAGAAGATTCAAGGTAACAGCCCAGATTTGGGGATACATTGCAGCTGCATTCGCTCCAACCGTCTTCTTGGCCCCCAAGACCCATTGGCTCCCACAGAACAAAAACGCCACATCATGATCCATTCAGCCATGAACACCAAGAGACTAGAAAATAAGAATGAGCGCCACGTTTGCGCTCCCCCGCGTTTCCCATTGCCGCCACCAATAACACGTCGATCCGACCAGCAGGATACCGAGGCTCACCTCAAATCTTTGCTAGTCTTATCCACTCTTCAAGGCCAAGATTTACCTTTTTTTCAGCTTTCAATATTGGATCCCATTCTTCAAAGCTAAAAGCATGTTAGATGGAGGATACCAAGATATGCAGATGCCACAGAAATTCCCCGATTCGCCGATATCTCGTTGATAATTGCTGATGACCTTGTTCCTACTTCGCAAGCTTGCCGTCTATTTGGCTAGTGTGGACTGTGAACTATTTGTGCTTGGCATCAGTCTTCAGCTCATCCGCAGGCTGTATCATCTATAGATTGCTTAGTCAACTGTTGATGGCCCGGTAACTCATCACTTGGGTTGCTCCTATCTCGTCTACTCCTTGATCAGACTCCAATTCTCAAAGCAGCACCAGAGTCAAAGCAAAAAGGGCCCAAATATCAATGCTTGACTATCGCCTAGTATCGTGTTACTGCAAATAATAAGAACCAACTGAATCCAGCACAATCCATACAAAGCAATCCTACCAAGGTCTAACCAGACCAAGCCAAATCGAACCCCAACCCTAGCCGTGCAGCTCATCACCGCAAACGATGCCCTGGCATCTAATAGCCCATCTCAAGAAACATACCATTTCGAAAACTCCGCACCATCAAGAGACGCCTGTAGTCTTGTAATTGGTATTCTGTGCTATCCGCCACCTCGTTTAACCCCACCCTGATCGACTATCCAAGAAAAGAAAATACCGTACCATTCCAAAAATATGCCATGAAAACGCTGATGAAAGAATACGAAACCACAAACGAGGCTTATCCAATAAAAATCATCGTATGAGTACTTGGAGATGCAGAAGGAAGACGATGTTTCTCATCAAAGATGAGATGACAGCACTGGCTCACACACAAGGCCCCTTCAACTTCTCAGCCCCTGGGCTCTCTACGCAGAGAACCCAAACCGCTTGGCAACCACGCCGCCGAATCGTTGAACGTTGTGCCAGAACAGGCCGGCGATGCCAACAATGGTAAACACCTGCAAGATCTCAAAAGGGTTTTTCGCACGGACCTTGGTTTCGACAAAATCAACCTTGGATCCGGCCATGGCGGGGAAACGCCCAGTTGTCAGGTATTGTTCCATTAGCTCGTCTTTCTTGTACCATTCGTTGCGCAGCCAAAGATCAAATTCATCTGCGTTATCGAGAGGTATGTCTGACATTTTGAATTTTCGCCAGAAAAAGTTGACCGACTTGGGCGGCCGGCCTTGGAAGTAGGTGCTGCCCAGAGTGAAGATATCCTCGCCGTATTTACCTCGGCTGTTTCGACAAGAGTTAGTTGCCTTGACCTCTACATGATTTCTAATGGCCCATGCCACAATAAGAACACTTACTCAATACCCTCGTACGCGACCGTGCAGTCATAAACATAGTCTACTGTTCCCCTCAGCTCGTTCAGGCAGAAGAAGCTGCCGGTGCTGCGGGGGAGCAGCATATGCTCGGGATCTTTCCATCCATTCTTGTTCGCCCAACTCGCAGATTTCCGTCGACCGTTTCCAGAAATGTTGGTGCCTTCGGGAAACAGGAGTAGCCACATGGGCACGCGATACGTCTTCCCGCTGGGATCAGTCTTGGTTTGCTTCAGCTTCCCAAGCCGATACGCAAGCCGGGGCTGATCCTTTGCCATCTTCCTCGACATGAAGATGAAACCGTAAAACTTCATGCCCCAGCCAACGAGAGGGATGTACTGTAGCGACTCCTTCAGGATGATGTATATGTGGCCATGCGCAGAAGGTCGGTTAACGTAACCGACCCACCAGAGATACAGCCAGTCCGTATAAATCTACCGATGCTAGTTAGCTCAGCTTTGACAAACATTCTCTCGCTAGAATTAGGATGAAACCAAGTGTGATCGCAAATGAGTCAGGCTGTGATGGGAATCCGCCAAACCGCTGCTGTCCCTCAGAGGGTCATCTTACCTGATGATTCGCAATCATAACGATGCGCTCCGGAAAGTTGAATTGCACGCCATTACCTTCCGTGGGGAGGATTTCTCCTGCTACCGACTCATCACCGCTGATCCGGATCGTTGTCGGACCCCAGATCTGCGTCATTAGAATGGTGGTGATGGCAAACAGTCGCTTGGTCATTGACATGTAGTCATAGTATATATCGCGGTTAACAAAATACAGCCAACAGCCGAGGACCTGCGTAATGACGATGCTGCAACACCAGAATGTTAGTGAGAGGCGGTCTCATCATGGTGTGTATTGCGGCAAGACGGGAGCAGGGGACATGGAGGACATGGAGGACATGGAGCAAACAGCAAACGTACGTGACACAGCAAGTTAGGAAGTAAATGGTAAAAGCCAGCCCTCGCAGTATCTGCATGGCCTTACCATGGCCCCGTTTGCCTGATGGGTGAGCATCTTTAGGGCTTGTAGAGGCCTTTTTGGATGCTTGGCTGAGCCCCATGGCAATCGCGGGAGCTGGTATGTTGGTCTCGGACCCGTCGGTATCCTTGCTAGGAGCCATGAACGAGCCGCGGTTTCTTGCGCAGGTGGAATTCCGGGATGTTCAGACGGATCGTCTAATATGTAACTGCAAATCAAGCCCAGCAGCCCGGCATGAGGCTCAAGACTGAGAGGGGGAAACTGAGGCGGTGATGTGGCTTCTCGGCGGTTATACCTAGCCTCGCGCCAGCTATTGGACGAGACACGACGGCACAACGGCCAGGCACAGGCGTCCCAGATAGGACACGGCACGGATGCGAATTGCCGGCAGCTTCAGGCAGGCAGGGCCACAACAGGGCAGCTGAGGTGCTGGCGTCAGGTGCGGACAGTCCGGGATCCCAGCTCTGCGCTCACAAGCAGCGTCGCACTTCGCAGACCAGGTGCTTGCTTGCTCGAACGATCGTCTCTGCGGATTCGAGGTCAGGCAGACGGTGCAAGGTGAAGGTTTGGCCGGCGACGGCTGGGAGCAGCACATGATGACGCACGGCGGCCCTGCGCTGCGGCTGCTTATTCGCTCCCTGCGTCTGCCTAGCTGTCATGCTGCAGTTGGCGCTCAGCAGCGCAGCCAGCCAGCCAGTTCAGCCCTGGAGCCCCGGAGCTAGCCAGAGCCAAGTCTCGTGTGGGGGCTGGCGCAGGCTTCGGGTTCCTCCAGAGCCCGTGAGTCGCTCGAGGCTGTCAAGCTGTGCCATGCTATGCGCGTGTTGGAGAAGAGCAGAGCAGAGTGGGCTGGGCTGGGCTGGTGGCGCATTATCGAGTGCCTAATCGGTCTAGGGCGGTGACCGAACGCGGCGAGTCTGCCGGACAAATGGCGGGAGCCGGGCGTGCTCTCTCTACTGTATCTTCTCTCGTGCTCCCGAAGTGGCTTGAGCGCAAACAAAGCCATCAGAGAGAGTGCCTAGCAGTGTTTGGAGCATCCTTCGTCTTCCACGCCCCATGCAGCAGCGAGACAAGCGACAACCAGGTACTGTCTATCAGATAAGGTATGAAACGAAACCTGCCTTGAGTCTTGAGGTGACCTGATCACATGTCACTGCGCAGGGTCATCCACCAGAGTCATGTCTCGTATAGGCACCTTGTAGCTTGGCAATGCATTGCTACAGGTACCCGGCAGCTACCCCGCCTACCACAAGCAGCAGGCGGTGGAGACCGGAGGCGCTCCCGAGATCGAGCCCTTTGCAACAATCACCTGTTACCAAATACCAACCACCTGCTATGTACCTTCAATACATGTAGTGGCCGTGCACGCACCAAGGTACCCGACTGTTTGTTCTGGCGGCAGCATCAAGCAACAGGTTCTTTTAATAGCATCTACATGGGTCGTTTGAATGCAGTTCCTGAATCGAGATGCTCGTTGCCTCAAAGCATCTGTGTACAAGCTGAACAGCCTCCTGCCAATGAGAGAAAGGAAAAGAGGGGTCTAGAAAACACCATCGTAAGTAGACCAGTAACGCGACGGCCAGGATGTTTGGAGTATGTTTTCCCCAGCCACGAACAAAGTGACGCTTGTTTGCAGATCGTGAATGATCCGCCATCGTTGGCAGAGCCTCCCCCAATCTCCTGGGCCAGTACACAAGCTTGACATCGGGTGGCAATGAGCGGGTCGTTCCGCTGCGTACTGCGGCCAATTATCTGAGCGGTACGGCCCGTGTAGGTCGTTGGGCCAATTTCATGGACTTCTTGTCCATCACTACGGGGAAAGAATGGAGTATATTGACAAAATGACTCGACGTCGAGCTGCGCAGACAAAGTACCACCACGCTCAAGCCTCTGGACGAGTACCGGATGTTCCATACTAGACGAAAGAGGAATCAAACTTGGCCGAATCCGTCTCCTCGATTTCATCAGGATTTTATCTGTATTACATTGAATGGGGCGTTAAGATATCTACCTGATAAAGGCAGTCAAGGTTTGCATTTGGGAGCGAAGCACAAGAACGGTTGGCTCCGCTGCTAAGAAGACACCTTGATTCCCAAGTTGTAAGAGTTTTTCAGGTCGAAGAGCGTCAAAGGTTCCAGCGATATACTTTGGAAAACGGGAACTTTACTAAAGGCTCATTTGGCAGCCACCTGGCGGCGGTAATTATGTTCCCTTTCTCGATGCTATAAGCTATGAGACGTCTATCCCGTAAACAGGCACCAGCCATGAACGTTAGTTGCCCAATGCATTTTGCCGCCTCCAATCTTTAAAGGGATAGCTCGAAAATGCACCCTGCTGGAACTTTCTCCAAGTTTCCTTGTGTTGGGGTCTAAATAGGTGCCTGGAATAAGGCTGCATGAGATGATCGGTAAAGGTCGTTGAGTAGGACTAGAATGTCACCTGCTCGACTAGCATGAGTGACATCAAAATACAATGGCCGGAAGGCTGCAGATTGAGATGAGACGAGCCCATTGATTCAACAGATGGCTTTTCCCAAGTCGTCAATGCCAGTTCCGTGAGGGTTAATTAACGGAGAACTGAAAGTGGATCGAACAAAGAGCAAACATAAAGCCCGAAGCCCAAATGGGATATGCCAGCGCTCAGGGCAAGCGAGGTGCTGTCTCGCAATGGATAGTCTTTGCGCCACTGTCAAAATTTCGGAATGGCTAGTACAATTGCTCCAAGAGAGAGGATTGACTCTTGTTTGTCTGTGATGAAGTTATCGCGACGTCTATTGGCCTCCTTGACCCTACAGAATCATTACGAGGCGACGCAAATCCATCGCTGCAGTGCAGCCACCAACACTCTACACATGGGCCAATAGACCTGTTTTAGGCCGGAAAGTAACATCATGGGCTGGGGAGATAGCCAAAGCAAGCAAAGCTGCAGCGATACGCGAGCAAACAGCTTGCCAGAATACTGTACCAACTAAAGCTCCTGAAGACTGAGCTGGTATAGGGATAGTTTGGCAACTTGTTATTGCTATAGTTGACATATGATACTTTACTATTTTAATGACTATGGCCCTCGAACAAGCTCAACTCTGTCGAACAAGCTCCGCCACTGAACTTACAATCTAAGACGTTCAGTTCGCAAGCCTTTGTTGGTAAGCCATGCGTATTATTTCGGCAATACAGACAAACGTGGTGGCTAGTGAACCACTATACTGACCGAACCCAAGCAGAAAAGGAACAGCCGACAATTAATGAGCGTTTAGGGACAATTTCCCTTGAAACGACCAGTGAGCAAGACTGGGCTCCAGTCCGAAATCTATACAGGTAAGGTAACAACCTTGCACAGCAGCTTCAACAGCATCTGAAATATTCAGTCCGTGGCAACATGACCTCCCTAGGAGACTTTTTTTTTTTTTTGGGCTGAGGAAGTGAAGCTGACAAGTATTACACAGATCGAGCCAATGGACGGATCGTCATCGAGCTTCCGTGATGCTGAAAGGATCGTTGGCATCAAGCTAGCAACCTACGTATATCCTCATGCAGACGGATACATCAGCCCAGAGCACCGGCAACGGTTCGCCATCCTCGTAGACATTTTCCAACAACATCTTCAAAAACACCCTGAACTGTTTCTTGAGCATTCAACCCGAACAGAGTTTCAGCTTAAGATGTGCGGCTGCCACAGGTTAACCGCTGAACCGTCGATTATTATCGCACATCCGTCTGATAATCTACGGACTGGCCTTGCGATCCTGAAGACTTTGGCCCAAACCCAAATCAGGGACCAGTATAAGCTTCACTCAGCGACTCGGTTTCAAATATACCTCTCCCTCAGGCCCACGTTTGAGTATCTTGCATCCCCTTCCGATAATCTCAGTATCTGCTTCAAGAGTCCCTATCTTTCTGGTGCTGTCCTCGCTTCAGGAGACAATTGTGATAGTGTCAGCACCATCACTTGCGGTATCCGATTTTCCAATACCGATGACACAATCTTTGCGCTGACGCCTGCCCATGCTTTAAAACAGAATGGGCAAGGCAATGAAAAGAAAATCCAGAAGGGTACATCTAGCTTGCAGTCTATGCCAAGCGAACCGCAAGCAACATGTGTGTTGGCCGATGTGGAGTACGACATGGCCGAACTCAGGCAGCTCGAGAAAGACTCAGCTGAAGCTATCGTGCACCGTGAGTATAAATCGAAGCCGGCGAAAAAGCATGGCGATGGCTATGTGCAGATTCCTGGAACTCGAGTTATAACGCCGAGCCGAGCCTGGGGGCGACTAGTCCAGCCTAATTCTCCCAATCTTGACTGGACTTTGGTAGAAATCAACCCAAGCCATGGACTTACAGCAGCTGACGACGCACGCCAAATATTTGATTTGGGTGACGAGAAGCGTGCGGTGCAGGTCATAACAACTAGGGGCCCGCTACAAGGTACGATTCGCAGGACACTTACCTTTATCACCAATTCCGGTAGCGACAGCCCCTTATGTGAGGTTTGGACTGTTACCGTGGCAGGGCTAGGTATGAATCCACTTCTTTTCTGACCTTGATGAAATCGATGCTGACTACCATACCAGGTGATGGAGATGTACGGATGGGAGACAGCGGGTCTCTTGTCATCGACTCCATCACAGGTCAACCGTGCGGGTATGTTATCGCGGTCAATCGCCTTCAACAACTATACGTGGTGCCACTATGCTTGATGCTGCAGCAGATTGCGGAAATGGTGTCTATTCCAAATGTCAAACCAGAAGTCTTCTTGAACCTCGAGCCGAACTGGAGACCCATACAAGCTCAGGGACCTGTCTTTAGGGTGCTCATGACTTACTTTTCCCAACCTTGGTCGCGGACCAGGATAGGAGAGCCCCGACCCGCTTGGCTGCGCAAACTTCGCGCAAAATGTGCTGGAGGATGGAATTATATCGAAATGGGAATCCGCGGCCTTTTTTCTCCGTCAACTGCCAAACCTTCAACGTACCATGGCTTGAAATGTCATAACCAGTGCGACGTATTTAGCGAGTACGATGTCCAGTATCCTTTGCTGCTGTTGAAAGAATACTAACGAATTTCATAGTGTCTCATCGACATTCGAGGATGTAGAAGGATATGGGTATGACGGCTCCCGGTGAGGATTTTCCTGTAAATTACTTGATAGCTGGAAACACTAACACTGGCTTCTTTGAAGGGTGCTTCATCGAGGAGACAGCAATAGTAGCCAGACCAGTATCACGCCTCTTCTCAAGAACCATTGCGGACAGTCTTCTGATATTTCCCTCGATACACTCGCGAGGCCCCCTCCTGCGAAGCTCCCTTCTTTCGGCTGGCCAATCACTACTGAGAACGATCCGATCAATTCCTATGGGCATCGGATATTCCCTGGAAATCCCATCATGGATGCACGTCTCTATGATCAAGTACCTTCCATCCTCAGCCCTGTCCTAACCAGACCCCCAGGCTTCCGAGCTGCAACAACGCCCGAAGATTCCCTTCAAATAATTCAGCACACTGAGATCATTCAAAATACTCACCGCCTGTCGACACCATTCGAGTCCGCCAATGAAATTCTCGCAGGTGATCCACTGCCAGCACTTCCTCGCTCGGCAGAGGAAGAACTTCCACTCCTTCCAACCAGCCTTTCAAGGAGGAAGCAGAGAAAAGTCCTGACCAAGGCCAGCCGCTGTCTCTCGGCATGCGCACTTGAGTTTTGCAACCGGCGTAGGCTGCCCAACACCGTCATCCAAGGCATGGAGTCTGGGGAACCGCCTTTTTTTGTGCAAAACCTTGGGCGCAAGAGAGCTCCATATTGCGAATGGGATGAATTTGTGTTTCTGCTCAAATTTCTCATCGCAGAGCAGCAAATATCTCCCGAATTGTTGGATAGTGACTTGGCTGTTCACTTCAGGGCGGTTCTGTACACCTCTTTGGGAATAGCTGACGTACTTAGGCATCCGGAGCCCCTGAGGGACGACAGAACAATCCTCAGGATTCTCTCCGCCAGCGTTCAAGTTGCCAGGATGCTCAATGATATGAATGCTATGGGTAAGCTTGATGATCTCTTGATGAAGACGGAGCGCAGGATTATTGAGGCCAGTGCTTAAGGCAGCGTGCAAGAGGGACGCTGAGAATTCGGCATGAGGCGCAACTGTGGTCAATTTAGGATGGGATTGTTTGAGGGAAGTCTATTGGGATATATATTTAGGTCCCAGACACGTAGTATTGCGGCAGGAAGCATGGAGTACATGGTTGATTTTTTATCGTTCTTGGCGAGAGGAGGATGAATAGATGTGGAAGGATATTAAGGGGGGTTCAGTTCTTCACATCCTATCAGCCTGCTGTGCAAGGAAAGGATGTTTATGTTGTTTTTATAGAGATTGTATTATTTCGTATGTTATTGAATAGATTATAGACAAGTTTCTTTTGCACTAGAGGTTTTGGTTTGGCTGCTTGGTGGCTTGAGCACGCTGCAGATCACCAGCATCTCGCGTGCGTAGATGGGCATGTAGACCGCCCAGCTTTGGTGTAGTGCACGCAGTTGTGCTTATAGCGCTCATAACGTCTACATTCGCTATAGCATTTATAAGTACAGGGCTATATTGACTCCAATTATCAAAAGGTATCTGGATTGTGCAGACCTCAAGCTGCTTTTATCAAGGCCATTAAAAAGGCGCTACTATATCTAGTTAAACAAGTGGGTGTCGAGCCTATTATAGCAGTAAACCCACTTTGATCAAGTGCCGATAGCTGCTCAGCCAAATGATTTCGACGTGCTATGACGCTAACACATCTTTCCACAACAGCTTGATTCTAGCAGCATCATGGCTTCGACAACGAACTCAACACATGACTCATGATCCCAAGTCGAGATCACCATCTCTAATACAAACAGCAACTCTTTTGTCTTTGCTGCCAACATGATGAGCGCCTCTTGCGCCTAAAAAAAAGTCATGGCCACGCATATTCGAGCTCTCCGGGAGCCATGGCGCAAAATTACCCAAGCTCGGCCGAGTCGGCGACAGCTGCTGCTCCCGCCATCAGAGGCTTTTAGTTGTCGACGCTTCTCTATCGCGCACCCTCTGAGGCTTGCAGAATCGCGTAGCGTGGCAGAGCTGCCGGAGCGCACGCATCCGCGATACCTCCAGATCTCCAAGCCGGGCTCGTCGCTGCTGTCGCTCAACTGGCCGCGGCCGCCCCGCAACCTGCTGCTGGTGCAGAAGCTCTACTCGCCCGAGGTCACCGAGTCTGTGGTTTCGTTTGCCAGGCACATCCGAAGCGACTACCCCGAAGTCAACATCGTCATCGAGGCCCGTGTCGCCGTGCCGATCCAGCAGCAGCTCGACTTTCCCATCTTTGTCGTCGACAACGGCACAAGCATCGCCGACAAGATCGACGCCATTGCGACCTTTGGCGGCGACGGCACGGTTTTGCGCGCCGCCAGCTTGTTCAAGCTACATGGGTCTGTGCCTCCCATCCTGTCCTTCAGCATGGGGACCTTGGGCTTTCTGGGGGAATGGAACTTTGCAGAGCATAAGAAGGCCTGGAGGGAGATGTACATGAGCGGCAGCGACGTCAGCGCGGGGCGTAATGCTGCCGTGCCGCGAGGGACCGACGATGGCTTGGGCACAAGTGCGGCGGCTGGCGAGGGATGGGAGCGAGTCAAGGGCAAGAGTCAAGGAATCAACAGAGCATCTCGAGTTTTGCTGCGGCACCGCATCAAGGCGGACATCTTTGATAGGGCGGGCAATAACATCAACCACGAAGTCTCCAACACGTTGGCCAGCCAGCCCAAGTCGGGCATCGCCCGTCCAAAGGAGATTTCGCCTCCTCTGCGCGCCATCAACGAGATCTCAGTCCACCGAGGCTCTCACCCGCACCTTGCCATCATTGATATCTACCAGAATGGCCACTTTCTCACAGAAACAACGGCGGACGGTATCCTCATCAGCACGCCAACCGGCTCAACTGCGTATAGTTTAAGCGCCGGAGGTCCGATTGTGCATCCTCTGGTAAAGTCGCTGCTCATCACGCCAATCAGCCCCTGCAGCCTTAGTTTCCGATCGCTTGTGCTTCCTCTGGATACAAAGGTTACGCTGCGGATGAGCCCAAAGAACAGAGGCCGCGAGCTAGATCTTAGCATTGATGGCAGACGGTGTGCTGGGGTCTTGCCTGGCTCGGAGATTCACGTCGAGGGCGAGTTTGTAGGGCGAGCCGGCCCTGGAGAGGAATGGCATGGAGGAGTGCCATGCGTGATACGCACCGAGGATGATGATCCTTGGGTTGGTGGACTCAATGGACTCCTTAAGTTCAATCACCCCTTTGGCAGAGAACCTCCCAACGAGGACTTTTCTGACTAGTGGTACAGGCCCAGAGCCTCGTGAATACCCTAGGTAGCTACCTATCTATATTGGACACGTCCCTAACCACGAAATGATACCCCCGTTCTACAGTCGACCGTAATGGTGCATCCCGCCGAGAAGAAAAGGCAACGAGGTGTGCAAGCATGGCTGGCTGCGCAGCTCGTAGAGATGAGCCCATGAATCGTAACTGACGATTTCAGCTCAGGGCCGTCAAGGCATAAACAGGGGAAGAGCTGCAGATTGACAGCTGAGCATCGACAGGACAGGTTAGCTGCTGTTAAGAAAAATAAAAATAAAGCACAGTAAAATACGATAAATACTGCTACCTTGACTTGATCTATGAGCCGTTACTTTAAAGTCGAGATGACCCAAATACTTCTATCCAGCCCAGCAAAAGCAGCTGAAGTGCTCGACATACTCGCATATTCCATCCCGTCAGGTTAGCGCAATCCTATATAGCGGGGTTTAGGCAAGCTGACAGGCATTGGCCGCCCTAGCCTTGACGTCAGTGGCCGCACCGCAGCTGCCACGGGGCCGCCTATGGGGAGCTGTAGCGCTATGGGGACTTTTGTAGGGGCTGCTGGGCAGCTGGGAGAGCTGTGTAGCTGCAGCTGCAGCAGGCATGATAGATAGCCCGGTACCTTGCTTTATCGCACCGCCAAGCGCGTCTTGCATCCTGCATCCTGGGCATAATCCCGGCCTCTTGCTTCACCGCGGCGCCGGTCATTTTTTCCTTTTTCCTTTTTCTTCTGCTTTTCCCTTTTTTGCTTTCTTTCTTAAGCTGAGCGTCTTGACAGGCGCTGGCCAAGAAGTAACGCATGCAAGCATAGCCAGGGCTGTTCTCGTATCTCGCGCTGCCCAGCCAACATTGATATCGTGAAGTTGGTCGCTGGACTCTCTCCCTCTCGCTGCCGAATCCATCCTTGCTCCTCGGGCTCGCCTCGCCTCGACCCATGACCAGAGCGCCGCTCGCCAGCTAAAGCCGTTGGTCGATTCTTGGTCGCAGAGCCAAGATGAGGCTCCCGAACCCATTCAGCTTCCGGCCCGGGCCGGTTACTTTCTGGACGACCGCCATCTATCTCGCCGTCACGATCCCGCTGATTTACGTTCACGAGACGGTGCCACCTGCGCCATCGGCTCACTCCCTCAGCAGGCAAGGCCTGAATTTAAGCGAGGCATGGGACGATCTGCAGATCATCACAAAGCAGTACCATCCGTTCAACAGCAAGGCAAACGCACAAGTCCGCCAGTATCTCATTGACCGTTCCAAAGAGATCTTGGACCGGAATGGTGTTCCTCATAAGACTGATCTAGCCGGTGGGGTGATATGGAATCCCAGGTTTGTTCATCAGGGTATTTGGCTTTGATTTTGCAGGCAGCTGACTCTGAATTAGTGTCGAACGATATACATCTAAGAGTCACGATAATTCCAACGTCGCAAGTGCGAAGCAACCGCGGGGTGCTACCATCTTCGACGACCGGATTTCAAACGTCACCTGGACGGTCGACTCGCTGCTTCAGAGTGCCAAAAAGGGCCCGCAGACGTGGCAGGGCTACTACTTTGAGGGCGACAACTTCTACGTCTATATCCACGGCCAAGATGATCCTGATGACGGCTGGTGGAACTCTCAAGATGGCGTGGCAGACTATAGCCGAGCTGGAGGCGTTCTCGTCAACTGCCATTTCGACTCGTAAGTCCCCGGTCTGGTTCACATATCAGGTAACGGATCGAAATAAAATAGTAATCGGCTAATGCTGTTCTAGTGTCTCGACAGGCTACGGTGCGACTGACGATGGCATGTCGTGCGTGAGCATGCTGCAGCTGCTCAGCTACTTCACCACCGAGGGCCGCCAACCGAAGCATGGCATCGTGCTCCTCTTCAACAATGCGGAAGAGGATGGCCTCCTTGGTGCTCGGGCCTTTGGCTATAGCCCGCTTCTCAAGTTCTGCCACACTTTTGTGAACCTAGAGGGGGCTGGAGCTGGAGGCCGAGCTATGCTTTTCCGAACCACCGATCTTCAGGCGGCCGAGGCCTATGCCAAGAGCCCTCATCCCTTTGGCTCCGTTGTTGCGGCAAATGCCTTTGAGCGAGGAGTTATCAAGAGCGGCACCGATTTCGAGGTATTTGCTCCAGCATTCGGACAGCGAGGTCTGGATATTGCCTTTTATGAGCCTCGCTCGCGCTACCACACCGAAGACGACGATTCGCGTCACACTTCTGTCCGTAGCATTTGGCATATGCTCTCTGCCGCTCTGGCGTCCACTGAGAGACTCTCTGAGGTTACTGGAACTGTCTTCAGTGGCGATCGCGCAGACGGTGATGGAAGCCTAGTCCAGAACGGCAAACCCACCGAGGGCGTCTACTTTGATTGGTATGGCAGCGGATGGCTAGCTTTTCCGCTTAGAGGGCTGTTTGCGTGGTCGCTGACGCTGCTCGTCGTGACTCCCGTGGTCCTCTTTCTTGTTACGTATCTGCTCGTCCGCCAGGACAAGTACTACTATTTTGCCATGGATATCTGGAGACACTCCGAGATTCATGACGAGCCGGTTGCAATCAATGGCTGGCGTGGCTTCTTCCGATACCCCTTGGCGTTGATCTTCGCTATTGGCCTCACCATAGCGTCGATATTACTCGTCGCCAAGGTCAATCCTCTCATCATCTACAGCAGCGGATATGCAGTGTAAGTTTTGTTTGCCATACTGATGTCCATATATGTGACTTTTATTTACTGACAATTATGGTAGCTGGGCTATGACGATATCCCTCTTCTACTTCAGCTTCTGGCTCATCATGAGAGGCGCCAACTTTGTCAGACCCACCGCTCTCCATCGTGGATTTGCCCTCGTCTGGCTCTTCGTCCTTTCTTGGGCCCTTCAAGTCATTGCGGCTTTGGTTGAGGACCGCATCCACCTTGGTGGCCTTTACTTTGCCGCGTTTTTCCACTCGGCCATATTTTTGGCACTCTTCATCTCATTGCTTGAACTATTTGCGCTGCCCGGGAAGCATGAATTTGCCAACCGCTATCAGGACGATCCAGCTCCGGAGCATGTCCGAGTTACCAGCTCTGACAACACCATTACAGGCAATGAAGACGAAGAGGAAGATCATGAGTACGCAGCCGAGAGTGCTACGGAAACAACACCGCTCAGAGCTGGAGAAGCAGGCTACGGGTCGAGCGACCAACCGACGTTTGCTAGCACATACAGACGATCAGCGCAGGCAGAGGAGTCGCCAGCTCCCTCGCCTGTGAAGAGCTATCCTCCGTACGAACACGAACAAGCGTGGTCTGGGCGACTTCCGACTTGGACTTGGTTTATTCAGCTCCTGCTACTTGCTCCTGTCCATGTCATCATCATAGGCAACTTGGGACTGATACAGACTTCATCGATGAACATGACTGGTGCCGACGGTGGAAGTCTGTTGGCTCCTCTGATGGGAATTGGGGTCATGACGATTCTCCTCTTGCTTCCCCTGACACCATTTATGCATCGCATCACTCGCCATGTGCCGCTCTTCCTCTTGGTTGTCTTCATCGCCACGTTCATCTATAACCTCGTCGCCTTCCCATTCTCTACCGACTACCGATACAAATTGTACTTTCAAGAAGTCATCGATGTAGACGCTAAAACGGATGTCGTGTCGCTGTCTGGCCTTCCAGAATACGCTCAGGCAGTCGTTTCATCAATTCCATCGGCTGCTAGCCAACACATCAACTGTAGCGAAAAATCATCGAGGGCTGGCCTCACTGCCTGCAAGTATGCCGTCTCATCGCTAGCGCCGAATCTCGTCGATGGCAAAACACCAGAGGAATTGATCGAGGTGAAAGGCTCCATATTGCCTGGTGGAAGAACCGCCACGCTCCAAATCGATGCAGCGGAGTCCAAGATGTGTATCCTTGACCTTTCCCGGCCTGTATATGGATTCAAATTGGATAAAGGACTTCCGCTAGACGAGCGATTCGGTTCTAGCCCGCAAAACGGGATGAAGAGCATTACTCTCTTCAGGCGAGAATGGAAGGGGGCGTGGGATGTTGAGCTGCAACTGACGCGCGATATCCGCGAAACTGACCCCAAACCCTTCAACGTGACGGTGAAGTGCGCATACAGCGACATGAATGACAAAAAGACGATTCCGGTGCTGCACGAGCTGTACCAGTACATGCCCAAATGGGCGGTCATCTCCAAGGCGGCTGTTGGTCTTGTTGAGGTCAGGAAGAAGTATACTGTGAAGCACGGCTGAGTTTCTTGAATAGATTGTCACGTCATTTGTATTTGTGTAGCATTAATGGTAGCGGTATTGTGGATGATTAAGATGCGAGACGCTGGATGTTGTTGATGCCCTCTTGGACATGATGTTTAAAGCCATTTTGTTGAAATTGCATAGGGGTATGTTTAAGCAAATGAATACATGTGATTTGACAATAGCATTTGCATGTCGAAATTCTCACCAGATATAACTGATTAGACGCTTGCAAAATCATGAGACGCAGCGAGCATTACGACGTCTTGGAATTTGAATTTGGTGATGGGCAAACATGCGTGCCACAGCCTCGGCTGCGACCCACAGTTTGGTTTGTCGTCATTACAGTGGGCATCAGTTATCGGCATCGACATGCATCATCATCATCGGCGCCGTCAGCAGCAATCCAATTGTGAATGCCTAGATGTGAGGATGCAACTCTGGAACTAAGGAAACACTCATCACCGCATTCTCACACGCTCGTCTCAAATATGTCGCCCGTGATTTCGCTGCTCGCCAAGCCGCGGCAGCGAGGCGTTCAGCCCTACCGGAAACACGGCCTCATCTACTTCATCTGCGGCAACCCGGGGCTCGTCAACTTTTACGTCACCTTCCTGGATTGTCTCCGCGGCATGCTGGATGCGGCAGACGAGGGCTCGGGCGGAACGGCGTACGATCTCTACGGGAGGAATCTACTGGGCTTTAGCGACGACGACCATGAGCCGTTTAGCGAGAGCAACGAGCCGTGGGATCTGGACGGCCAGATCGAGGGCATCTACCGGGACGTCGCAGCACGGAGCGTCATCCCAGACGATGCCGGGGCCGAGGGCGAGCAGGGAAAGGGGTCGCGGCCGTACGACTTTGTGGTGCTGATGGGCCACTCTGTCGGCGCATACATCTCGGTCGAGGTCATGCACCGCCACATGCAGGACGCATCGCGGGCGCCGCATCTCAACCTCCGCCACGGCTTCTTGCTCTTCCCGACGCTGACGCACATTGCCAGCTCGCCCAGCGGGAAGAGACTGACGCTGCTGACGAAGATCCCGCGCGTGGAGGAGAACGCGCACCGCGTGGCAAAGTTCGTTCTTGGCTGCATCCCGCTGGCGTGCGTGCTGTGGATCGTGACGCATGTGATGGGATTCACGCCCCAGACGGCGGAGGTGACGGCGCGGTGGCTGAAGAGTCGGGACGGCGTGTGGCAGGCGATTCATCTGGGGTTGTCGGAGATGCGGACGATTTGCGAGGAGAGGTGGGAGGAGGAGCTGTGGGAGGCGACGGCGGCGGTTGAGGGCAACGATGATGCTGAGGACGATTACAGAAGCAGCAGCAGCGAGGCATTAGGAGAGGGAGAGGAATCGTTGGCTTTACAGCAGCAGCAGCAGAAGGTGCCGAGGTTTTTCATCTTTTACGGCAAAAACGACCATTGGGTTGCGAATCACCTGCGGGATGCGTTTATTGAGAGGAGGAGCGAGAAGGGGCATGCGCGGATTTCGATTGATGAGGGGGGGATACCGCATGCGTTTTGTGTGAGAGAGCGTGAGTCTTTTTTGTCTTGGATTTTTTTTTTTTTTTAATATGTGTTGATACTGACGTGAGTGATGATGATGTTAGACACGAGCTGGGTGGTTGCGAAAAAGGTTTTTGGGTGGGTGAGGGAGATTGAGGAGGGACAGCAGCAGCAGTGATTTCTTTATTTATTGGTTTTTTACTTCTTCTTTTTGGCTTGATAGACGATATATAGAACGGCCGTGATTTTGAATCCTTTTTTTATATAAAAGACAATGCTTTCCCCCCCTTGCGTGCAAATATTTACTACGTGTCGTTGAGATACAAGTCCGTATTAGTCACTCACCGGCTATCCAGTTACTCACTCACCGATTCTCGTTTGCGATATATACATGCAACGATTCCTCATCTCCATCAAAACAAAGTGCCATAATCCTGCTAGACTCGTGCTACTACAAGAGGGCGCGCAGAAAATCGATCCACGAGCCCAGCTAACGATTTCATTCCGGCAAACTCGTCAGCAGCGGGTTTCGTTTCGTTTTTTTGTTTCGTTTCACGGCGGCACTTTTGTCTACTTCTACCCCGCAGTTCGGACTTGGCACCTTGGAGAATATCATAAGAGAGGCAAGCGAAAGGAGAAAAAAAGGAGAGAGGCAATATCTGGCAATAACGTGTGAAAAAAGAAAAAAAAAATAGATTGGGCTTGATCACAATGGGAGACTTGCAATCAGTGCAAAGCGATCTGTATGTTATGCTGTGAGAAGAGACGATGATAGTGATAGACCGGTCTAACCACGCATCAATCCCGTAGGCCAGGCCTCCTCAACGCCACGCTTGACCAGCTCGTCGAGGGTCTAAAGAACAGTCACTTTACCAGCGTTCAGTTAACAAAGGTCAGTTTTCCCAGATTCATTTCAAGCCGAGACTCTTACTCACTAGCTCACTAGGCATATCTCGCACGCATCGGGCAAGTAAACGAGACGGTCCACGCCGTCGTTGAAACCAATCCCGATGCACTCGCCATCGCGAAAGCTCTCGACGATGAGAGAGCGTCTGGTACGGTTCGAGGGTAAGTTGAATTACAAAAAAAAAAAAAAAAACTGCATCGTCTATATACTCACACACAGATGACACAGTCCTCTTCATGGAATCCCAGTCCTAGTGAAAAACAACATTGCCACCAAAGACAAGATGGACACGACAGGTTTGTTCTCTCTGCAGTACTTTGTTTAAAAAGACATTGTTTCTCACCACCTTTATTATAATGTAGCTGGTTCACAGCTTCTCATCGGAGCCACAGTTCCCCGCGACGCCTTTGTTGCTCAGAAGCTCCGCGATGCCGGCGCCATCATTCTCGGCAAAGCCAACATGTCCCAATGGGCAAACTTCCGCGCTCGCGACTTCAACATCAACGGCTGGTCCGCCCACGGGGGCCAGACTCACGCCGCCTACCATCCAAACCAGGATGCCTCTGGAAGCTCCAGCGGCAGTGGCGTGGCGGCCGACCTGGGCCTTGCGTGGGCTGCGCTGGGCACCGAGACGGATGGATCCATCATCTGCCCGGCACAGCGCAGCGGCGTTGTAGGGCTGAAGCCCACGGTTGGTCTGACGTCGAGAGATCTTGTCATTCCCGTCTCGGAGCATCAGGATACGGTTGGGCCGATGGCAAGGACGGTCAAAGACGCGGCCTATCTGCTACAAGTCATTGCCGGAAAGGATGCTCACGACAAGTACACGGCTGGGATACCACGCATTCCAGACTATGTGGCCGCGTGTAAGGACACTCTCGCAGGAGCCCGCATAGGCGTTCCCTGGAAGGCCATCAATGAGGGCCTGGAGAAGAATCCGCATTACGCTTCAGAGGTGGAGGGCTTTAAACAGGCTCTTTCTATTCTCGAAGCTGCTGGCGCGGTCCTCGTCGAGGCCGATTACGCCTCAGCTACAAAGGACATCCGGGACATCGAAATGCCACTCATGGGAGCGGATTTCCGCGTCAACCTGGCATCATACCTCTCTCAGCTCGCCACAAACCCAAACAACGTCCACACGCTTGAAGATGTGCGCGAACAGACGCAGAAACACCCCCTGGAGTCATACCCCGAGCGTGACACGGGCATCTGGGACAACATCCTAGACAAGCAAAAGTGGGACAATACCGATCCAGAGTTCAAGGAGAAATACGACCGTCTCCAGGAACTCGGCGGGCCGGGCGGTCTACCGGCGCTGCTGGACCAGCACAGGCTCGTCGCCGTGGCCATGCCGTCCATCATGGCGCCGATGTGGGCCGCGGTGGTGGGAGCCCCTGGGATCACCGTGCCGATGGGACATCTTGGGGAGACGGAGCCGGTGCACGAATCGAACGGGCTGGTGGAGACGGGGCCGGGGATTCCGTTTGGGATGAGCTTTCTGGGGAGGAGGTGGGCGGAGGAGGATCTGCTGGGGTTGGCGTATGGGTTTGAGCAGAGGACGAGGGTGAGGGAGAGGGAGGTGAAGAGGATAGTGGTGCCGACAGCTGAGATTGAAGCGTGAAGCTTGAAAGAGAGAGAAGAAAAAGAAAAAGCAATACTAGTGAATTAGATGAAAAAGCATAAGTTTTAGATGAAAAGCTAGAAGTCATCGTCAGTCGTCAAGCTTTGTCATGGCTTGAGATTTCCCGTTTTGAAAAAAAGGTCCCCCCGCGAGAGCCGGAGAAGGATGGAAGAAGTTCCAGAGCCAATAAAAATAGGGCGCTGCAACTATCTTTTCGGACTATTTGAAGTTCTTTTTCTAGAGGGTTTGTCTCAAGGTTCCAGGCCAGTCCAGATGCAGCGCTGGGTCGAGAGATCCCCAAGGCCAAAGAGGGTGCGTGAGCATGGCATGCGAGGCTAATGTTGAGAGTAATGATGGCCTCTTGACGTCAGGATCATCTTTATTTTGATCCCGGCCCTTTGGGTCTGACATCTTGGCAAAGAACGTTTTTTTTTTTTTTTTTGAATAGTGTCATCGTGGAGTAGTAGTAGGTGTACATACATACAATCTCAGAACGTGAATGGTATGTATATGCATAATAAAGAAGGGGGGGGGGGGCTCGTACGGAGAAATAGGCATCACGCCCAGCAGGCATACATACATACATACAGCCGTCTTACACAACGAGTACACACTCCGGCAGATACTATGGGGAAATTATTTTCCCCATGACGGCAAATCTTTGCCTGGTTCGTTGTCAGGCGGACCCTGCAGGCTGGGCGTTGTCGATCATGTCGTGACTGACAAGTGACACTGACAACTGACACTTTTGACAGTGACGTTTTTTGACAACTTTGACGTGATTGCCCGCGAGCGAGGAATAGGCTCGAGAATGTCACTCTGCTGGGGCGGGCGAAGCACAAATGACAAAGTTTATGCCATCATGACTTTCCATCTGCGTGGTGTGTGTCGTTCTGTATGTATATAAAAGCTGTGTTCTGGGCCCGTGATTGGCTGTTTGTTAGGCACGCCCCGACGTCATCTTCACGGGGAGCCCCGAGGCGGATGGCCGGAAGGGGCAATGGTTGCTGGGATTGAGTTTTTCTCGCTCTTTGTCTAATTTTTATGTTTATTCTGCTTTGTTCGACTCTCTGCTAATTTTTTTTTTTGTCCCTAGATCATTGCTGCAATATAGACTACATATTGGTGGCTTGTCGATGGAATGGACGCCATGATAAGCCGGAACACACGCTCGGAAGATGCAAAAAACGTGGTGCAACTTACACCAAAACTACTAGTAATACTCGGTCATCAAACGTCTCCAAGAACAAAAGAGCGCCAAAATCACTCACATCCTAGAATACACTTTTTCTTCTTTCTTTTGCTCGGCTAATAGTAGTAGTAGTGAATTCATTCAGCTTTCCTGCTCTGCTGTCACCCTCGCTGTCACTGCCACACACACTCTCTCTCACACACACACACACACATATGCAGCTTCTTTTATGCATCAGCCACTGCTGCTGCACAAACTGCCTCTCTCTCCCCTACCCCCACAGTTGGATCCAATGCCTTATTATGCACCATGAACAACAACAACAACAACAAAAAAAAAAAAAAAATCCTACGCTAGGAAAGAGGGTTAGTTCAGTTTCGTTTCGTTACTTGCAGGTACGTACCGCCGGTTCCCCCCATAACGAGGCGTCACAGTACACATAATCTCCACACCTCCACACCAAAAAAAGCCAAAGGCACGGGCTGGGCTGTAATACCGTACGTACCGCCTCGTACCTCGTATAACTTCCAGTAGCTCTCCCAGTTGTTTGTGCACAATTCAGTGTGTGCAAGGGGGGGCGGTGAGAAAATAAAAAGAAAAAGAGATTTTTTTGCGCTATAGAAATGGCCTTGTACAGGGTTCCAGCAGAGATGCGCCAGATTGGGCCGCAGCCGTGGTGAATTGGCTGCTGATGATTTTCGTCTTTTGTTCACCATCGGCATCATCATCGTCATTTCAACCCCCCCTCCTCCCCCAGCTTTTTTTTTCCCTTTTGTTCTCTCTGCGCCGCTTGTTTCTTCTGTTCCCTCTTAAGAACTGGATCCTATTTTAAGCAACCAGCCTCGCTAGTTCCTCCGCCAAATACGAAGGAATGCCACCCTCCCAAGTCCCAATGAGGCTACGCTCCCTCAAGCCACAAAGAAAACTTGGCTTGCGAAGGCGCCGCTAGAGGCATTTGGTGTGAGTGCAGAGTACGTATGCAAATGTGTATGTGTGTGTGTGTGTATAGACTTGCTGCGACTGTGCTGTGCGGTGTCGGCTGTGTCTTCTCTTTTTTTTTGTCTTCTTCGTCCTGCTGCCTGTTATTCACCTTGTACAGCCGTAATGATGGCCCCCGGATTTTCGTAGGCATGTGACACAGATGGATTTCTTTTGGCCACGGGGCATTGATTTGTGCTGACGTGAATTGGCGCTGCGATGCATGTAATACAGCCTGTACGACAGTTGTCTCTGTAAGAGCTGCAGTGCTACTGCTGGTTACCTACCTGTAGCCGACACACCACCACTTTATTACATGCTGCTGAAAGAAAAAAAAAAAAAAAACATCAGTCCGTCTAATTGCTCTGCAGCAACACCCATCCAACCTCAAATCATCACTGCTACTCATCCACTCGCTTCAATGGCCATCAACGCATCGTCCAGCACTTGCAACTCGTAAGCATCGTCAGTCACACATCCACACGCGCACACACCATCAATCCCCCAGGCGCGACGCTCCGCCGCGCTGCATCTCGTACCTCAAAATGCCGCCTTAGCGCCCTGCACAATGACCACCACCAGCGTCTGCAACGTCCAACCTCTTCTCCAGTATAACTCCAGTCTGCTTCTACTTCTGCTGTGCCAACCACCTGCATTTCTTCACAACAATCGTATAACGGCAGCAGCATTTCTTTCTAGCTACTACCTACTCCCATCCTTCTCTCATTGGGACTAGTAACCAACAGCAAAAAAAACAGAGTTACTAGCATTTGCCCCCCCCCCCCCGGTCCCGTCCTCCCGCATTAAGCATAGCTCTACACCAGCATAACGCAGAGGTGGTGCCACGCCCAGAAACGCAAAACAAGCCTAATTCCAACTTTTTTCTTTCTTCTTTCTTCCTCTGCTTCGATACACGTAACAAGTTGTAACAAGTCATCTTTTTTGAAGCACTTGGTTGGTTGGTTGCGTGGCTGCAACTCGCACCACCACCCACTCAAGTCACTTTTTCTTCATCACAAACAAACAATCAACCGTTGCATTGAGAGAGAAAAAAAAAAAAAGGAACTAGAACCTCCAGAGAGCTCCATCCAAGCTCCCATTTTCTTCCCGCTTCTAGGCCCAGTCCTCGCTTTTTCAACTCTTCCAGTCCAATCCACTCTAGTTCTCCACCTGTCTTTTTCATTCTTTTGCCTCCTCTTTCTCAACTCCACCGGGGGAGAAAGGAATAAAAAGAATTACCCCCCTCATCCAAAATGGAAGAAGAAGACGAAGACGAAGAAGAAGAAACCCAATACGTAAAACAAACACAGCTCCACTACCCAGGGAATACAGTACACATACATACATAGAGGCCAAGCAGTACACAGACAGTAAATATAAAACATCAACCGTGCCATCACAATAATCTACACCCCCCCGGATCCCATCCCAGCCACGTCGTCCCAGCCGGCGGAGCCACCGGATATCCGCCCAGCCAAGCTCCTCTATATACAAAGTACATGTCCTCTGTACTGTACTGTAGCATCAATTCCTGCTCTACCCAGCGTCAACTGGCACGCTTAAATTTTCTGGACCAGGGCCCCTTTTTCTCTTAGTCACGGCTCGCCGTCGCAAACGGAAGCTCGGACATGGCGGGCCCTCCATCCTCCTTGTCTTGTGTGATTCTGAGTGTTCCAGGCTGTTTGTTGACTGCTACGTCCCGGCCTACCTAGGCTTAAGCACGATGGATTGCACTCCACTAGCAGACCGGCAGCACCAGCAGCATTTCGGCGACAGCCCGCGCCTCTCTAAAGCAGTTGGAGCAGGCATATGGCAAATAGCAAATGGCAACCGTAAACTGCTATGGCTCTGGAAAAAGCTATCAAATGCAAATGGGACTACAAAGCGGAATACAGTCACATATTCAAACAAAACCAAACCATTTGAAAAGATAAAAAATCGTCCGAAGACATTAGCATTAAAGCCAGTAAACTGGTTATATTTTGTGTATTACATGCCCGCGGAGGGGCAGATGATCCAAATCCAACAACATATGTCGTATAGGGTCCAGCTCGTAGTTCATAACACCATAAAGCCTCCCCAGCACACTAAAAACTGTTCCAAATTCCTTCCATCCTAATTCCTCCCATCCCATACATCGTCTCCAATCTTGAAATCTCGCCTTTGGGTATCCGTGAGTATTCAAGTCCCTTACAGGGCAAGGGCACCGAGAGCGAGCATGGCAAGGCCGGGCAGGACAACAGGGCCGGCGTTGGTGGGAGCGTGAGTGGGGCCGGTGGTGGTTCGGTTGCCAGCAGGGGGAGCACCGGTGCCAGCAGGAGTGCTGCTGGTGACGATGGTGGTGCCAGCGGCAGAGGTGGTAGCAGCAGCAGAGGTCTGGGCAGCAGAGGTGGCGGGAGCAGAGCTGGCAGGGGCGGAGCTGGCAGGGGCAGAGCTGGCGGGAGCAGAGGTAGCGGCAGCGCTGGTGGCAGCGGCGCTGGAGCTGGCAGCAGCAGAGGAGCCAGAGCCAGACTGGGCCTTGCAGAGAGCCTGAGTGGCGGGGAGGACCTTGTCTGTAATCATTGTTAGATCAGATCGTCTTGAATATCACGGCTTGCAGATCAACATACTCAGGGCAACATCAGCACCGCACTTCTCGATGACGCAAGAGGTGGCAGAGGTCTGGACAGCGCTGAAGTCCTTGCAGATACAGGCGTAGTCGGTGGTAGAGCACTTGGTGTTGGCCGTGACGGCAGCGTCGAGGCAGGGCAGAGCGCAAGAGGGGATATCAGCGCGGGTCTGAGCCTGGGCCAGAGCGGCAAAGGTAACAGCGAGAACGGTGGCGGCCTTCATTTTGACGGTATTAGATTGGATTCCGGGGGAATTATTAAGGGCTAATGTTTTGGTATTTTTTTGGTTTTTGATGAGCAACAACGAATGTGGCTGGACTGTGAAAGCGAGCGAGTGGATGGAGAAGAAAAAGGGAAAAGGGAAGAAAAGATCTCGGGCAGACGAGGCGGATGGAGGCCCTTTATGTACCTATAGACGCAGGAGCAGCTGGCGGCCGCGCAGTACCTGTCTGCACCGGAATAGAGTATGGAGTAGGCGTGTAGTAGCAGCACTAGACGAGGTACTAGCAGGTAATTGCTTCTCTCTCCCCGATGCCCCGTTGATCCATCCATCCATCCATCCATCCATCATAAACCACGCCTTCCAAGTTCCCTTCCCTGGCCCTTGGCTTACTGCAAAGTCACTGGGCCCGGACGGAATATGCTCTAATGCAACGCTGCTAGCCAAGGTCTCAGCTGGGGCCGCACACACCCCCCCATTTCGATCGTCGGGCCGGGGGTTGCAAATGAGAGGGAAAAATTGGGCCGAAAGGGCGAATAGACAGAGACAGCAAGGTTGCTGAATAGCACTAGAGAATAGGTGCGATGGAGTCGGATGGAGTTTGGGCTGGAGTGCTGCTATACTCGAAGCAGAGGTGCTGGGTACTGCAGCGCAGTCAAGATGCCCGGCCGCCGGAGCGCACTTGTTGCTGGTCTGCTGGAACAGAGCAAAGTAGCGAGCACCAGCTTACGTGTACCGTTGGGGCCAAACACGGGCAAGCTCATACAGGTACGAGAGGCAAATCAAAGTTCTTTTTGCATGGTACCTACTAACTTACTCACAAACATCTACGGTACCAAGCAAGCGGCAAGAAAAAGCCACCCAGAGGCTCGCCAGCTTCTACCACGGGCCATCGCCAGGGGGGAAAGAGCTGGTCCAGAGTAGACAATACTCGGTGTCGTCTGCGGCTCTTGCGGGCGAGCCACCGTCACGACTACCTCGCGGCCAGGCAGACGCTGTTGCAAGCGTGGCTTCAGAGGCGGTGGAGCAGCCCGTTGGAGCGCCCCATGGCCGGAAACAGGGATAGGCGCTGCCCTAACCAGATTCGCTACACACGGCCGAGCCGGGCACAGCAGAGATCGACGAGGTTTTGGACGGTGATGGTCTCTGCCTCGCTCTGCGCAGCCTCGGGAGCCGTGCGACACGCCGCCGGCTTGGTTGCAGGTACAGCTGGACGCCGCCGTCATGCCGCCCTGTGCCGTGTACTGCATACCCAGCCAGTGCCTCCTGCTGACCTGGTTCGCCGCAGAGAGGCCAACCAACAGCAGACATGTGAATTCATATACCGTAGCGAGTCGTCGTTCGCACGTACAGCATGCTCGAACTGGACATCCGGCTGCAATACCCCTGTCTCTCGCCAGCTAAACGAGCGCGGAGATGCCGCACCATGGCCCGACAGGCCACTGGTCCGTCCCATTGGCCTCGCCGCCGGAAATTGCGAGAGCCAAATAGCTGTCGATTGATTCAGATCCATTGTCATTTGGTCTCTTGCCTCGTGGATGAAAGCAGAGCGCGCAACGCAAGCAGGGCTACATCACGGTCCATCATTGGCCCAGCCCCTCCCCTTTTTTTCGTTCTCATCCTCTTTGATTCGCCCTGCCCTGCCTCCTCTGCGCGCAGATCTGGGGTTCTGGATGGCAATCGTGGTTGGCCAGCGTCGTCTGGGCTGTCATTTGTGGTGCGGCCGCCTCTGTGCCTGTGCCAGCTTGGGTGGGTGGTGTGGGATGGATGGGTTGCAAAAAGCGCACACCAGACGTAACCTTGCATTGAAGTTCTGCTGTGGCTGTGGCCGGGACTGCAACGCTGTGACTCTTGCTAGCATCAGCGCGTTGGCGAACCAACTAACACAGAAATCATGCTCGCCATGACGGTGATGCCACGCGGTGTCGGTGTTTCAATGCACATGTACCATGGAAATTCATTCATATACAGTACATAAGAGCGTATCATGAGTACCTTAGTACCTACACCAACATACTATGTAGACGCACAGAGTACGTCGGGCTAGGCTCGGCCGACCTGCCGCGGCGAACAGCCTAGAACCCGTTTCCAGGCTTCGATGCGCTGGAATTCCAGCAGCTCCAAGGTCGTCTTCAGAGGGCCACAGCGCCCCCGGCCGGCCGTGGCAAAAGCGCTGCAGCGCCCTCCTGGCCTGTCTCGGTCACCATAACCTGCCTAGGCATAGCTGTAGCTGCTGTCCCCACCGCCAGCGTCCAGGGCAGGTGCCCAGTGTACCTTATGCGCAGAATGCGGATCTCCCAACCTTTGGCCGATCCAAATTCTATCACCTTTTCGTCAGCATCATGTCATGGAGCGCTCTTTTCCTCGCCCATGCGAAGCCCGGAGACATCTTCAACGCCGTCATGTGTGGCTTTCTGGATTTGCTATACTTGGATTCTGAGCACAGGCTACGCCTTATTGAGCACGGTGCTAAATCTGCGCCTTGCTCGATTCTGCAGGCAGATGCACTCTGGCCCAGCTTCTTCGGCCTGTTTTATTGAATGGCGCGTAGTACCGCAATGAACCTGCGGGGAAATATGGGATTACTGACTGTACCATGGAGTACAGTATGTATAATTGTACTACTGCTGCCGGCATTGATAGGTGTTACGGCCTTGTTCCTTGATGGCGACTGTCAGACGTCCCAGTTTCCCACACGGGACACACCGCAAAGAATCCAAGTCCAAGCCCAGCCCAGACCATACAAAGCCAGCAGCAAAGCTACAGGCGTTGGAGAAGGCTTCCTCGTGCGTTCGAGAAGCCAATGGGCAAAGGAGGCGAACCATCTGGTAGGTTCATGGCTTGGAATGAAGATTGTGCTCCACCCGACAGGATTCTTGACTCAGACACGGCTTGGACAAATGAAAAAAAGGATTCGTCGATGGCAAACTCCCAACGCAGGAACAAGACGGCACATGAGCTGAGCATCACCGGTGCTTTGCTAGCCCTGCTGCTCTTTTCCCAGAGCGTCGACCGGGAGCGTGGCGTGAAATTCTGCGCGAACGGCCTCGAAAGCTAGCAGCGTCGCCCGCCATTCCTCCTCCAATCCATCGACAAAGTACCCTGAGCAAAAAAGACTCTGTCCATGCTTGCGAAAAGTTCTTCTGTTGCCCCCTTGTCCAAGGCCAGGGCAGGCATCGCCCCCCTTGGAAGCCTGCCAGCCGAGCGAATCGGTCACAAAAGTCCGGGGAATGGGCGCTTCAGCGGCCTGCCTGAATCGCCACGACGCCATGGCCTCTCGACAACGCAATTTCCCCCGCAGCAAACCCCCTGACGCCAATTGCTTATCCCAGGCGCCTGATCCGATGGGATCTCCATATGGCCCACGGCCCATCGGCTAGTCTGCTCTAGCCCTGCCGCGAGCAGCAGAAAAGAGTGTGGCCTCCAAGCTCCGAGCATGTCAAGTCAATACTAATATGCGTGCCGAAACGCGCTTGGCTGCAGCTGCTGGCCAACCAAGGTTTTTTGCCTGCTCACTCTGTTCCTTGGTCGTCATACCGTGCCTCAACTAGGCCTGTTAGGACCAGCTTCTCTGCCCTGAGCGCGCCGAGCCGAGGTCAATAGCGTGCACGCAAATCCTTCAACCATGTGATTGTATTGGGACAAACAACACTCTTACACAGGGACTTTTTCTAGCTGCGAGCAATAGGGGCAACGCAAAAACGCCACCAACATCTGCGCCGTGGAAGTGATCTCGAAAGGCGTGGTCGGACACCGATCGTAATCTGATCCAAATTATGCTCTCCCACCGCGTGCATACAGACCCAGACTGGACTGAGATGAATCATGCGGGCCCCAGCTTTAGTCAGATCTACGGAGTACTTCCGTGGACGAGAATGCTACGGACGGAAAGCGACCAGCCTGCCATGAGGCCATGCCATGGCAGAGTACAGGCTGGTGGGCTGTTGTGACTTGCTTGAACCCCTTGCCATCCCATCGCATTGGCCAGTGCCCCAGATCAAAAGAAACATGACTGAGATGCCGCTGTGTCCAATGCCATGGCTCCTCTATGTTCAACTACCAACACGCCGAGGTGCTGCTACAGCTCTCCGGGATAAAACCAGCATTAACAAAAATCAGGCCATCATCGATGTAACCCGGGGTCGAGTCTTGCTCCGAACCAGCCAAGCCAACTGCTTGTTCAATTTAGATTCGGAGACCATGGAGGCATGCATCCATGGAGCAGCTTGAAGGATTTTTTGCTTTTTTCTTTTTTTCCTTTCCCACGGCGTGCGACCGAGTCTACGCCGTGAGGTATCCTTCTCCGGTGCTTATTACAGCCCCAGCAATACGTGACTAGTGGTAGTATGTCCCGATCTCACTAATACAGGGTTCTACAGCAGCAGCAGTTGCAGTATAATCTTACAAGACGCAAAAGTGCTTGTCGCGCCATCAGAATTGTCTACATATGGCTGGAGCTTGCCCCCGTTTGGAACGTTGCTATATTGTCTCGCAGGCGTCGTCCTTGCAGCATTTAGAACGAGCTGTCTTGGGCACTACCACTAGCAGTATTACGCTTGACTGGAGGAGCCTCACTCGCATTGGATGCTATTATTATCCCAAATGACAGTGCTGTTAAGCCAAAGGCTTTTGATCGTCGAGATGCACTGCCGGCAACCACTACGAGAATACCACTACAGAGTGCACGCTCGGAGATTGAATGTGCTTTACTTGATGCAGTCCGTCGCAGAATTGGCCGAGCAAGCAATATCCTTGGCTGTCTTGTGGGCCTCTGGACGGCACGGCCCCAGCACTACTCGTGGAAGAAGCTTCATGTGGAGTGCACTAGCAGTGCTGTGCCTCAATTCTAGCTTGCACAAAGCCCGGATATTACTTTCACTACCTTATAGCGCGGGTTTCCTTGCAAGGGAAGAGATGATTTGAGACATTTCTGCCGTGCATATCGTGAAAATAGGATCGACAGCCTATAATACTACGCGGCTGAATCTATACTCCAAATCCTCCCTACATTGAAGCGCCTAGGGAAAAAACCAACTTCCATTCAACAAAGATTTTTTACTTCAGCTGTAACCAGTAGCTTTATGATGACGAATTCCAGCGCATCTACATGTTGAGTCCTACCTACTACGACTAGACTTCATACTTCCCACCACCGTCCGTGCGTAGTGGGCTGCAGAGTCTGCATGCTGGCTTTCCACAAAGTTCGAGGCACTTGCACAGGCTTTTGACATGCAGGGCGGGATATGGGAATACGAAGTCCCAGCAGGCTCCTCCTTACCAAGCAGAACTAACTAACCGCCTGTCCTGAGACGAAGGCAAATGAGAATTACGGGCTGGACTTTTGCTTTGCCGGGGGGAGGATCGTCTCCCTGCGTGTCCTAGAACCCATGTGTTTGTGCGGTTGGAAATCCTCTTGATGCTTTGGATATAGGCCATCCTAAGCAACTCAATCGCGCGGTCAGTCAATGGCAGCAGCCTTTACCATGGCGGTATCCATCATGTTTCCGCCCTTGCATATGATGGCGCCGCTGGGAAATTGGTTTGCTCCTGAATTGGACAGACGACGCGTTGTTTTGTCTGTCACTCTGCAGGTGGCAAACAAGCCACAGCTGAGGACGGCCACAGATACTACCTGTACGGAGTAATCTTTTCCAAAGACCTGAAGGCCACGGCCGCGGATTACTTCCACAGCCGATCTTTTCTTCCTTCCTCTGGTTTATCTCACGGGGTAAGTATTTACAGCCGCTACCAAGGCTACTGTCAGGCGATACATGCTTGTCTTGCGATCCGAGACAAAGCAGGTACATGTACGTACGCAGCGGTACTATCTAGTAATACTGCTACCAGTATCTGCTTGCCGCATTGATGGTGAGACTGTCAATCTCGCTCGGGAATTTTATTTTTTTTTTTTGGCTCGGGAGTGTCACTTTTGCCGCACTCCGGGACGTTAATGCTGTCTCAGTATGAGATGAATGATTGAGAGCTTCCTGCAACTTTCCTTGCGTCATGGATTAGGTCCTTGCCAGAGGTGTCACTGAAATGTACCAGCACATTATTAGTGTGGTAGTATTGGGACCTGCGTACGGATGCGCACATTCTGAAGCCGCGGTAGGTATATACATGCATGCTTTGTATATGGTCCAATCCTCTATCGGGGGGACTATCTTTTCTCTCGATTACATTGAAGCTGAATGGGCCTAAGCGTATGAAAGCACCATTGATGAGGAGCTGAAACCCTATCATGGCCTCACGCCCATCTGGACTGACGAGGCTCTGTAAGGGGGTTTAGGCTTTGTGGGTGGCAAACTTTGGAGGGTTAGACGTGCGAGTCTGAAACAGTAGAGGACAGGGTTGTGCTATATACGTATGCAGACCGTAGAGTGTATTTTGCGTAGGCGCTCTGGACTGCGTCAGTGCGTGTCGCTACTTCAGTGTGAGTGAATGCTGCCGTACTCATCCCATCTCTTAGATTAGACTTGACTGATCGCCCTTTCATGTGGTCTTCTCACGAGATGATCTAATGTATGCACGCGGTACATTGACAGTTAGCTGTCAGTCAGTCAGGTAGGACTCGTGTATGCGCCAAGCTTTTCGTGATACGTCGTATGAAGGGGTGGCTGTCCTAGCTGCGGCCCTTGTTTTGCTTCTGAGAGGTAATAGCTTGGCATGTGAATGAAGTAGTGAGCAAATTATATTGCGACTAGTACTACTACTTGAATTGTGTGAGTATCGTATTGTGCTACTCCTGGCCTGATCTATCTGCTTACCCTTGACCAATATGGATTTGATGAGTTGTTTGGGAGAAGACTTGCTGAGGGGAATGTGCTTGTGCATGATGTAGAATTATGGCATTTTCTAGTTTATGATGAAGTTGAGTTGATAAATCAATGGCTTCTATGCGTTATTGGTCGATTTGGAGTTTCTGAAGTTTGCGTTTTAAGGTATTCGGTAGATTGGGGTAACTTGTACAAGGGCGATCTCCATCCACCTTCAATATGAAGAGTTGAGGTCGATAATGATTTTATCAGAGTGTAATTTTATAATTTCCCAAAACGGCTATTTAAATAACAATTGCTCTGTTTTATTTTATTCATATACTGTAGGTTGAGTTGATGTATTTTGACTGCGTTTCATATGTTGGCATTTTTTATTTATTCGAGATGGAAAGTTTAGGGTGAGTGATCTTTAGCCGTGCTAATGAAGTAAGTATGGATTGTGTAAAATGTTATAGTCTACGTATTAAAGATACTGTGTGTGCCCTGAAATCGGGTTATATAATACGATTATTGATAGTGGATATATAAGGGAATGCTATTATTCTGTTTCTTGTACTGGCTCTGTTCGCCCCATGAGCTAAATCAACGTCCATCCATCCAAGCAACCTCCGTCCAAGAAACATAGAAGGCAGAAGTGCTGAAAGATAATGCTATGCGCTCAACCCCCCCGGCTGTCACTGCTAAAAATTACTGCTGCAAAGCTTTTTGTAGTCATTGACATGCATCCAGGATTCGTTACGCATTGTTTGCTTGCCCAGTCCCCTGCCACCTGAAATGCAGAGAGGCTCTCTTCAGCCTGGTACTGAGTAATGTTGTCAGTTCATGATTAGTTCGAGGATGGCGTGGTTGGAAGAGCCTGATGGTTTCCCCGCTCTTTGTTTCTATCATATATGTTTCTATTTGAAGCAGGAGGATTTGCCTTATATGTATCGGGTTGATGTGATAAAAGCGTTGCAAGGTTGAAACTTGGTAAAATATAGGGAGAGAGCGTCCTAAGACTACGCTGAAACTCACACTCTTTTTAATCTTCTTTGCCCAATCTTCTTCAACCTATCCTCTTCGTCCATATCTCTCCATTGTTTCCCTTTTAGCTCTTCTTCGCTCAATCGCTCTCAATTCATCGTCCCCCCTTTTAGCATCTTTACTTTCATCGTACCGATTTATCTTCATCATGAGCAGTCCCCCCCATCTTCTGTCATTTCCATAGCTCCATCACTAGAAATGAATATGGCAAAGAAATGCCCAAACTTCAGAGTCTTCTGCTTGACACTGTCATGCAAGGCCGCCAGCGTCGGTCTCGACCCATGCTCTTTCGGCTACCTGCCGAGATACTAGACAAAATCATTGATTTGCTAGAGGACGACAAGGAAGCTCTGGCTTCCCTCGCGCTGGTAGATAGCGATTGTTGGTACCTCGCTCGTACGCGCCAGTTCACTCAGATTCGTTTCGACTACAGTCTTCAGTCGCACGAGCTGCTCAGGCGCATGGCAACCGAGCCTTCTGATGACAAAAACGAGACGAAGCCTTTGTTTCCTATTGGCGTTTGCGTGCGCAAAGTTACCGCTTCGGGAGTTTTTTTCCCCCACTATTCACCCGGAGTTGTACGACACCATGTCTCGATGTCCTTGTCAAGCACAGTCGATCAGCGGGCTTGAGCAGTCGGTTAACGAGCTCCAGGTCGCGGCTGATGCGGACTACGTCAACCAACGAAAGCTCCTCGTAGCCGGGATTGCCTCCAAAATGCCCAATCATGATGTTCTTGTCTGCAACGATCAGGTTGGTCTGGACAATGACTTTATTGAGGCCATTTCCCGTTGTTTTGCCAAGCATGTCAAGTTTAAAAGAATACAGATTGACAAAACGTGGCCGATGAGACCGTTTTTGGCCCCTGTCCGGTAGGACCTTGGTTCGCTTGACCTCGATGTAAACTTGACTATTAGTGCTGGTGATCCTTATTATTCCGAGGTAGATGCAATCCTGGGCAACACGGTAACGATAGCATGGATGATCCCACATCTGCTTTCTTCAATACGCTCTTTCAACGTTGCTCTTCTACGCTTGAGTCTTTGACTTGGTCGCACATGAAAGAGTTCAAAAATATCGTCAAGGCCTCTCTAGACGATTCAAATCTCACATTTCCTCGTCTACGATGTCTTAGACTGGAGCATTCATAAAGTCACCTCAACTCCAAATTAACACATAGACTACCGCAGGTAAACTCAACCCAACAAGAAAGACGTCGCGGTTTATGAATCTCCAGATTCAACACCATTTCCTCATCATTTATCATTCTCCATCATCAGCTTCACCATGTTGGGCCAAGTCTCGCATTTTCCCCTCAGCAAATCTTTTCTGAGAAACCATCACTACATTGTAGCTCCAATCACCCACATCAAGGAGAACACTTTACATCACCACGTAAAGCCCTACATGACCCTCTCAGCCGCCGTTATCAAAATCCGCAAACTAGTTGTTTCTTTCTTACCACTAGAAAAACTTGATTATGTTCGATTCATGCATATCGGCACCAGACAAACAAACAGCACTGCCAATCTACTGGCCCATGCAAGGCAGACAGCCACGGCTCTGTGCGCCAAAGCCCGTGCTTGCGAATTTGACATGCAACACCCCGACTTGTACCATATGACTTTTGGACCCCTCTAAATGACTCTGTGCGCTGATAGCAAAGCCAGCGAATCGGCCATCAACGTTGGTGATAGCCCGCAGAGTTGGTCACTCTGTCTACAGCCAAAAGCCTTGAACCATCTTCTCCTCCTTTGTCCATGTATCGCGCGATCTTCAAGAGGAAATCAGTCTGCTTGTTTCTTTTTCACTTCTTTGGTTCATTCGCTCTGGGTGGCCGTTCCCTGCAGAGCCACGCATTGATCTCAACATGACTGTCCCTCACATTGACGTCTTGAACGTCGACACTAATACGCTGCAAGCCTTATTAGAAAAGGGATCAATCAAGAGCTCTCACCTCGTTGACCTTTATCTGGATCAAATTCAGCGCCATGACGACTATCTTCACGGCATGCTCACTATGCCGTCTAGGGAGGCGCTTCAGAAAATCGCGGTGGCTTTGGATGAAGAGAGGGCGGCTGGTAGAGCCAGAAGCAAACTTCACGGCATCCCAGTCATTCTAAAGATGAAGCAATCTATTACCACGTATGAATCCTTTGATAAGCTGACATTGGATTTTTGACCAGGACAATATTAATACGTATCCCGATCTGGGCATGAAAAGCACTTCTGGAAGTCTGGCGCTTGAAGATGCTCGACCACGTGAAAATGCGCGTTTGGTGGACAAGGTATGATTCTACTGACACCCTCTATGCAGTGTCAACTTCTCAAATTTTTGCAGATTATTGCTGCTGGCATGATTATTCTGGGGAAAGCGAATTTGAGCGTAAGCCACCATGACCCCTCTATGTTTAGCTTTGTGCCATTTTCCTAACCGCCCTTCCTTTAGGAACTATCCAACTTCCGGTATACTCTATATTCTCTGCAAGACAAGACAAGCGATGCCCACTGATCAGCGACTAGGGGGGAGCGTCTTCCCAGCGGTTGGTCTGCTCTGGGTGGCCAATGTCAATCGCCATACGTTCGAGGTGGAGTGCTTGCAAACGATTCAAAAGATGGCCATAGCGTGAGAAGCTTGTATCAGGAGGCCTATATTTAAACTAATATTCTTCATAGAGTCCTTCAGGATCTTCTTCTGGATCGGCTGTTGTCGTGGCCGCTGGATATACTCCGCTCAGTGTGGGCACAGAGACTGATGGATCGCTGGTTTGCCCGGCCGGCCGTGCTTCTGTCTATACCATCAAGCCGACAATTGGCCTTGTATCTCAAAAAGGGCTGATTCCAGTTTCGCATACCATGGACTCTGCCGGACCAATGGCCAAGACCCCCTATGACATCGCCGCCTTCCTGGATATTTTCAGGGAAGAAGATGCCCCTGGGTATCCAGCTGGTGGATATATGAGCGTGCTTCCTGGATATACGAGTGAATTTTCTATCGTTGCTGTGGACTATACAAACTGGATATTTCCACCAGAGTATATGGCGCCCGAGAAGAGTGCTACAGCCGAAATGGTAGGTCATGCGCTTGATGTAGTGCTTTTTGAAGCTAATGCCATATTAGAATCGCAAATTTCAAGAAGCATACGATACCTTGAAGCTCAAAACACGGAAATTATCTGAGAATGTGCCTCTCATCAAGCCAGAAGCGGCATCCATCGATGGGAAAAGCTGCAAGCTGATGACAATGCGTAAATATGCCCATCATTTTCTAACAAGGATTAGTTCGGTCCTGACCTTTTGTATGTAGTGGCGGATTTTCGCAATGATTTTCAAGCGTATCTCGATGATCTCGAGTTTGCACCAATCAAAAGTCTACAGGAACTAATTGATTTCAACCGCAAACACGCTGATATTGAGCTCCCACCAGGTGCGCTCTCACCTATTGGCCAAGGCCAGTCTCCCATCATTGTAGCTAATTAATAAATAGGCCACTCAAACCAGAAAATTTTGGAGCAAGCCGCGGACTTGAACCTGACAGAGGCTCAGTATCAAGAACATCTCACAAAGATTCGAAAAGTTTCTAGAGATGAAGGCATTGACTATATTCTTGACAAATATGACGCTGATGTTATCATTGGGCCAGTAGATAGCGGACTGTCTAGCCATGCCAGTGGAAGTGGTAAGGAACTCTCTAACGTTTCACCTCGTTTCGTCACTGATCATGTGTCTAGGCTATCCTATTGCAGGGACGCCCCTTGGCTACCTGGATATTGACGGAAGAGCATTCGGCATGGTTGCTCTCGCAAGGAAGCATCAAGAAGCGACTCTTATCAGATTTCTCTCTGCGTGGGATGACACCTTTCATCCTCGAAAGCCTCCACCGATGTTGGCAAATAAATCAGCGGAATTTAATACATACTAAAAATTCCTAGTTCTCGTCTTCATGCCGATAAGGTCATGCGCCCCAGAGGTCGTCAATTCAGTATAGATTGCGTCAGCCTCAGATCAGTATTAGGGTAACCGAAAGAGGGACAAAAATTTGCTTCTCGTCTTCTTGTTGCGTACAATTTAAATACACTTATCCTTTTCCCTACAATTGGAAAACTAGACCTGTAAGCTGTTTCCATTGGTTCTCGAAACCAATGTAGTAGTTTCTCAAGCCGCTCGTGTGGCTGTTTAGTGCCTTTTATATGAAAATCCATAGTGCAAAATCAATACCATGGCATTGTGTTCTCCATCAGACAATTCCTAGTCCGCTTCTTCTATGGGGCACAAGCGTCGATGGCCATCAACCAAACTCTTAAACTTTCCTTTTCAGGAATCGTCCCTCTCTCCAACCGCCCCGTTAAACTAGAAGTTACTCCGATGAAACTCCTAAAATCTCCCTTTCTAGTTTAACCATCTGCCCAAGCTGCCATACAGAAGTATGCTTATCGCCCGTAAACCCGCCCAACCCCGTTTTTTTTCCAGCCAAAAAGAATTACAGAACGTCATTAGAAGCGACTCATGCCACGGTGGGGTGGAGGGGTTGTGGCCACGCCACGGAGGGACTTGCCTGTGTAGGAGCAAAAGCCTCAGTGCGGCGAGAGTTGCCTTTGTTTTGGAAATGGCCTCTTTTTGTCAATTTATAATTGCCTGTGGCTGCTGAGAAGATGTCGCGATGATGAGTCGAATTGGCTACATTATTCATGACCAATTGAGTGGATCTGGGTTGTGGGATAGTTGTGACTTACATGGCAGAAGAGGCGAACTGGCAGAAGTATAAATATTCATCTTCCCGTCTATGATTTTAAGCTTCCTCTTGGTAAACTATAACCAAAACCCATAGCTTTTCTCTGACTCTGTCATTCTCATCTCCCATTATCCTCTAATCACCACGCACAACAACCTCACAATGGCCAGCAAAGTCTTCAACGTCGGCGTCGTCGGCTACGGGTAAGTTCAAAAGAGACACCACAACCAACCAACCAACCCAGAACCAACAGCCAAACTAACAAAACGTCTTCTTCTCAGTCTCTCCGCCAAGGTCTTCCACATCCCCTTCATCATCACAACCCCAAGCCTCAAGCTGCACTCCATCGTCCAGCGCTCGCCCAAGGCCAACGACTCCGCGCCCGCCGACTATCCCGCCCTCAAGCACTACACCAGCTCCGACGCCCTCATCGCCGACCCGGACGTCGACGTCATCGTCGTCACGACGCCGCCCAACAACCACTTCGACCTCACCAAGAAGGCGCTCGAGGCCGGCAAGCACGTGCTGACGGAGAAGCCCTTTGTGCCCACGTCCGCTGAGGCCCAGCAGCTCGCCGACATCGCCGCGCAGACGGGCAAGCTCATCTGCGTGTACCAGAACCGCCGGTGGGACGCCGACTTCCTGCTGGCCAAGCACCTGATCGAGCAGGGCAAGCTGGGCCGCGTCGTCGAGTTCAACACCCACTTCGACCGCTACCGCGCCGACGCGCCCACCAACTGGAAGGGCCAGCTGGGCGTCTCCGGCGGCGGCAGCGCGCTCTTCGACCTCGGCACCCACCTGATCGACCAGGCCTACGTGCTGTTCGGCCTCCCCCGCTCCGTGCGCGGCCGCCTGCTCAACCAGCGCGAGGGCCGCGCCGAGTTCGAGACGCCCGACGCCGTCTCCGCGCAGCTCTTCTACGACAACGGCCTGCTGGTCAACGTCAACATCAGCGCCCTCAGCGCAGAGGTCAGCCAGCTGCGCTACTGGATCCGCGGCACAAAGGGCAGCTTCCGCAAGTTCCACCTCGACCCCCAGGAGGACCAGCTGCGCGCCGGCGGAAAGCCCACCGATGCCGGCTACGGCGTCGAGAGCACCGCCAACAGCACCCTGACCGCCGTGGACGAGGCCACCGGCAAGGCCAGCGAGGTGCCTGTCCCTGAGCTCGAGCCCGAGACCTACCGCGCCTTCTACAGCCAGTTCGCCAACGCGCTGGTCAGCGGAAAGGCGGAGGACATCCCCGTCAAGGCTGAGCAGGCCCGCGATGTGCTGAGAATCATCGAGGGTGTGTTGGAGAGTGCCAAGACTGGCAAGGATGCTGTTTTTGCATAAGCGGCGAATCGAAGAAAATGAGAGAGGGGGGGAGAGCATGTGAATGTATATGTGTGTGGATGATGTTACGATTTGGATATTTTATGGATATATATATACCAGCTTTTTACATAGGAGCAGTAAAAATAGGAGTTAATTGAATTCAATGGCGAACAACATTGTAAAGATGTCAAGATTGTGTAATTTGTACTGCACTCCGATGCTCATCCAGTGCGATAGAGATTGTTGGAAAGGCTGATCGTATCATAAGCCTGTTTTAAACACAATGTCAATGAACAAATGAAGAGTGTAAAGAATAATCAATATTCTAAAGAAAAAACCTATGAAATCAATATGGTGTCTGCAAAAACCCAACCTGACCAAGCCCAGCCTTAGAACCAAAAAACGCATAGGCTAAAAAAAAGTTCATGATTTTATGCGCTTTCGCCATGATGGGTAATGTCCCATTATATATCCCCCTTTCTATTCCATCTTAGGAATGCCAAAAAAAGAAAAACTCCAAAAGACAAGGTCAAATGCTTTACATGAGCAAGACGGCACATGTGACCGCCGCCAATACTGTCATCACCGTTGCGCCGCTGGCAGACCTCGTACCCATGTTGCTGTCAACCTTGATGGGTGTGTCCAAGATCTTGGGTTGATAGTCTGCCGGCGTTCCTGTGGCAATTGTGCCATTCCAGCAGTACTGCTGGAAGCACTTGTTGCAGGCATCGGGCACGGGGGTCTTGGTGCGCTCGAAGCTGCGGGACAGCATGGCGCAGCCAACGCACACCGGCCAGTTGGAGTCGCGAGTCGCGTTGCCTTGAGTGACCACATCCCAGCCGTTGGTAATGACGGCGTTACGCTCATCGTCCTTGTATGTCATCTGGAAAGTAGACAGGTTCGAATGGAACTGGTAAGGGTAGTTGGGCAGATAGACAATCAGGGGTGATGTGTCCGTCACGTTGGTCGAGTTGCAGCCGAAAAAGACGGGCTTGGTGTTGAGCCCGAGGTTGAGGAAAGTCTCCCTGCCGGGCACATAGGGGAACCCAGTGCCGTTGGAGATCTTGCTGACTGCACGCTCATAGGTGGCAATGGGAGAGGCACCATCGGGCCAGCCATTGGTATCGGCCGAGGAGTCGACTGAGAAAACAACGTCGACCTGGCGCTCATGCAGCAGATGAGGGTGATAGGGGATGTTCTGCAGATCCTCGCCACCATCCACAAGAGTCAATCGGTTGTTGTTGGCGAATGGGTTGTTCTTGGCGTTCCACCCCTTGAATGGATTCGGTGTCCAGTCGGCAATGTCGTTGTTGTCATTACCAAGCGCAGTCAAAACACCAGTGAGAATCTTAACCACGAAATCAGGGATGCCTTTGGGAACGATTGAGTTTGTGCTATTGCTGTCTTTGAGGTAGAGGACGATCTGGTTGAAAAGAGTGCTAGAAGTGCCCATGATATAGCCGACGTTATCGAATCCAACAAAGCAAGATTCGTTCTTGGGCAGCACGCCGTTGTTGAACTTGGAGCCGGCATACTTGAGCGGCATGTAGCCATTCAGGGTTGGGTCGGATGAGCCCATCTCCCAGGGGTTAAAGTCAAAGATTGTGGAGTTGTTGGAGATGATGGTTTCTCCAGGCGGGCGACTATCTGCCACGAGGAAAGGAAGAGGCGCCTTGGCGTTTTTGAAATCAGGGTCTTCGGCGATGGAAGAAAAGGTGTAGCCAGGGCCACCGCTGGCGATGTCGACGAGCTGATAAGAGAGGAAACGGCCCCAGTAGTCGGTGATGGAACGATCGAAGCCAGCCTTGTCCTTGGCATCGACGTCGTCGAAGACTTCATTGTAATAGCTCAACAGACTAACCGACTTGGGACCTGGAATATCTCGTTAGATATTTGCAGCTTCATTTTCAACATGTTTACTTTTTACCTACCCGCAAGAATGGATTCATCAAACTTCCAGGCGCCTGCATCTATTATGCCTTGGACCGAGGAGAAGTTGTTTGTGTAGATGCTGCCAACCAGCCACCCACCACCAGACAGACCAGAGATATAGGTTGCACTCTGCAGCAGACCGCCCAATTTACCAGTGGAGTTGGCATCGGGGGATCGAGCATCCCAGGCGGCAATGGCTCCAGCACCGTTCTGTAAGGCACGGTAGCCACCACCAGACACAGCCAGGCCAATGTTGGGCAAAGCTTTGGGGTCCTTCTCGACGTTGGATAGATATCTATCACTGTTGAAGCCGGGGATAGCGATACGGTCCAGGAGAGCTCGAATAGGCGCAATGGTCTCATTGCGTCTCCGGGGCAGCCATTCCTTCTCCTGGGGGCTCAGCTCAGAGCCAAGACGAATCACAGGACGCTCGCTAGGACAGTCAACAGTAGAGGGCGCATAGCCTTTGGGTGACTGGTCGGTGGCCCGGCTTCCGAGCGATCGAGGAAGCTCATCTCGATATTGAATATCATGAGGAACTGAAGATGCCACAAGGACACAAAGTTAGTTGAGAAAACTCGCCATCAGGTAGATTTGAAGTATTATTCTTGCATCGTGGATGCTTCGTAAAGAGACCATATGAAATAATGAACCAAACTTGGCATAATTGCCAATGCCTGAATCTGCACCATTTCGTGCCCTTTTACTGCAAGTATCCAAGAAAGACAAACATGATAATCTCATCATGTTTTCCAAAGGGCATCGTGATGGCAGAGGTTCTAGCTGAATCTGTCCGTACCTGCAGAAGCTCCGGTAGGCGCTAATAGTGCCGCCGCCGCGAGCAAAGTCGCCAGACGACTCATAGTCAACAATAAAGATATGAGGCGCCAAAGATGAATGAATTTTCAAATCTAAGCTGATAGCAAATGACAATGATGTCGACAATCCAGGGGAATGAGCTTGAGATGAAAATAAAAAAAGAAAGAAAGGGAAGAAGCAATAGTAATCGGGTTGTTCAGACAGAAATGGGGAGGGTATGAGAACAAGAAAAGAAGAAGAAAAGAACAAATACGAACAAGGCCCGAGATGAAAAGTGTCAGCTCAGACCGTTGGGTGGCATGAACGCCAAGGAACAAGTGCAAACGAGGGAGCCGCGGAGATTTTATTCACTCTTGTAGCACCAAAGTGTAGCCCTTTGAGCAGACCCGATGCGGTGGCTTAGTCGATGTTGATGGCCGCCCTCCACAAAACTCTCCGCTAGATCATCTCACCTTTTCTTTTTTTTTTTAACACTCTGCACATGCTGCGGATCCGAACGGCCAGTAGATCCGCGACCGGGTCCATTGCTGTGCGTCAGCTACCACAATTCCACATTTAGACCATGACGAAGAGGCGGTAGACGTGCTAGGCGGCATCGTTGATTTCGGGAAAAAGCCCGACTGGCGCTTAATGCTCTTCTGTCACTTCTCCGGCACCACCCTATCGGCCGCCCGTTGTCCAGCGTTGTCACTGCATTCCCTTCACATTGCTCGGACTCTCGCAGCCAAAGGGAAATGAGGTTTAGCGGGCGGCCGCCAGCCGTGGGCACTCACGCATCTGAAATTTGGATTGCCCGCCCAGCCACCAATCGAAGCGCTGCACGGATACCAAGAGCTTGGCAGGAGACCAGCGGCATGGCGGCGTCCAACTGCGACTGTGACAAAACTGAGACCTTCAAGGGAGATGGCCGAAGGAGTGAGGCAGTGCCAACATCATGAGAGCACTGCTGTAGGCTGCTGTAGGGCGCAGGGCGCCAAACGGTATTCGGGAGCTTCATTTGGTGCGAAGCAGCACTATTCCATCTGTTGGACCAGCACTTCCTCTGCTTACCTTCACAGCAATAGTGCTGTATAGCCATAATGCGCCTTGCCGGAAATGACGACGGTCGCCCTGCCGCTTATTTTTGGGGCCCGGCCGCCACGCTGTGTATGGAGTAGATTTTAACTACTTTCTGACCAGTTCCTGCGCCCCTCGCGTGTTTTGGGACATAACCTTTCCAGGTAGCTTTGCACCGCGCCGGGCCATCCGCGGGAGACTGCTGCGATGCCTCGAGATCTGCGCGAGGAACTGTCGACGCTGGTCAGTGCACTGTGTTTTAGGAGGTCGCACTGGTGATCAATCCGCAACGCACGCCGTAAGCCAAGGCACACGCGCCAGTATACGCCTCGAGCACCAGACACAGCGTCATGAGATCCTGCGAGCGGCTTTGACGTTTCATCTCCCTCCGGCCCGTGTCCATTGCCTGAAAGGGCATGCGAAACCCTGCAGGGACCTGTGGAATCTGATTCTGGGTGGTGGCCAGCGCCAGGGGGTGCCACTCTTGGCCCCAGAGCTGCTGGATCTATCGCCCGTTTGATGCCCAAAGAGGGTCGCCGATTCGAGGGACGCGGACTGGGATTTTTTGACGAACCACTCCATCAGCACAAAAAATGACAAAATCACCGTAGAAGCAGCGTCTGCTATCGGTACCTTGTAGATAGTATTACAGATTGTATCTCATGGGTACAGAAACAAGATGTTGCAAGCAAGTCGCACGAGACACGAGGCACACACGAAGTACTCCCCGGGATATCTGTTTCTCCCCTCCTTCCCTCTGACACTTTGTACAACCCATTTTCCATTCTCCACGAAACATCATCCAACTTGCTAAAACATAGCAGCGTGCGAGACAGCTGCTACGTAACAACAACCAACAGACATCCGCACGAAATGCTCGGATGCCCAACACAAGCTCCTTTGTTGCCTCCGTCTCCGCTGCCAAGCACCATCTGCAATTTCCCAAGCCAACGCCAGCCACGCATCCAGCAAACAACTCAGCAGCCAAGCAAGACACGCATCATGAAGAGAGACAATCCACATGGCGCGCGCCAGCTAGTGCTACTGCTGCTGCAACGCTGAGCAAGCAAGCAAATCAGTGTATGCCTTAGGTAGTACAGTAAGTACATTGCATGTACGAGCGCCGTTCCGCGGACTGCCGACTGTTCCACCGTCCGTCACTAGCCCAGCGTCTCTCCCATCCCATCCAAGTGTTCACCTGAATCGCCAAAACTCAGGGTCCATTGGCTCTGCGTCGATGCCTTCCCAGGCTCACCGCAGCGGAATGCCCGGGTCCCGAACAAAAAGACCATTGCAGCGGCGCTTGTTTGTGTGCCGTCACGTCCAAAAGGCTACAAGTCTAGGCATCCTTGGTTCTCTCTCCCCCGATCCGCCATTGAGGTTTTTACTCCCGCCGATGTCGAACACGGCATTAAAATCCGTCCACGATGCTTCAAGCGGGTTCATCATCGGGCGGTCTTGCGTCTCCGCTGCCGAGGTTGCCGAGACCCCAAAAGGCCCAGCTAAATCGTAGTAGTAGTAGTAGTACTGTAATAGTCCAAGCCCTTGTTCCCACCTTATATCGGAATCCGGCCGAAGGCGCAGACACAACAATCCTTTTTGTTCTCTCAATTAGTACATATCTTTCTTTTGAACAAGTGAAAGATGGCTGTGCAATTAGCAGCTGGCTCTAAGGAATGGCAAACTATGAATCCTACGTCTGAATCCACTACGCTTGTTACCTCATGCACGCTGGCAAAGTCTATGTGCAACGTACGTGATCGGCAGTATATTGATTGGACAAAGAAGAGGCACGGGCTATGACCCTACTTGGCAGACATAATTTAATTTCTCGTCTTGCTGTGCTCCAGGCCTCCAGGATAACTGCATGTAGCACATGGCTTCATCAAGATAGGGGTTACGCTGTGTCTCCCCTTTTCAATTTTGATAATGATGAAAAAGAAACGAAAGGCCCATCCCTGGGATCAACCAAAATCACTCACACAGCCGAAGAGAAATGTAATGCCCTGGTTCATATCTACGTCTAAACTCATTTCAAGCCACACAATCTTGGAAGAAGAATCCAAGTCTCATCGTTAACATGAATACTGCGTCTCCGTATACATCCCGCCCTGTATCAAGCAACCGTCTACCCATATATCTTTGCCCAAACGCCTCAAAAGCACAGCCACTTCCTCCTATCCAATACCAATACGTCAATCCCGCTCCTTCGTCTGATCTACACTGACCCTGCAGTTTTGGCACACTTGAATCAAACAATACATACAGCTCTGCGTAAAGCCAGTTGGCAAAATTCCGCAAAAATCGCAGGGAACATAGGTTATCTGGTGAAGAACCCACCGCTCATGTTTGCAGGGCTCTGGTCTGAGACCTCCTGACGTAGTGATTGCATTGATGCCTAGTTGTATGCGCTTCGCCTCGGCAAGGTGACGCTCCATCCGCTCTGTCATATAGTTTTCATATTTGATCAGCATTGGTCTGCTAACGCGCCGGCGCAGATTGTGCAATATTGAATCAAATCCACCGCTGTCGACTTGTGCCTGCACTATTCGTCCAAGCTCATCTGTAACTGCGTTATGATCGGGCTGGATGCAGTCGCACGTCTGCCATGCTCTGCCACATGAAAAGCAAGTATCGGCGCCGCATAGACATGCTGGTTCGTTCCGGTTAGCAAGAGCTGTTCTCCTTCCTCTTTGTCCGTCCTGAGCATCAAGTGTATCTTATAAGGACACTTACACAAGTGATTGCAGCCTACACTGAGCTGGATGTAGTTCTCGCAATGAGAGCATTTACCCCAGCCATATGTAACTGTCAGGTCGTGCAGTCTCTGTTCCTCCTGTGTTTCCCTTTCGCCGCAAGTAAGTCCCTCATGGAAAGCCTTCTTGCAGCGAACGCAAGTGCTGCCCTTGCATGTTGTGCACAACGCCTCTCCATGCACGATAAATTTTGGGTGAATAGGCGCTCTGCAGGCATTCCGGTAACAGTAGGTTGTCCCTCGTGCTTCGATTTCCCTCTTTCTCCTATTATATTTGTTAACTGCCTCTTGCGGCATCTGGAGCGTGTCCCAATCAAAGGGAATCATAATCTTGCAGCACCGGACCGGGTACATGTGGTCGCTTTCAAGCGCTACTTTTACCATTTCAACCACACATTCCTGACAGTAGTTGTGGTAACAGTAACCCAGCACAAGGTCCTCCGCAGGAAGCTGTTTCAAGCACGAATAGCACAAGCTAGGCAACCCTCTTCCCGTGAGGCCTCGGCCACGAACTGCTCCATCTGGCGGAGCATAAGAAGGCCGTGGGAACGGGTCTTTCCGTGGAGGCTGCTGCGGGCTGCCTTCTATGAGATTCTGAGGAGTGTGCAGACTGGGTGGTCCATCAGACTGCCGATGATCCATTTATATCTTTCAATGATAACTTCGAGCGCCAAGCAAAAAAAAAAAGAAAAGAAAAAAGTATACGACTTCTTGTGTCCTTATCTCGTGATATTGTGATGTTTGAAGAATACTAGGTATAATAGCACTTCAAGTTTAGCTAATATCCAGGTTTGTTTTTTGCTCTATCTGATATGGCACGGCAGGCACCATTCACTGGACTGCTACTGGCCTATGTGTCATGGTATAGTCTTAAAAGCCTGTTGCCATGGAAAGCTCAACGCAATCATCCGTTGTATGTCTTCTTTGGCAAGCTAGGCCCAGTGTTGACCTAGTGTTGATACATTGTGTAGGCAAAAGCAGACAACTGAGCGTCAGAAATAATGAAACAATGCCTTCAGGTATTAAAACGAGATCTCATGTCTGTATATACATTTACAGCGGACAAATTCAGTCAGCATTTTGCGCTTGGGGCGACCATTCGGCGATGGATACAAATTGACAACTCTTATCCAAACGTGTTACTTCTAAGAAATAGGACGTGATTTCGTATAGCTACACTTAGTACATTTATTAAGCAAGTTTTAATAATTGGAAATGCAAGAGCCTGTGCGATTAGTCTGCTTCTTCAACGGACAAAACATAAACAAGGCCTACTACGAAGCCATACAGTCTGGAAAAGCCGTTATATGAAAATCCTAAGCTTCGGACCAAGTAAGTACCTCTCTTTCTTTCTTTCTTATTTTTGAGAAGCGGGACTGAACACAATCCGTTAAAAATCTGTGAGTCAAGATCTGGCATTACCTTAATGCCCTACTACAATCTGTTGAAAATCGGTGACTGGTCCAAGTAATAACGCCGCCCATGATTAGGCGCCAGGGGGAGGAGGCGGAGGGGGTTGGTCGCTTGGAGGAGGTGGGGGAGCATCTCCCGAGGGAGGCGGCGGCGGAGGAGCAGATCCTGCGTACTGCTGGATGAGGGCATTCAAGGGGCCTAGACCCGGAGGAGCTGAGAGGCCAGCGCCACCGACTTGAGGGAGACCAGGAGGCGCGCCCATACCCGGTGCAGCGCCGTATGCGCCATACGCAGCGTAGTTGGGATACCCACCCATTCCAGGAGCTTGGTTGTGTGAGGCTCCGTGTTGAGCCTGGTGATGCCAAGGGGCTCCTCCTCCTCCTCCTCCTCCTCCCGAGGAAGACGATTCGTAGTTGTTGTGTCCATAGTAGTTGTTGTCACCACCATGGCTGTTGCTATGGCCGTTGCCGTTGCTGTGATCATGGCCGCGATTGCGATCACGAGCCCAAGGTGCCGGTCCCCCACTGCCTCCTTCGTTAGAATCCTGGTTGCGGGATCTCCAGGGTGCAGGTCCACCGGTTGGTCCTCTCTGCCATGGCTTCGCTTCGCTGTTCCCGTTGTAGTTGTTGCTGCTTGGGCCGGCTTCGATTTGCGCAGGGGCAGCTCCTGAGCCGCCGCCAAGTTCCTGCATGAGTTGCTGCAATGGGGCATCAGTATCAGTCTAGAAAAGAGCAGTGAAGAATGCCAAACATACCTCCATTTCACGGTCGACGGCATCGCCACCCCCGATCCTACCTGCAGGGCGACCGCCCGCGTCATTACGCCAATTGGCGCCTCGCTGGCGGTCTGGACAATCCCTAGCCATGTGGCCGGCATTGCCACAAACTCGGCAGATGATGCTTGCCGTAAAGTTTTGTCGCTCAGGGCAGTCGTATTTACGGTGTCCAATCTTACCACAGTTTTGACAAGCCTGGTTTTCATCGTCTCGAAGGGTTCCGTTGAGCGCCGCAAGCTCTCGAAGCTGGTTACGCTTGAGCTCGTTTTGACCTTCGGGGATCGAAGCTGCCTTTTGGAGGGGAGAAAAAAAGTTAGCATATTGGATGCATCGACATCGATGCGGGGGAAGGTGCTAGGGAAGAGACGTACAGTTTCAATGACGTTGTGGATGAGCTGCTTCGCCTTGTTGACTTTTTCTTCGGTATCTGCCATGATCAAACAGTGAAGATCTTCCTCCTGGTTACTGGAGTGAGCTGCATCAGAGCGACCTTTGCCCTCTTTCACGGAGCCCTTGCCACGAATAGCAATCTTGGCACCAGAGTCATTCTCCATCTTCTTTAGTGTGTTACCACGGGGTCCGATGAGTAAACCAACTTTGGGGGAGAGCTATGTGTTAGTAACTAAGCTTGAAAAGAAACAGAATCGGAGACTTTAGAATTAGATAGGCACAATCAATCGACGGAAGAAACCAGAGTCTCTTAAAACACCGCATGTCGGTATAGTAACGAGAGTCTGATTATACTTCAAGTTGAAGGAAAGACAAGGGGGGTTAGTGGTTAGGGTTAAAGGGTTAGCAATCATACTGAAGTTAATCTCCGGGTAGTCGTTAACAGGCACGTAGACTTTCTCCTGGGTTTTTGTAGGCCTGCGGTAGTCCTGGGGCGGGTGGTAGTTAGGAATAGTTTTCATGGCCCTTTCGACCAGCTTGTGGCGTTCGTCCTCGAGACGTTTGCGATAGCGGTATTCTCGAGTGTTGATACGTCGACCATGGTTGTCGTACTGGGGAGGTGGTGATGGGGATCTGTAGGGCATCATATTAGCGTTAGAACTTGCCAAAACATTCCCATCTCATCAACACGGGAGATACACATGCTGGAGACATACCGATCACCATCTGCGGGGACGACGTCGTCGATGCGAAGCTTCTGGCTGATCTCCTCAATCCGAAGATGCAGAGTGTAGGCCTCAAGCTGCTCGCTCGTCATGGATGAGAGAATGGCTGTAGGCAGCCCCATAAGGCCGGCAGCCTTGTTCTCCGACGCGTCGCCCCATCGATTGCGCTTCTTTCGACGACGAGGGCCGTCGGCTTCGCTGCGAGGTTCAGGATCGCGGCCACGCTTAAGGTCGCGTTCTTCGATGATGCCATCTTCCTCGCCAGCGCCAAAATGCCGCGCCTTCCCGAGCGGGATGTTGTTCGAGCCTGTGATTCCCTGATTCCTCCAAGACATTTCGGCGGCGGATGCGACGATTCTCTGCGACAAAGGCAATGCTAAAAGCAAACGAGTGCGAGACTTGGTCTGGTGAAGTGGCCTGTGTGGCCAAAATGCGTAACTTCGCCTCTGAAGTTTCGGGCATTCTTGATAGCGGAAGAAGTATTTTGCCGGTCCGATCTAGCGCGGCGGCCAGCCCAGCTTCTAGAACGGTGCAGTCACTGAGCATCCGGTACCTTGATGCTTGCCACTAGCTTGAACCAACTACTTAAGGTTCCATAGAGGCGGGGCCGAGGTATGGGTACCTGGTACTCCGATGATAGGAGATCAGAGGTCTAGCCCCTGATGCTTATCTGCGATTTGCATCTTGGGAGATGGTGAGAGCCAACATTTAACTTCTCACCTCTGAGATCGTGCAATGAAAGAGAGTTTTCAGGGAATCGCCTAATTCCGCCTTATTTTGCAAATTCACACGGTCAAATCCAAATGCTATCCCTCTTCTGGTGTAGTATATGTCAATATTTGATCTAATATCGGCTCTGTTAGTGTCGTCGTTTGTCGACGCTCTGACGTGCGGAGCAATATTCCTAGAGTATTGCTAGCGAGATATTACCTAAATAGTTGACAGCAACTATCTTGCACTAATGCTGTCAAGTTGGCATCACTCATAGCTGGGGTTATCCTGTTGAGAGATTTATCAAGGCCATCTTACTAGCATAATCTCTTATAGTATCTTCATATAGATCACCTTCAAAAACGGGAATATGTATGCTTCGTACGGGTGGAATACTAGATGGGCTCTTATAGACAGACATTCATCATTCATTAATATTCATTCTCCTTCTTCTTTCTATTTGGAATAGTCATCATGGAGGCTCTTTGCTCAAGGATAAGCGCAATGAAATAGCCGTTGGTGCCAAGCGACCTGCTATCGTTCGGTGAAGTCGATTACATGTACGGATAATATGATGTGGATCGCTTATAGCGCCACTGACTCGGCTTCGATAGGCTGACCAGATATCCGTCATTTAAATCTCAGAGGCTAAGCCGGCGGCTTCTGCACAGGGCTGTCGAGATTGGAAAGGTGTGCAGCCCGTTTCGTCCACCTGCAGGATGTTTTGCTAGCCTCTCGGTAGGATAGCAGAAGCTCACGTTTGACTACTGCGACTATTCTGAGTCAAGAATCGTACGTTAAATGTGCTATTTCGGCGCTACGCAGCCCCTTTTTGCGATCGGTGTTGCTTGTAAATGACCGAGTCCCGGCTAGCTCATAAATGATGCCATCTCGCTGATCTAGTCTTGGCTGTCAAATAGAGAAAAACAAACCCTGCAGCCCTAAACCACCTCGGCGAACAGCGACCACTGTTGACTAGGTTATCCTAGCCATTCCAAACTCTTTGCTATTACGAATGTGGGCGAACTTGTGGTCAACTCAAGACTCAATGTGGCGCCTTGTAAATCCGGTGCCAGGCCGTGAGTGGTTTGTCCAAGATCCTTCAGTTGACCCCTCTCGACTGGCTACTAAGCCTGCCAGGGAACTTTGCCCTACTTGACAAGCTCCGGTCCAACTAGCAAACCGTCGCATAGTGCGTGTAGCTAGGAAATCGCCTCCCTTGCGGTGGCCAGGGACTAGTACGTGCTCCCAAAGAGATGAGGATAATATGACATCTTATGAAATTCAAAAGGCCTAGGAACAGGTTCATGTTCATGGCTTGGCATAACCGACAGCTTTTGACTTTATACAGCGAATCTTCGCGTCACACAGCACAGCCTGTTCACTGCCGCAAAGTGCCGCAGCGCGTGGCATTCCCCCGCGTTGTTAATAATTGTTTGCGTTATGTGGCTTGCAGAGACGGAGTCCGCTAATGCATCAACGGTAGTGATAGTACTAGCAGTTCTGCTCCCTGTTGAACTAGCACAACCACCAGACACTAGCAGAAGTCGAAGGCGTATTCTCGGAGTCCTTAAAATAGCCGTGTTGATGCTCCATCAGTTGTTGCAGAAGGAAGAGGAGTTCAAGCCTGTTTCGGCGGCACAGTCCCGGAGGACGATATGGCACAAGCCGGTGATTGGCCCCCAATCTGGCGATTGCCACATTCCGGTGTGGGCTGCGCCGGGGCCCAGAAGCCGATGCCTCGAGAGGTTTGCCGTTTGGCTTTTTTAAGGCTTACTCGTGTACGCCTTGCTAGCACCCACCCTGCCTGGTCGTAGTCCAAAGCTTGGGGTCCACAGGAGCTTGACTTATATGTATCTGGACCATCTCCGGCAGGGCTGTCGCAGAAGACATGGAGGCATCAATCTCTCTTAGATCTGCAGCGCTTGCGACGTGTCGAATCCAAAGCTCATTTCCACTAGCTGAATAGCCTAGCCCACAGTAAGCGACTCGATCCCATCCCGAAAAACCCACAGGAGGAGGAGAGGACTTGGAGTCTGCCCGAGATCCTCGATCTTTCTTGATCTCCGGCGATCGAGAGAGGCGAGGCCTGGTGAGGGGCTGGCTTGGCGGGGGAGGAGTCGCATGGGATATCCGAGTATATCGGGGACATCGCCATCCGAATAAATAATGACTACTCGATGAATTCGACAGCTTGGATTCGCTAATTTGAGACTTGTTTATATCCCCCAGCGCCGAAAAAACGCACAGTCAGCAAAGCGCTCCCTGGGCTTGCAGCCGGACAGGGGACTCCCTACGTAAGCCTATATTATACCGGAGCACAAGCAAGGCACAGCTGTTCTATTGCTGTCGCATAAACCCTATTCAGCTTCTTGTCACGGTTATCGCTGGCCCCAGAAATTTCTAAACAACAACGAGCGGGGAGCCGAGACACTGCGGCAACAAAACATATCCATACCAGTCAACGAACAGTCACCCTGCGGCGGCCACATGCTCAAAGGTCGCCCACAGCTTTTGAAACTTGACCGGCAGCTACCAGCACAGACTGAGATTCTGGGGGTTGAAAGCAGGGGGAGGCGATAAAGATGGTGGGCGTTCCTGGACGATCCAAGGGTTGCGTCACTTGCCGGCGGCGAAAGAAGGGCGTAAGTTCAGAATCGTTGGCTCCAGCACTTTTGATTCACCCTCAGCAACAGGATTTATGAATACTACAACGATACACAGCTACAGTTATCTTTGGCATCTCTAGGAGGTTCTCCTTGAGTTGCATATTCGTCTTCAGTCTGATGGTATGGCCTTACTGGAGCCATGTTGCTAACTACGTCCTGTCTCCTAGTGCGATAAAAACGTCCCGTCGTGTCACCAATGCATACGGTCCGGCCTACAATGCGGAGGCTATGGACGAGATCTTGTTTGGGTCAATACCACACCAGACGGCGATGATACCGGCAAGGCTGTGCCATTACCGACTCGAGGGAAAAGCTCATCAACCTCGTCAACTCAACAGCGGCCCTGGAGTGTCATTTACACCACCAGAGGAGCAAACCACGTCAACACCAACATCACTCTCCACGATTCGCTCACTCGATCGGCCCGAGAAGAACTCTACTTCAGCACGCTCATCTCCACAGCACTTCCCTACGGCCATCTACTATCGGCCAGGGCTTCGGACGTATTGACAAACGGATGGGTGTCGGCAGTCAAAGCATATTACGACAAAGAGCCGGCTATTCGATATGCTTCGCTAGCAATGAGCGTGGGCTTTATGGGTGTTGAGGAGAGGAAGAAACAAATTACACAATCTAGTCAAATGACTCTTCAGGGCTTTGAAGCCTATAATAAAGCTATCCTCGAAATGGTCCGGGGGTTGAGCGACTCAAAACGATCTAAGAACGACGGCATTATCGTCGCCGCCAGAATATTACAGTTTTACGAGGTATGGACGGCTGCGTTTGGAACATCAGCTTGATCCTGGGAACTAACCAAATTGTCTGCTAGCTATTTTTTGGAAAGGCACCCGACTGGCGCGCTCATATTGAGGGCCAGCTGGCTCTCTTTTTGGCCAGAGGCCCAGAATCTTTCGTATCTGGACAGGCACATCAGCTATATGTTGATGGCCGAATCCTTATTGTACGAGCCCAGTCCGCTTTTCTTCTTCTTTAGCCGGTCTAACTGTGAAATAGGTCATGTTGTCAATCGGAAGACGGGCCAAATCTCCGCTCCACACACCCGAGTGGCGATCAACTCCATGGCGTGATATCCCCAAGTCGACCAAAGACAAGCTGATCGATATCCTGGAAGATGTCCCATTTATGCTGATCGCCTATGACGAACTTCGCGCCTGTCAGGATCCCGAGCGTTTCGACGAACTACGCCAGATTGTAATGCTGAACTGTCAGCACATTGCAACAAGCTTGGATGTCTGGGAAGAGGAAGCTGGGCCAATTCTCCGTCAGTTCGACTATACGTTTTCCGGCTCTCCTCTACCCACACCCCAAGACGACACTGAGTTTGGGCTTGTGTATATATCGGGATGCTATTGGGGTGCTCGCCTGATGCTGTACAGCACCCTTGGGATGACCTTGGCACATTCAGCCGGAGCTGCAAGCCCGGGGGCTGATAGCATACCATCTATGAACGGCAGCTCTCCAGCTTCGACTGCAGGTACGGCGTCGACGCCAGCCACCTCACCGGGGCAGTCGTCCGAAAAGTCCCCCGGGCCATACTACAGTCCTCCTCAGATAAAGATGGAAAACCCAGGAATCTACGCTCGCAAAATCGCCCACATGGTACACCTCTTGTATGAACCTGCTGCCGGCGCGATGCAAGGCGCCTCGGGTCTTTTCCCCTTGGCCCTTGCGCTGCGTTTCTTTGCAACAACCGAACCTCCCGGTCAAAGGAGCTTGGAGTCTGAAATGCTGTATAGGCTATACCGTAAACCTTTCGTGGGTACTTTTGTTGGACGATTCCTTAATGATCTCCAGGGATCTCAACAAGACGACGAAGCGAAGCGGGACAGCGAAGCCAAGGCGCAGCGGAATATCTTCTGGTATGCTGTCTTAGGCAGTGAAAATATTGTGCGTGTTGGAGAGAAAACAAAATAATGTTATGATTATGAGACGTCGCGTTCGGTGAATCGCCAAGACGATGCTGGGCATCCGGCCGTTATTAATATAATGCAACACAGATTGCGCACAACACCAAGTTTACGCTACACAAGGCTCTATGTTTTCTGCAGGATACCCTTGATCATATTGATGAAATATGGCACTAGTTCACAAAGACTCTTCACTGATGAGAGCTAAGTAGGATGCAGGCTGTGTCTGACTAAATATGTTGTGTTGTACTGTTTCAAACTATAGCCTCGTGTTTTATACCTTGTATTTAGGAGTCGAATATTCGCCTAAAAAAGTGTAACCTCAAATCGGTGAACAAGAGCGAGCAAAGATAAATTTCGAACCGATTCACAAATTTCCTGTGGCTATTTATATGCGTGTGTGGATACCCAGTATAAGATCCAAAATGCGAAGCAACTCATCCACCTCCTCTCAAGAGTCGCAGAAGCAGCCACACATTTCGGTCCTGAGATTCATTTCAACTTTCAATCTAGTTCAAATTATTTCGGCATACATCGCTACTTAATAACTATCTATCCATACTACCTAGGAACTTCAAAATGCACGTCTGCAACTGCCTATGCGGATGCATAAGGGTGGTCGAAAAAGGGAATGCCGACAAGTGCAGACATTGCACCGAATGGCACCATATCATCATTCTTCGACCTCGCAATTCTGCTCCGCCAAGGGAATGAATCCAAAAAATGCCAAATTTCTGGGTTTGGGTAGCGAAACGACCAGAAGCAGTTGTAGTGGAGATGTTGAACGGCACAATCGATGATGATTTGGAGACCGGATTGCTGCCGGACACATGATTGTGATTTGGAACCGGGCCGCTATTTGCACACTCGTCTGTTCAATTTAGATTTAGTCAGTAGACTAACTCTGTTCAAATGACTTGAAAGTTTTGTTACTTCAACTGTGCCGTTATGAAGACAAATTTCATGATACTTCTCACAGTTGTGCCTGTATCCATTATATCTACGGAGCTATTCATATCATAATGAAGTTATCATAGTTTGCAAAGCTTATAACACATGTACATAAACTCAATAACCTCTTAGCAAGGATTGATGCTAGCCGCGCTGCCGGCGTCTTTGGGAATCGCTCCCGCCGCGACAGCAGACTGGTAACACCACCTCCAGTCATCGTACCCAGTGATCCAGTTGCACTTCCACGTCCAAAAGACCCAACCGGCCGACTTCTCAAAGGCGAGCACTTGAGCGGCCCAATACTTCTGGTACCAGTCGGCTTGGTCGGAGCGGTTCTTGATGCCGAGCTCGTCGTTGTCCTGGACATTGTCGGCGACGGAGATGGACCACTCGCCGACAATGACGTTGTCTGCACGCTTATCGCTGCAGGCGGCATTTAGATAGCCATCTTTGGTGGCGGTGATGCTGGTATCCCATTTGAGGTAGCGGTGATCGTCAAAGGCGGCAAAATCGGTGCTGGGTAGAGCGCTGGTTGGGTCTCCAGAGCCCCAGGCAGAGGCCTGTTGTTGTCAATACGTCAGCTTATCTATTGATCAAGAAAAGTTTTCAATAGCTAGTGAGAAGGGTGAACAAACCATGAATTGGATATGAAGACGCTTATCGTCAGAGACACCCAATTTGCTTTCAGTGTCGCGGATGCGGTTCCAGGCAAGAGGGTAGTAGGTATTAACCATATCAGCAGCTTGGTCGGGGAAATCACCAGAGTGGACAGGCTCGTTGAGAACTTCCAGCATGCCGACGGAAGCATAGGTAGCATTGGTGTGAATGCGCTCTGTCATCCACTCAAGGAAGTCGGCTGCTCGCTCATAGTTTGCCTCGGTGTAGAACCCTGGCTGTGAGACTCCCTATTGGTGTACTCTTAGTCGAGAAGTTGGAGATTGAAGGCATTAAACTGCGTCTCTTACATGACCAGTGTATTGTTGGTTAGGGAACTGCGCTCCAGGGCCGGCGTGAAGGTCCATTATGACATAGATACCTGCATCATTGCACCATCCGACTAGACGGTCCAGGTACTGAATACCACCTCGGGGGAAGAATTCACCTTCTTGGACAAGGTCTTCACGGATCCAGAAGCCAACTGGGATACGGACCGTGTTAAGCCCCAGACTTTTCATCTGGGTAATGTCGTCTTGAGTGATCCAGCTGTCCCAGTGCTTCTGGAAGGCGGCATCAGCAGCATCCTGTCCGAGGCTTTGGACACAAGACCATTCGTCATTAAGTCCACCACAGCCCATGCTTGAGAACTCGTCAGAAGCCATCCATGGTTCGATGATGAATTGCGAGCCGAGATTGACACCGCGGAACTTGTCGTTGCCAGGGAGCCATCTCATAACGCCATCGGTATCTCGGCCGAAGACTGTATTATTCGTAAGCTGTTATCCAACAGACAAACAGTGATTATGGCTCTAATTGGACGTTTACTGACCCTTTGCATTGGACTGGGGAGTCCAGGCGCTGGCCAACGTTACCAGAAGCGAAAGGGCATATGTAGACAACATATTGATCATGTACGACCTTGATTAAGCACTTCGAAGGAGTCGTAGATGGCCTGAAAAGGTGTGATTATCTGGGGAGACATCTATGCTCTATATACTCGGGAGTCGAACAGGAAGAGACAGCGAGCAACAATCGGGATCGCCATTTCTGGAAGTGTCGATCAGTTACCGACAATCTTCTTCAAAGATGTTCTAGTCAATCTGAAATATCCATCGGCTTTTGCATGCGCAAACAGCTGGAGAGCTCCGAAGCACTGTGAGGAGGCATAATGTATTAATTGTCAGATTTTCATTTTCCAAGTACACTTCTTAAGAGCTTTCACCATAATCATGCTCAACACCAAACAACTCTAATTTTAACATTATTTAGTTAAAACTACGGGTATAAATGAAGACGTTATTAATATCATGAAGTTATAGTATCACAACAATGTATGGCAACTTGCCCATTTGGTATTTCGTAGACAAGCATGTCATTCGGACCGAATGCCGATCTTGAAAAGAAGCTTCTCTTTACGGTAACGTCCAACTTGAAATGGGCTTTGGGCCACTGCCCCTTAGACACATGCCGATCACTGCCATTCTAGCTGTGTTATGCTTATGCTTGATGTTTTAACTCTACATGTAGTTTACCACTATTATGGCAGTGTTGTGTACCTAAATACACTTTCGGCAATATGTGACAGGTGTTCCAATAGAAGAATAAGTGGATTTGCAGTGGATTCAGCTGCTATATATGGACAACGGCTGGACTTTATACAACGGCTCAACTCTCCACTTCCCCGGTCCTTATTATCTTCTGAATGTCAGATATATTAATGTGGAACCGTTTTTCCACAGGCATAGGGACCGAAGGCTCCGATATGTTTCCTACAAGGTACCAACCTGCGCGGAATGTCGGTAAGTTGATCTCGTTTCAATCTTGGTAAACTCGGAACTGCCTTCCGTCTAAAATTCGAAAGACGTAGTATCACCCATTTTGAGATGAATCTCCCACATAGGGTTACTAAAAAGTAGTTTCCTAAAGCACTGATTTTGTTAATATTCAATTAAGAATACGAATATAAGTACCTCGTATTCAGCATTACAAAACGGTTACCCAAAATAACTTATGCCCCTAAGAACGCAGCTGCCGAATACAGAGCCTGTTGCCCACGGCATTAAGCATATCTAGTAAATGTCAGCTGACGCTCGGCACTTGCAGCAATATATAAGTGCGCCGGTTATCAAACTACGTCTCATCGCACTGTCCCCTGGGTTCAAAACAGAATTATTCTTCTCTGAAGAAAATATCATACATGATGGCCCTGAAAAGTTACTGTCTCTTATTTGGTGCATTGGCCTCGGCCATGGCCCAGCATTCATTATCTCCCAATGGTAGAAAAGCCGGGTCGGCCGGCGACACCGCTCTCGTTTTTTGGAAAGATCACTTGAGTTGGTGGCATGACTGGACACCAGCCCCTTCAAGCCCCAAAGGTGCTGGCCTGGTTCCCGTCTCTATGCTTTGGGGTGGCGGTAACAATGGACCCAAAGACGCTCAGAGGTTGCAACAATTTGAGCATCTCAACTCCACGCCCGCCTATGTCATGGGATTCAATGAGCCTGATTGCTCCGGGGCTGATGTATCTGCAAACATCGACGTCAACACAGGCGTCAGCTTGTGGAACAGTCTGATCGCTCCCATGGGCCAGAAAGGTGCTGTGCTTGGAAGTTCGGCCATGTGTCGCAAGAAGGACGAGTCTTGGCTCAAGCAATTTAACCAGGAGCAAATTACAAAGAGCTGGGATTTCACATCCATTCATATCTTCAAGCCGGACATGGCGGGCGTGCAGGCCGATATCGACTATTACTGGAACACGTATCAGAAGCCACTTTGGGTGACAGGGTTTGCGTGCGTCTTTGACCAAAATAACTTTACTCCATGCACGGATCAGAACCAGATCAACCAGTGGATCAGCGATATTGTAGATCTATTTGAGGCCAACGAGCATGTGTTCGCATATGCATATACTGACGGCCTCGGCTTGGGCTCGGTCTGGCCTCCTGTGAACAGCGATGGAAGTCTCTCTCAGTCGGGCCAGGCATATCTGAGTGCAATTAGCAAATATTACTAAATAGGAAGAAGCGGGAACGCGAAAGGAGTGCATTAATAAAGTAAATGATATGCTATGTATGGCAAGAGTGAGTGCCGGAGAGAAGTTGTGACTAATAGAGAATGATACAAACATATAACTTACAGTTATTATAGTTATTAGATTTAGTATATAAGAATTATATGGGTCCATGTTATGTATTGTGGACGATCTTTGTTAAGAGATACTTTGTATCTCTCATCATGCTCATTGCGGAAACGTATAAACTAGTACATCATTTTCGGACTGTACGATCAAAACCAAAAGCCCAAATTCTCGTAATAACTACTAAATTTCCCGCAAAATTAACCCTTTATAACACATTAAGCCATCATTAGGAATACTATTTATATTGTTACTTTGTAATTCACTTGTTCTTATATTAATTAACATTAGAATGAATACGAATATTATAGATACAGCTCCTATTTAAACTATCAAGTAAGAAAAACCTATAAAACTTAGTCTAGATAATATTAAATAAACAGATATAGAAACAAATAATCCTATTAATGATAATGATGATGCTATGGGGTTTTTACGTATTGTAGTGTAGTATTTCAACTGTTCATGTACATTAGCTATGAAGATCAACCACTTCGCATATCTTACTACATCGGGGTTTTATGCAAATTAACTTGGTCAATTCCGAGATATTGATCTGCGATCTTAGACCCTGTAGAAGGGTTCTTGATTCAGTGAGCTGGCTTGATAATAACAATCTCAAAAGAAAACATCGGATGCTTCTGTAGGGTGCAAATATTCTTTGAGCTAGCGTGGATGAGAGTTTTTTTAGTGTACGCACTGCTCTCATATTACGCATACAATTAAAGGATTGTAATTTAGTATGTAAGAGAAAATGACCATTTTACACAAGTAGAGCATGAATATATTTGAAGAATTCTACTTTCGATTTTCCTATCTATATATCTTTCTTGATCATGACAGTTCTCTTTTATATATATATTTTTTCCCATCCAACACTCATCACCCGACTAGCTTAAGCAAACCCCGTAGGAATGACGGGAGAGAAACCCTTACCCAACTCTTTGATCTTGGCAAGCTCCTTAGGACCTAACTTGGGAGCAGCTTCACCCTCAGCAGGCTTTGCTCTGACGTAGATACCCCTGGGATAGAAGAACTCAAATTCAACAGGCACATCCCACTTCCACACATCAGAGCGGTCTCTGTAGTAGTAAGGCCGACCGTTTTGTTCAATTACGTCGTGCGTCTCACGCAGTTCGATGGCGTGAGCAGTGCGGAACTGGCCCTTGGCAGTAACAGCAATGCAGCAATGCCAAGGAGTCATGGAAAAGTGGTTGGGCTGTGGAACGAGAGGGAAGGACAGCTTGTTGAGACCCGTGGATCGGTGAATAGACAATCGAACGTAGTCAGGGAGACGGTCTTCGATAACCGCAGCAAAAGCCTATTACATAAGAGTTAAGTAAAGACATAAAGAGAGTCAAGCGATGTAACGTACCTTGCCACGAGTAATCATGTCGTGGGCAACTCGCTTAACAACAGTTCTATATTCTCGCTTGGTGGTAACACCAGCGGTAATAGGGCTGTGGCGCATATCTTTGCTCAAGAAGATAATGTAACCGCAGTAAGTGAGGTTGATATCGGCGTCATTGAGAATAGCGTCGCGAGCGTCAAAGTCTGCAGGGAGATACTTTTCCACAAGCATCTTTCGCGAGTCATCAACACATCCCAGGTACTCCTCCTTAGTCATGTGTGGGCTATCGGTAAGACCTAGAAGGTTCATAATTCGGATGAACTTGAGACGGTCGTAGCCCTTCTCAACAGCCATACGTCGGAGGGCACCACCATACTCGTATACCTCCTCGTTGGAAATACCTAGGAGATCATTGTAGACAAGACCGTCTGAAGTGATGGTGACATAGGCTCCAGGGGGATAGATGGCTTGGATATCTTCGCAAAGGTTTTGAAGACGTCCCAACCCTAGCTCTTCACCCAAATCGGGCACGGCACCGAGAACTTTTTCGACCTTGTTGACGCTCTTCCAAGGGAAAGCAGGTAGAACAAGGTCAATAGGCACGTTCGCCTTTACGTGCTTGCGGACACGTGGCTCGAATTTGACACGACCCAGCCAGGGCGAGCCCTCATCGTTTTCTTCATTCTGGCCGTAGCCTTGAATGATAGTCATGATACGTGAAGTGACATCAGTATCCTGTTTCTTGGGAAGATTACTCTTCCTGACTGTGGTGTTAGACTTCTTTTGTGAAGCTGCAGGACGAACCATAAGAGAATTTGGGTCAAGGGAACCAATAGATTGGTTAGAGTCTGATTCAGAATCTGATGAAGCCCCAGAATTGGATGCAGTCCCTGATCCTGTGATGGAGTTGGAGATGATAGGAGTCATGGCATTCTTCCACTGAGAGAGCTCGGTGACTTGAGCTTCAAGCTTGGCCAACCGGTCAAAATTGTTGGTAGAATGGACATCAGTGATGGCATGGCTACCATCTTGCAAATCAACAATGTTGATAGCAATCAACTTAGATGCAAGAACAGACATGATTGTGGTTTCAGATGAAAAGATGAAAGAGGAGCTCCTGAGAAACCGAAGGGGATGAGTGTGTTGAAGATCGAAGGAAAGTGAATATTTGCAACGAGGAACTGCCTGGTTATGTATGCGATGGGAGCACTGAGGCGCAAACGATTGGAGCAGGATGTAACAGATTGTAATGCTTGTCGAATAAGCTAATAGTCCACAAGACTCGTCAATGCTAGCACTTTTTGCTCGTACTGCCCCTTACGAGATATTATACACCAATGATCCCAGCGTATTACATAGAATAGCACACTTCGGCATATTTATATATCTATATATAAATATATAACAGTTGCAAATAATATCAGAAATAATAGTAATAGTAATAATAATAATAATAATAATAATAATTACAAGTAATATTATAAATAATAATATTAATAATAATATTAATAGTTCAGCTAGCTTAATTAAAGTTTAGAATACAACTTGGAGTTTAAAAAAATAAAAACTAGGCTATATTAATATTATATACTATATACAACTAATATTTAGCTTATTAGAAATAGTTTTATAAACAGTTAAAAATAATATATATTATTAATAAAATATTATATCTAAATT